CAAAGTAGCTAGACGCATTCTGAGAGTTTTTTATATAATTATTGTTGATTTTGTTCATACTTTTATTAAGTCGCTGTTATTTTTTATTATTTATTGTAAAGCGTTCTTAGTTATTTTGTTTTTGTTGACTATTACGTTATTTGGTGTTTTTCTTTTATTATTTTATCTACATTCTGTTAACAATGGAGCATAAACGCGAGAAATTACTACAAAGTGCTACTCATAAAATTGTATATAACGCAATAAAGTATTTTGAGGAAGAGAAAAATCTGAACTGTTATCACTTATCACCCATTGCAATATAGTAATGCAACTGCGGGTATAGCAACAGGATTGTCACTTGAATTAAAAAACAGTACCAAAGAAAGAGTACCAAATTTATCTAGTAGCTATTCGTTTGTTTATAAATAAATGTTTTGAACAGATTATGTACTATAAAATAATAAATCAAAAATATTTCATTCGCTATTCAACATTCCTTTTTTAAATCGCTGACCGTTTTAAAGGTTCCGTACCTAAAGAGTGCCCCGTATCGTACAGTTATATCCTATTAAAGTCCACTACTAAATAGGAATCCCTCGTAGACTGCCTCATATGGGGGATTTTTACCATAGTTGCCACACTTCGCAAGCGGGTTGGCAATCGCAGTTTTTTTAATTTTTATTCGTTATCAGGAAGATGCTGCTGCCCATCTCCTGATTTGTTCCCTCTGTCGCCTCTTACGAAACCTACGTGGTGATATGGGGTAGTTGATTGTTTTATACCACCACTACCCGGCGGAGTGCCCAACGGAACCCTATTACTGCGTCTATCGGTCTCTTTGCCACAGGGCTGTTACTTTTTATTGATTAGTAACTATAATGGTCACTTTAACAGCAAATAATGAAACGAATGAAATGTTAAAGCCCATGGGAGTCTTTATATAAGAATTTGGAAAAAAATGGATTTTTCAACTAATTTTTGTTTTTCTTCTTGTATTTTAAAAATGGTAATACCATCAATAAACCTATCCAGTTATTTCTAATTATCACTATAATAGTACTAAATATTCTATACTTAAATAACAAATAATGAAAACAGGATAAACAGTGATAGACTTGATGGCACGGAACCCACGGAGATGGTTTAATGTGCAAGCAGGTTCATAAAATGTATTTTTGAAGGATGCCGAGTTGATTTTCAAGGCCAAAACCAAAAACGGCGATTACCATGATGAAATGAATAGGCAAAATTTCACTAAAAATATTGAGGAAAAATTAATTCCAAACATACCTCCAAAAACCATTGTGGCTGAACAGCGATTGTGAAAGCGATAGCTGCTTCAATTCTAAATAATGATTATGAAAATAACGATGGGATGTTCAGAATTAAAGTGTTCTCAGACAATTCTGGTGAAGAATTAAGTAGCAGAATTTAAGGATAACTATATGTTACAAATAAATGTCTATAGAGTTTCTAGCCTGTCCGTCCCATTTGAAATACATATTTTCTTGACTGTTATTTAAATTAATATAAACTTAATTTAAGAAATATTTTTTTTTATTTTAGTCTTCGTGAATAATTTACTAAACTATACATTTAAATAATACAATTTATCCAAGCGAAGCCAGCGCGGCTCAATGGTTATAAATGTTTTTTTTAAAATGAATGTGTCTACTTGTGTATATAATTACATTCAAATGTTTTCCCATTAATAGAAAAGGAGAATGACCATAGATGTATGGAATCTCGTACCAAGTTGCATCAAAATCAAACTTTGTTTTTCATTGACTACACTAATCCTATTAACTCCTACAAAAGTCCTTTTTGAAAAAAAAAACCCGGGTTTTGGAGTTATTTTACAAAATCGAAAATAACCTAAAAACCATTACGTCACTTTTTCGATGCTACCAACGACCTATTTTAAATTGACACTATAAACATGGACAAACATTATTGCTCTAAAAACCAATAATATTAATAATCCATTAATATTTGTAAGAATTACATTTATTATGGATTACTTTGTGTTAATTGTGACTGAAACTCGGATATTTGCCCGACCTTTATACATATTGCCAATACTGTGAGTGGGTAACGTATCTAAAGGTAATATGTATATAATTGGACACCTCCGCGATTACACTACCACACCAATATCAATAATACATTATCATAAGTGTGACCATCCAGACCGCAAAAAGCTCATTGAGTCTAGAGCGTCTTTAACCCTTTAATCTAAGATATGATACTATTCATGACAGACACTATTGCTCAAGCTCATGTTGTTGTGAATCGATTAGGTAAGTGATAGAAAAAATAAAACAAACAAGTCCATTTGGGTTTTTTAATAGCGATTTAAAGTCAAAAATATTTATTTAAAATATATTTACTTTAATCATTCATCATACTCCTGAAAAAAATCATCTAAAGCCGTTCCCGGCGCAGTTACGTCATTATACCGTCCCCAGCTCAAATACCACACTATCGTCATTATATGAGCACAGCAGCCTACTGTTCGCTTACCGACAAGGCAGCTGCAGCAATAACCTACTATGGTTTCTAAAGTGTTGGCCACAGCATCATCTCTGTTAATCAATAAATATGTGTGATAAGTACGACTGTTGACATGTCTAGATTTAATCCTACCTCTTAAGAGGTAATTATTAAGCCCCAAAATCAAAGGTACATCATCATCGATAGTATTATTCACCTCAACTGAATAAATACCAGTCGACGGATGTGTTCCCCATAATAAGATCTAGCCTGTTTGAGTTGGTAAGTCCCAAGAGCTAACCGTTTTAAATCAGCTATTGTCAATTGTGGAAATCCATCTAAATGTGGATTATTGCTGTCAATCAACTGAAAATTCACACTCCTTCTATTGAGATTTGCCTGTTCAACATAAGTTGCCAAATGGTTCTCTAATGAAAGCCTATCCTTAGCAATTCTTACATATTCCATGGCTTCTGGTGGGTCTTCTATAACAACATGAAACTTATTAATTAGGGCACATGAGATTCTAAAATCATCCTTTAGGTGCAAAACCGCTCTATTGTTAAAAACATGACGAAAGAGTCTAAAATCCCTTTTCAACTTACCATTAACCACTTCTACAACACAGCGGCACATAGTAACAAAACGAGACTGATTTGCCTGCTGGGTTGTTAATTGATGTTCATTCTCAAGTAGACTCTGGCATATGTGTTACAAAGCCATATCCCTGGATTTTATTAATTACATCCCTAAATCTTCTATCAAGTATGAAAACGTCACCTCTTCGGAAAAATGATCTTAAAGAAACTTCCTCATTACGTAAGTTTAAACTAGTAATTGTAGCATCATTAGTTGTCGCCTTGTATGGTCCGAGACAATCCACAATATGACCATCACAACACACTATCATAAATGGTTTGACCAAATTATCCAGTTTTTGCAAACTGTATGTTTGTTTTTGAAATAAGTAATTAGAACTACTTTGGATAAATACATAAGTAGCATCACACATGACTATTGCTGGTTTAGAATTAGGTGGCAAATCAGGATTACCAAATAATCCTTCTGGTATTATTCTATTTCTAGAAGCAACATCTTCAACATTCATATGATTAAATCCTAAATACAATGGAAGAAACTCATTAATTAAACATGTTCTGGCCTTATTCATTAAGTGTTCTAAGGTGACACGAGATTTATTAAATAGAGTTGCCAACCTTTCATTACTATCACCAGTTCTAAGCTTTACTAAGTAAATGCTTAAAGCAACCGTGGCATTTGGTACTTGTCCTGCTAGACTTGGGATACAGTTTAACAAATCATAAAACTGATCGGAGTTCATGCCTAACCAAAAGTGACACAAATATGTAGGCATAATTAAAATATTTGAGAAATCTATATGGTAATAGGCAGCTCGCTGCATTATTCTCATAATTGAGTCGAATTGACTACCAGTAAAATCTTTTAGCTGGGAAGTTAATTCGCTCCAACGGCCATGATCCAGGTGGTGACGACAGATTCGTGCTGCTGGTGGCACATAGAATTTATTATTAAGTAATAACAGATCTTTTATAGATGAGGGTACTAGTAAACGTTCTGTTTCAAAACAATTAACAAATATACAGTGATTGGATGTGCTAGCCGCACGCTTATACACTGAAGACTTAATTATTGGATTTGATCTAATATAAGTAGTGTATAGGTTTTGTTGTGGAAGAGGGGGCGGCTCAGGAATATTGAGATCGCTACTTGATCCAACATCAGGCAAAATAGCTTCTGACAGACCAGGGCGATTGGAGTCTTGCTGATCACGACGTTGCAATTCCCTTGTAGCTGATCTCCAGCAAGCAGCACATACTCTTTCTAATCTTGAGATCTAAAAATAACACAATTAAACGTAATATGTAACATTTCACAATGGGATATAAACTTGATAAAAGATATACATATATATAAGATACATACAGATACATTTTTATAAGATAGGGTGACAAACGAGCATAAAGTCCACCTGATGGTAATTGGTATTTGCTGTGGCCCATAGACATCTACATCTATTCTCGATTACAAATCAAAATGCAGATGCATTGTCACCCCTGAGAACTATGATGGAATGCCTTGTTCCCAGTAAAAAGGATCTCTGGTTCTTTACACCCACTATACGAAGCACAGCATAAGCTGCTATTTCACGATGGTATTCTGTGAGAGCATGGTCCTTACCCAGTCGAGCCTACCCATTCATGCTACAAATATACTACTAATATTGTTAATATACTACTAATTTAGTTGCAGGATGGATTTCCACGTATGATAATGATCAGGCAATAATTGTGTTAAAATAGATAATATTATCTAATACCCACAACATTATTTATTTGTGAAACCTTCACCTATTGGGACTCAATATTATTATATAAACACATCTAATTACAGTATTATAACTAAAAACTGTAGAAGACTGGAGAAAATAAGAACATTAATAAGAAGTTGATCTTTTTTTTATATTGTAACATAAATAAAAATATTTACCAGATGCAGCGGAACATGTCTAAAATGTTTCTCTCTTGTCGATCTTGTCTTACAGGATATGTTCTAGTTGCACGTAGAATAGAATTGCCACACGTAAAACATATACTTCTATGACCAAAAGCAGGCAATCCTTCACTAATTGTGTTTGCTTGATCTTGAAGCAGTGTCAAACACTCTGTACAAAGCACACATTCTGAAGACAACTGCAATAAAAACCATGAATTAAAGTGTGTTTTTAACCTTTTTTGACATTATTTGTCTTCTGTAACATCTTCACAGAAGTAACATTTAAATATGCAATCAAGAGCCTTTTTGGCCTCAAACAGGTTCGTTTTTTGTTAATCATTTGTTATTGCCTATGCTGTCTAAAATAAATATTTCTTTCATTCTATAAAAATGTTTTGTAAGACGGTACGATGGTAGAGATCTGACATTCTTAGGTATATATTCAAAGAGTAAAATAAGATCTGCTTACCTGAGTAGGAGTTATCCACGACTGTAACAAATTAATCATTGAAGTAGATGCTTGTTGCAATGAATGTATAGGTAGGTTTCTGGGTATCAAAAATGAACAATTGATACATCGTTTGTTATGCCGGGTGACTGACGGTGTTAATCGGTCGACTTCACGACTCGACATATTTGCACAATATACAGAAAAAAAGTTCACAAAATACTAACAAGTTCTACTTCTCAACACACAATTCAATAACTAAATAATCTCAACTCTCAAACACAGACAGTTGTATTTGTTAGAACAAAGATATGGCGTGGTCAGCACAAAGGTCAGATGCACTTTAAAACTTTATAAGATTTTTTATTTAACTGGTTTTACGGTTCTGGGTTCTAGCCTTTCGGAATCTTCAATTTTATATATTTTTTAAAACCGTATGGATATTGTTTTAAATGGAGCATAAAGCGGTTGAGCTGTCGTTAAAATCTCCTAAGAACTTCGCAATGTGACGCATCAGCATATTGTGAAGAAAAAATATATAAAAATGAAGATTCCGAAAGATATGATATGCTCAGAAGGGCTAGACTCCGGAGCCGTAAAACCAGTTAAATAAACATAAAAAATAATACGATATCAATATGCATACTTTTAAACTCAAAAATAAAATTCCCTGTTCAAAAATAAAATCCCCGGACGCGTAATGCCATAAAAAATTAAGACACTAATTACTATTAAAATTTAGTCTTGAGGCGCGAGACTTTTTGGTACCACTTTTGGTCATTCTCCTTTGAAACTAACCAAATAATATACCTAACGTTTTAATTAACATAATAACGATATACCGTTATTAGTGGGTTTTCGTTATTTGTATTGTGCATGTTGATGGTACGGGCTAGATGAGTCGCCGTATATAATCCCATTCTTTATCCGTACGGGCAATACATAACAATATTTGAACACATTTTGTTTCATATTTTACTATATTAACCTAAACAGAGATGAAAATGATCTTAGTATTCTCACCACACTAGTAAACCCATAGTAACAATTCATGTCAATTCACATGTATAAATGTCAACACAAGATGTGTTTTGACGTTACAATCGTTTCCAAATTTCGCCTGCAAATTATTTAGAAAATGCCAAATTTACCTATTTACAAATAAATATGTATTAAACTTTAAACGACTTTTTTTAATGATGATCTTGAACATTAATCAAAAGTCTAAAATGTGTAAATTTACTCAGTCTGTCAACACAGCGAATCGGGTTTTGCGACGCCAATCCTCGTACAAAATAAGGTTGACAGCCATTCTATTGTGTATTATAGTATTCTTTGAGTAAAACATTAGAAAATTAGGGGATGTGTACTGTTAAGAGAAGAAAATCAAGAGATGGGCAGCAGTGTTTTCCCAATAACTAAAAAAGCTGCGGTTGCCAACCCACCTGCCAACTATGGAAATATCCCCTATAAGGCCATCTATGAGGAGACCTACGGCTGTTGTTACAGTAACAGACGCAATTATTTACTAATGGTGGAGCCAAATACACAAATTGTAAGCATTAAACAAATCCGTCAACAATGATTTATTTAACTGTTTGACTGGTCTGACATTTTGAGGTTGGAAAGTTATGATGCAGCTGACAGTGTCGCACTAAGCCCGCTTTAGTTTTAAATCTCTCACTGCACACATCACAAACAAAGTTCCTCTCCTCCAAATGCTTTTCTTGATGGTCCCTCAACTGATACTTCATAAGGAAGCTTTTGTCACACTGTTTGCATTTGTAATTCCTCTTTTTACCATGCTTGCGTCTCATGTGAGCCCAGAAGTAGGGCATCCAGTCGAAAGTCTTTCCGCAGATCTCACAAGTCCTTATCTTGACCATCTCTTTGTGCTTTTCAAGTACATGCTGATGTCTCTGGAATGCTCTAGAAAATCTTTCCGGACAGTATGTGCATTTGTATTGGTCCTTCTGTCCATGTACAATGACAAAGTGCTTTCTCATGTATTTCTTCAAATTGTACACTTTACCGCAAACCTCGCAAGGGAACCTCCCAGTACTGTGCACTTCCACATGTTTATTAAGTCGGTTCGCTGATAAGAAAGTATCGCCGCATTCGTAGCAAATGTAACTGCTATAATGGGCGTTCATATGTCCGTCCAGCATGTGGTAATTCGGGAAGGCTTCTTCACATAAAGCACATTTCAGCTCCCTTGCGAGGATATAAGGTATAACTCTGTTGTAGGCCTCGTCTAGAAAAACCTCATGCACATCTTCAAGATGTCGGAACATGTCGTTCCAAGTCGGCAGGATTGTACAGCAAACTGTACAATGGAGACTATGTATATCAATTCTTAACACCTCATTAAGCCAGTGTGGTCTCATTATCTGATCTATGCCTTTGGTCCGATCATCGACATGCTTCGTTTTAGTGTGAGTCCTCAAATCATCGGGTTCATCAAAAACCGGTCCATCGGTAGAGCAGTATGCACAGTAGTACCTTGACAATTTCGATTTGTATGGTATAGCGTTTGTGTAGGTGAGTATAGTTTTAATTTCCTCTACGAGTTTGTAGTGTTTTTCTTGGTCTGTTATTTTTGAGGCGTCATCATCATCTGGTTCTGGAAAAAATTTTTTTTTTTTTGATATTCAACATTAAAGTGACAAACTTCTTTAGGCCTGAACTCGCGTGACCGTTACGCTCAGATACGATGAAAGTAATGTTGAAAATCTAATTGATTAAAGGATAATGGCGAAAATGGGTCCACATATTTTAAAATTAACGAAGCATCGTGCCTATGCAAGTTTAAATTAATTACATATAAATGTTTATGTAAAAATTATGAGGGCTCTAGAATATGGGACTCATAACAAAGAAATCATAAAAATTTATTAAAAAATAGGTCACCTTGCAATAATAGGATGTTATTCGTTATTCCAATAAACATAGTGATTATATTATACCAGACATTTTTTTGACATGACAGCCCTTGTCATTAATTTTTATTGTTTTTGCTTTTACCATTGTTACTTGCTTGTATTCGATAATATTATATTGTGATAATTGATAGAATCAGGCGTTACTTTGTGGAAATCCATTATAATAAATAATTTATTACTTTGCAACCTTCCGCTAACCAATTACAATGATGTGTCTTACCTGGATTGAAGAGCACCTCCCGCCCTCCCTCAATTGCATGCACTAACTCCGTCACCACTACTTCCAACACCACTATTCCAGGTGACACACCATCGACGACAATATGACACGTGTTTCGCCTCTACACGAGGCATCTTCAGGTAATGTAGACTCTACGGCGACTGACCGCTAAGTGAGCGGCGAGCTTTTTTTTTTGCGCCCGAAGCAAATATGGGCAACCCTCCGGAAAGCGGGGGAGGGAGGTTGGGAATGCTCATAGCATACCACGCAGCCGGCTGCGTGGTTATGTGGTGACTTTTACCCACTAAACCCAACCTTTTAGGAATTGGCTTAACGATCTGACTAGAGATCTCTAAGCCGTATACGAACGCGACCCTCCTTGGCAGAAATGAGGGCGCAGCAGAAAGGAGGGCGCAGCGGCGAGCCGAAACAGCTGCTATTTATACATGCCGACACAACCACTCCCCACCAAAGTAGCGAGTGACCGCGCCGCGCGATAACAAACCTGCGACTAATTGTTATGAGTAATATTTTTTAAATATTATTATTGTTATTGTTTTTATATTGATATTATTATAGTTATTTATTATTATTAATTTTCAATTATTATTAAAGATTAGCTAATATAGTAAAATAGTAATATAGTATAGATTAGCTAATCTTTAATAATAATTAAAAATTAATAATAATAAATAACTATAATAATAACAATATAAAAAAACAAAAATAATAATAATATTCAAAAAATATTAGTCATAACAATTAGTCGCAGGTTGTTATCGCGCGGCGCGGTCACTCGCTACTTCGGTGGGGAGTGGTTGTGTTGGCGTGTTAAATAGCAGCTGTTTCGGCTCGCCGCTTCACCGGGCGCGGATGGCATCTCCAACCAAGCCCTCAAACACTTTCCGGAGCAGGTTATCGCCTTATTGGCCATAATCTTCAACGCCTGCTTCGAATTCAGCTACTTTCCACCTCTTGGAAAGAGGCAACTGTCATTGGCATTCCCAAGCCAGGCAAACGTCACCACCTCCCCTCCAATCACCGTCCCATCAGCCTCCTCAAGGCCATGGGCAAACTCTTCGAACGAGTTATTCTCGTGCGCATGAGGCGCCATTTGTTTCCCACAGACAGGCGACCCTCTTGTCATCCCTCAACAATTGGGGCTTCGAGCCAAACACTCGTGCCCCCAGCAAGTTCACCGCATAGTGGAATATATCCTCAGCGGTTTTTATCCTCGTCGTCAAAAGACCATCGCGGTCTTTTTCGACATTGCCAAGGCATTCGACAGAGTCTGGCATGAGGGCCTTATCTACAAATTGTACCACTTAGGCCTCCCTGACCGCCTCGTCCGCCTTGTAGCCTCCTATTTGAAGGATCGTACCTTTCGTTTTAGACACGAAGGCACGCTATCCTCTACTGGTCAAATCAAAGCCAGTGTCCCTCAAGGCTCTGTGCTTGTCCCCCTCCTATATATACTATTCACTAACGACATCCCTATCCCGTCGAATGGTGTTAAACTAGCTCTCTTCGCAGATGACACAGCCCTTTACTCTAAAGGCAACTCACTGCCACAGATTCGGAACAAGATCCAAAAGTCAGTTAACGACTTAGGAGCTTGGTTCCAAAAATGGCGTATCGACGTAAACCCGGAGAAGAGCTCCGCCGTTTGCTTCGAATATAAACGACGCCGTCTCACCGCCACTCAGGATGTTAGGAACCCCTGTCCCATGCCAGCCAGCCAAATATTTAGGCGTCACCCTTGAAGCAAGGCTCACTTTCGAGCCCCATATCAAGAAGGAAACTCGCACAGCGCGATTTTACATGGGTAGGCTCAACAGCATGTTGGGCAGACACAGTAAAATGTCCCTTCGCAACTAGCGAACCCTATATAAGGTCTGTATACGACCTGTTATGACTTACGCGGCTCCCATTTTCGCACATGCTAAACCCAAAGTTATAAATGAACTTCAAATAGTTCAAAATCTATTCTTTCGTAGGGCCATTAACTCGTCCGTAATGCCGACCTACACCGAGACTTAGAGCTCCCAACAATCCAGCAGTTCCTTAAATCACTCTCTGAGAGATTTTTCAAAGCCTCAGAGTCCCACCCAAATCATCTCATTCACGAGACAGCTGCCTATGCAGCCCCTCTCCACACTCGCTATAGTGTGCGCAGACCGAGAAATTCTCTCTTGGACCCCCCCCCAACAAGCTTTTGGCTGACCTGAACTGCCTCCTGGCGGCTCAGGCCGAGCCTACATAACACATCCCTTAATCTGCCTTAGTTAGGCACACTTCTAAGCGGCTTTTCGCCGCTAGCGCCCTCCTTTCTGCCAAGGAGGGTCGCGTTCGTATACGGCTTAGAGATCTCTCGTCAGATCAGTAAGCCAATCCTTAAAGGTGGGGTTTAGTGGGTAAAAGTCTTCACATAACCACGCAGCCGGCTGCGTGGTATGCTATGAGCATTCCCCACCTCCCTCCCCAGCTTTCCGGAGGGTTGCCCATATTTGTTTCGGGTGCAAAAAAAAAAGCTCGCCGCTCACTTAGCAGTCAGTCGCCGTAGAGTCTACATTACCTGCAAATGCCTCGTGTAGAGGCGAAACACGTGTCGTATTGTCGTCGATGGTGTGTCTTACCTGGAATAGTGGTGTTAGAAGTAGTGGTGCCAGGAGTATAGTGGTACTGGGACTAGGGGTGACGGAGTTAGTGCATGCAATTGAGTGAGGGGTGGGAGGTGCTCTTCAATCCAGGTAAGACACATCATTGTAATTGGTTAACGGAAGGTTACAAAGTAATAAATTATTTATAATATTATATTAATATGTTGGTGAAAATAATTACTAATAAAAAGTACTTCCTAATAAATATATATCTTCACAACCCAAAAATAATGTTTACAAGTTTGTGTAGATAAGAAGTTTTCAATACTAACATGCAGTCCTAGGACTGACAGTTTTTTTTATTATATCAATAATAGGGAAGGTATCTAAATAATGTAGATAGTAGTGTCGAAAGAGATGAAACAAGCAAGAAGATGGGCAGCACCTTTCTGATACAAGCAAATTTAGCAAACCTCTCTCACCGAGGGTGGCAGATATGGCAATATACCCCTCCCCCACTCTATGAGTGCTGAATGTCGATGAATAATGTGAACGAGTGAATGGATTTTAATTATTTTATTCATTTATAAGGTGTCTTAATCAAGTGTTCTCAGCTGTTTCAAGAAAATCAGTTTAGCTATTTAAATATCGTTTAATAATCTGCTCTTTTTGTTAAGGTGGTTTTAAAATTTTTTAATTTAAGTTATTTGTATTTGACTTACCCTCTTTTTTGGCAATAGTATTCTGAACTCTAAATGCAAGAGTCTTCCTGGGCACCTTAAATATCTCTGACGCTTGGTTACATGACATCCCTTTATTCTGGACAGCATCAACAGCCATTCTCAGCGTCTTTTCAGTATACTGCTTGTATGTTTTATTTCTGTCTTTCCTTGGTAGTTTCTTCGGCCATTTTCTTTTACTATTTTCTTCTGCACTCTGCGATTGTTCTAGAAACCATAAAGAACCTCATTATCTTCTTTAACAATGATATTAATAACTAGCTATAAGTTCCCCGCGAGTTCGTCCGCGTAAAATTTATTAAGATTGGATTTCAAGGGTTTTTTGTGCGGAATCCTAATTCCTTTTCTAAAATAAAAGGAGCCTAAGTTACTCCTTACAACACCAGCTTTTGAGTTATCAACGAGTAAACAAGTAAATCGTGAAGAAACCGGCCATTATGAAGAACATTGAATATCGCGCCGTCATTAAGTTTCTCACCAAACAAGGAAAGACACCGCAAACCATTTTTCAAGAGATGTCAGTTGTTTATAAGGATTACACTCCTGGAAAAACCATGATTTATAAGTGGTACGCCGTTTTCAAACAAGGGGGACTCCATTGAAGACGACCCCCGACCTAGACGGCCATTGTTTTTTTATATGATAGGATGACAAACGAGCACACAGTCCACCTGATTGTAAGTCGTAGCTGTGGCTCATAGACATCTACATCTATACTCGATTACAAATCAAAATGCAGATGCGTCGTCATCCGTGAGGACTTACGTGGAATGCCTCGTTTCCAGTAAAAAGGGTCACCGGTTCTCTACACTCACGATATGAAACACAGCAGCATTAAGCTACTATTTGACGCTGGTATTCTGTGAGAGCGTGGTCCTTCCCCGGTCGAGCCAATCCATTCGTGCCACAACTATACTACTAATATAACTGCAGTATGGCTCTACCACGTAAAAACTACTACGCCAGAAATAATCGAAAAAGTTGAAAAACTCATATCAGAAGATGCCCAGCTAAAAAAAGAAACAGCTTGCAGCATTAGTTGGAGTACCAGAAACAACCATTTTAAATATCCTACAGCAATAAAAGCAAAAATGAGGTGGTCGCTTGCAAACTGTTTCTAAAATAAATTTTGTTAAATATTTTGTGACCATTGACATTGTAAATTTAAAAAAAAAAGTCCCGCTGGGTTTCTTGCTGGTTCTTCCCAGGACAGAGGTTTTGGTAAAGTAAAAAAAAAAATCTTTCAATAAGAATTACTTGTATTCTATATTGAATAAAAAATTGTTCAATTCTATTTTATTCTAAAAAAATACCTTGGCATGATGACTAAAGTCTGTGCAAAATGGGTTCCGGAAACGCTTTCAAAATACGAGCATGTCGAAAGTTGTCGCGATTTTTTGGACCGCTGTTGAGAGCAAAGGATAGGAAGTTATAGCCCGAATTGTAACTGGCGATAAAACTTGGATTCACTATTACGAACCTGAGTCAAAGCAAGAGTTTTTGCAGTGGCATGAAAAAGGCACACCCCCCCTCCTAAGAAGTATAAGGTGTCTCAATCGGACGGAAAGATCATAGCGACGATATTTTGAAATACAGAAGGTATCCATTTGATTGATTATAAGGAACATGATGTTCCCATAACGGTAGAATACTACGCTTCTTTACTAGATCAATTAAAAGAAGCTATTAATGAAAAAAGGCGAGGAAAGCTTACAAAAGGCGTGCTCTTTTTGCACGACAATGCACCCGTGCACACAAGCCATGTTGCGACGGCTGCCATTCACCGGTGCGGTTTTGAACAACTATGCCACCCACCCTACAGCCCAGACCTGGCTCCAAGTGACTATAATTTGTTTTCAAAAATGAAGAAAAGACTGCGTGGGAAAAGATTTGGCGACGATGATGAAGTGAAGTCGGCAATTTCGACCTATTTTGACACCGAAGACAAATCTTTTAGGGGGGAGGAGTAATAAGATATTTGGCAGATCTAATAAATGTATTAGGGTTAAGGGAGAATACATTGATTGATGTTTCATTTCATTATCCTTACCTGTCCATTCCGCGAACTTTTTGTTCTTCCCTCGTATATATAAAAAGTTGATCATTTTGTACCGGCACATATTTCATGTAACATGTAAGGTTTCCTTTAATACTGGAAAAAACCGCGCTTCGGTCGCTTTATGGGCTCGGGTGGGTGAGGCTCACCCGGGAGGGGGAGGGAGAGTGGAAAAAATTTAACTTTGCTCTATGACAATATATGCCAATTGCAAGTCCATAAGGTTAAGGTAAGTGAATTTCGCAGAATACCACCAGCATGATATAACAAAATTGTTCTGTTTTGTGTAGTTGTGTCATAACATGAGTTACGTCTGATGAAGGCTAGATGTCTCAAATAACTCAACATTGTATATATGCCTCGTCTCACAACCCACTCAGAAACAAATTAAGTAAGCCATACTAGCCTAATAATTAAGGATACGGACTACGAAACTGATGTTCGCTAATTAGTGAATATAGTGAATATAGTAATTAGTAAATAGTGAATTGTAAAGCACTAATTAGTAAATAGTGAATTGTAATGTATTTATTCGTTGTATATGTGTGGTGTACAATAGTAAATATATGTTATGACTATGTGCTATATGCTAACCATTTTGTGAAGGACCACGCTGTCACAGAATATCAACGTAAAGTAACAGATTATAACTGCTGTGTTTTGTATGGTGCGTGTAGTGTAGAGAAGACCGTTTTGACTGGGAATGAGACAATTTATCTTAGTCCTATGGGGTGACAACGAATCTGCATGTTATTCTTAATCCAGGATATGTGTAGATGTCTATGGCTCAAGACTTTGCCATCATGTGGGCTGAGTGTTCGTTTTTCACCCTCATCTTATAAAAAAAGGCAAGCATTTTAAGCTTTACTTAGTGGTTAAGGGGAATATTAGTAATGTAATTAGCACACTATTATAGTTTTTTTTAAACTTACCCTCTTCTTTGTCTGTAATATTGTGGATCTTAGCAGAGATAGTTTTCCTGGGCACATTAAACAACTCGGCTGCTTCTGTATGTGACATTTCATTGTTCTGGACTGCATCAATGGCCATTTGTAATTCCTCGTCAGTATACTGCTTGTATTTGTTCCTTTCTTCCTTTGGGAGTTTTTTTGACAAGTTTCTTTTATGTTCTACTTGCATGGATTTATCTGAACTCAGCAATTGTTCTAGAAACCATAAATAATATCATATCATTTATTTTTAACAGTCTGCAGTTGTATTTTTTTAAATGAAGGTTAATATTATACAGGCTGGTGCTACTTTTAACACTATAAATGGTACCAGCAATTCTATGATCATATTACTATTTTACAAAAATAATATTATTAAATACATTCTGTAGTTCAGCGAAAAATTTATTTCGTTTTACCAATTTTTGCACATGATGTATATTAGAGATGTCACGAATAGTGATTTTGCCGAATACCGAATTTTCGCCCAGTATAATAATCAATATCGCCCAATATAAAAAATAAAAGAATATTCTCGAGTATGAATTAAAATGCAGGTGTGTTGTCATCCATGAGGATTTAGGTGGAATGCCTCGTTTCCAGTAAAAAGGGTCTCCGGTTATCTATACTCACCATACGAAACACAGGAGCATTAAGCTACTATTTGAAATTGGTATTCTGTGAGAGTGTGGTCCTTCCCCGGTCGAGCCGACCCATTCGTGCTATAACTATACTACTAATATAACTGCAGCATGGCTCTACCACGTATCACATGTGTTATTACAAATGAGATTGATCTTTATCTAAAAACGGCTCGCCTTGATCAGACAGCAGGCCCTTACAAGCAGTGGTTAACAAATGTACAACAGTACACAAATCTTTTTTTTTCTTTCTACATGGTAAAGCCCCACTGCCTACAGCTATATAAGTTGCAGCACTAATGCGTCGGCTCGACCGGGGAAGGACCACGCTCTCACAGAATACAAGCGTGAAATAGCAGCTTTACGCTGCTGTGTTTCAAATGGTGTAGAGAACAGGGGACCCTTTTTAATGGGAACGAGGCATTCCGTCTTAGTCTTTACGGGTGACAACGCGTCTGTATTTTGATTTCTTATGTATATGGGCCATATCATCCACTTAATTAGTTTAGTTAGTTTACGACGGGCTGTTTTCCGCAACTCCATGTCTAGGCGCGTATTTTGCGTGTGGGCAGGAATAATAGCAGCAACTAGCAGGCAAATCTGTCTATATATGAGGGGGGTTATGCCCGAAGATACATAAAAAATATACTGGATAACCTATTTTACCATCCGGAAAAAAATAGGATGTAACATGGGAACGATGTAGACACCTATGGCACTGATATTTTACAAAAAATAAAAACAAAAATTTTGAATTAAGTAAACAAATTAATTAAAATTTATCCAAATTCAAATCATATCCACCCTACTTTATGAAGGGCAACAAAACAATAAATTTAGTAGACATCTTTGACCCTGTCACCTTGCAGGGTCACAGGTTAAGGTAGATATGATTAGAATTTCAATAGATTTGAATGAATTTATATATTTCATTCGAAATTTTTGTTTTTATTTATTTGTAAAAATATCAAAGCCATAGACTCCGTTCACATGGTCACAAAAAAGAAAGCGGCATGGTCATTTTGAGATTTTTAAGTTTACCACTTACCTTAAAGTAAACCTATATGCATTACGGTATATGAAGCACACCCTTACACAATATAATATTTATTTTCTTTGAAAATTTAACTTAAATAATTTTGACAAAGATCAAAATTAACTATTTCGAAATACTTTTTGGAACTAGCAATAAACGAGTTTATTTTTAATGTAATACTGAGGAAAAATAAAACAGAAGATAATCAGCAGCATCTTCCTGATATTTCAATTCAAAATAACAAAACCTCTCGCTCACGGCGACCAGTATCACCGTTCACTAGCCATTTGTGCAGAACTCTATCCTTTCACTCTCATAATACGATGGGACAGTAATCCAATATAACCGGAGAGAGATCAGGCGCAGGCCTCATCTCAGACGTCCTCTCTCTCCGGTTGGTCTGTACGTGCTTTACGAGGCATGGGCGTGAGACACCATCAACCTCCTGACGTTGGGCAGCTACTGAGAACCAAAAACCCTGATTTGTCCCGCGTATACGATCACAAGACCAACGAAACAGTCAACTGCGAAACTACACATGTTGGTTAGGGCATATCCTCCAAACTTGTAAAAATTGAAACGCTAAGCTTTTATGCCATAAAGCCACGCTGCTGCTATAGTGGGTTGGTTCGACCGGAGGTAGGACACGCCCTCACAGAATATCAGCGTAAAATAGCAGCTTAACGCTGCTGTGTTTTGTATAGTAAGTGTAGAGAACCGGAGACCTTTTTTACTAGATATGAGTTATCCGATCTCAGTCCTGGGTGACAACTTATCCACATTTTGTTTCTTAATTGAGGATAAATGTAGGTGTCTATGGGCCAGAGCATCCACTTACCATCAGGCCGACTGTGCATTTGTTGTCATCTTTATTCTATGAAATTAAATATAAAATACTAAGTAGTTTAAAAACTGACAGTGTTATCATCACTGAACCCCATCGCAATTCAACTGTACAGGTTTCATCAGAATGCTAAAATTATTTGTTACTCATTAACAAAAAAATACTAGAAATCCTACCATCTGATAAAGATTCTTCATATGATTCATCTTTGTTTAAACTGTCTGTGATATCTAAGTATTCCACTTCGTTAAACTCGGTTTCTTCTTCCTCATCTTCTAAATCTTTCTCCACTTTCAATGTAGTGTAAAGAAACACTGAAATTATAACAAATAGTATTATTTATTTATTTTTGTATTGAGTACAAATCCTATAGTTTTAAAATTCACAAACACCCTTATAATAGTAGGTTTTAGGTTAATTAAGTACTAATTATACCTATATCTGTCTCTTTCTTTTGTCATTCAGTGAAAAGACAGTCACCATTACCTTTACAGCGAATTAAAGTCCACCGCAGAACATAGGTCTTGTAAGGGCCAGGGGGCCTTACATTATATATATATATATATATATATATATATATATATATATATATACAACATGTAACATGTCCCAAAATTCTACGATAAGCCAACACCGGAGGATAGACCTGCCCCGGAATAATCGGGGAAAAAAAAGAAAAAAAAAATATCCAATTATATTTTAAGTTATATAAAAAAAATGAAATTCTTCAGAAATTGAGACCGTTAATGATATTTTTCACTACCATAACCACACCAGCGCTTCTCCTATTGGATGGCATACGACCCTCCGAAAACGCTTGATGCACATTAATAAACACTCGATAATCAGGATATCTTTGAGCATTTGGGTATCTTTCTCGCTACAGTCTGCTAGCAGCGTTAGCATTACATCGGCATTCTCCATAGATTAAATGCATATTAGCGTATTCCTGTGGTGTGGTGGTGGTGTACGGTTGCGGCATGTTAAACGCCAAACAGTCCAAAATGCGCCAGAACTCTAAATCACAAAACAGAATCGTAGTCCAAGATAATGCCAGGTCAGTTCAGTTTGCAGATCACTTCTAGTCCAAATAATGCCAGGTCAGTTAAGTTTGAAGGTCGATTCCAGTCCAAAAAGCCAAGCCAAAAGTCGATAGTATGTACGAAAGCCACATAAGTTAAATTGGGAACGGTGCGCAGTAAACAAAGGAGCAGAGCGTACTGAACTGACTTGCTGAGAATAATAACAGCTTCTCTTCCTGCCCTGTCGTTGTCTCTTTTTAACGTCAATATCTCTATCTATCTATCTCTCTCTAACATCTAAGGTATGTTTGCCCCATTTAAATTCCTAGAAATTGTAACAAGAACCCATTTTGGGCATGTAGTAAAAGTGATTACTGACAATTACAATTTAAGGAATTTGGCCCCTGTTAAGAAATAATATGCCCATATTTTTTTATAACTTGTTTTCCTAGAGTATTATACCATTTTGGAATGTTGGTTAGTTGCGTCAATTTTTAAAAAAACTTTGCCATACTAGTGTTCATACTTTTTTATACCACAATAAGTTAAAGTTTGATAAAGTAAAAGTCTTCAAAAAATTTAGGAAATTTTTGGGGCGGTGCCTATAAAAAGAGAAAGAAACAAATATTAAAAAAATTGTGGTCATCGTAGTGAAAAATATCATAAACGGTCTCAATTTCTGAAGGATTTCATTTTTTTTATATAACTTAAAATATAATCGGGATATATTTTTTTCTTTTTTGCCCCGATTAGTCCGGGGCAGGTCTATCCTCCGGTGTTCTCTTATCCTTGAATTTTGAGACATGTTGTATATACCAGACGTAAAATACCCATAACAGTGATAGAGCAGGGCTAAAGATGCAAGATGTTCAATTTTTTTTATAGAAAAAGTGCAACATATGCATACACAGTCCACCTGATGGTAAGTGGATTCTGTTATCCTAGACTAGCAATCAAAATGCAGATGCCTTGTCATCCCTGAAGACTAAAATGGAATACCTTGTTATCAGTAAAAAGGAATTTCTGGTTCTCTACATTCACCATACAAAACACAGCAGCATTGAGCTGCTATTTTACACTAATATTTTGTGAATGTGATCCTACCTAAGTCAAGCCGACCCATTTGTGCTACAAATAATATAGCTAAAGTATGGCTCTGCCACAAATAATAATGTCCTCCAGACCCAATTTCGGTCACGGCGGCCTGCCTCAGCGGAGGCTAGCCATCAGCGCAGGACAGGATTATATTGCCCAAGTGTATGCGTAAGCACAGGTGCACTCTCTATTCCTTCACTCTCATAATCCGATGGGATGGTAAACCGAGACAACTGTAGAAAAATCAGGTGCAAGACCAACAGCTTTATGTGCTTTCCGAGGCACGAGGGTGAGACACCGCCAACTTCCTGATTACAGGAAATTACTGAGAATTTCTTGACAGAAAAACTCAATAATTAGTTTTTTTGGCCCGACCAGGGATTCGAACCCAGGATATGATCAGCAGTCATACTACTACAACCACTAGACCAACAAGGCAGTCAACTACATATATGGATAGAATATAATTATCAATTTGGCTTTAAATAAGGTAAGCATGCTGTCTAAGAAAACTAAACAGATATAAATTGAAAACAATCATTAGACTAACACAATTGGTCAAATTAAAAATTTTGCACAACCTGCTTCCATATAATTAAAATGAGAACATCATCAATATAGTTGAGTCAATTAAACATGCATTAATAAGGATAATTCGAAAATAACTACCACCACCACCAGGACCAGCTTTTAAATAAAAAAAACCTCAAAATCAGTTGAAGTTGGTTAAAAGAAAATTATATCGGAGCACTTGCTACATTAATTTTAAAACACATTGTAATACCACATTTATAAGACATCATAATTCAACCTAACACATGTTTTAACCTGTTTAATTTTTTTCTGGTTTCCAAGCTCTGGCCTAACACTCAGTTTATAAACGTATATATAGCCTTACATTCATCTTGTTTTTCATGCAGCACCTCTTCACTCACTAAAACTTCCCTTTTGAAGGCAAGTGCATCGCGTAACCGAGAGATACAAGAGGTGCATATCATATCCATATACCCCACGTTTTCCTCTGGTTGCTGCCACTGGAATATCACATCAAAGAAATATGTTAAAACCGATGAAGCAAAGAGGAAAGCAAAGTTGGACTTTTATGGGCAGAGTATGATTTTATATTTTGAGACTTTATTATATAACTTTTACTATTAAAATACAGTAGTTTAGCCTACATATAACATTAATGTTTTCAAACCTTTAATACAATAAAATACTTATTGGGTTGGCAACCTTAGTCTCTCCATAGTTTCAATTTTTCTTGCACAAGAGTTATAGATAAATATAAGAGTAAAAAAAATTTTTTTTTGGGGTGGGGGAAAAGTTTTTTTTTTAATATTTTTTTTTTTTTTTTTTTTTTTTTTTTTTTTTTTTGTTTTGAAAGGGCCGGGTTTTTTTTTTTAAATTATACGCTGTATTTCTTCATTGGTATAGATCTGGTACTTAGCAAGTTAATGAATTAGATATTATCATTACCTTCAGCCTATAAATAATTCGAAACAAATAAAACAAGTGATTTTACTTACTGATAGAGCAAAACATTCTGTCAACATCATTCCATAAATTTCGGTTTCTCCCTCAAACGTATAAGGCGTCCACAAATTTTTTAAATCTCCTTCATTAAGGCAACATTTACATCTTCCTATGAAGATCACCATTTCACCGTCTAACGGATCCATAATTATTAAATTGTTAATACTTTTGAAAAAATGAATATAAAAAACAACACGCCATCAAGCATAGTATATAGCATAGATAAATAAATTAAATATGTAGCAAGCTAGTATATAGTATATAGTCAGTAATCTATGCCATCAAGCAAACATTCACAGAGTACTTTTGTATACCTGAAATCAGAAATAAACATTTTTCTATATATATTACTCTACTCTATGAAACATTATCTCTGCCGTAGACAGAGAAACCTATAGACTAATGATCAACTTTATAATTTGTGCTAATGATCGGCGTGCGCTCGAGTGAGAAAGGACGATAACGAATTTTTAGGTTATACAATAATCTTTATGACTTTTAAACACATTTAGATAAAAATTTTAAGTGTTCTAAGAACTGAACTGAACAAGATTCACCAATCTTAAGCTGACAAAACACTTTTTTTTTTCTCACTTAAACCAACTTGTAAACTCCTTAAATCGCTACGCTGTTAAAGTTGTTTAGCAAACTGTGAGTTTGAAAACAAAAAAACCGGCATGGAGAAAGGGACAAGCAATCACACCGCTCTATCTCATTTCTATGCAAGACGTATGCATAAATTTATCTTTTTCGTGTGCGAATGCGAAAGAAGGCGTCAATTCGTAGACAGAGAAACCTACATTCTCTGTCTACGCGTCAATTTGTCTATAGGTTTCTCTGTCTACGATCTCTGCGGTATCTTTTTTTATTAACTGGCTTTACGGCTCTGGGTGCTAGCCCTTCTAAGCCTATCTCTGTATCTCATGCTCCTAGTAGAGAACAGGAGAACGATCGCTACAGAAAATATTGTCCCAGAAATATGGACAAAATAAGTGGGGCGCTGCGATCGCTAAGTTGTCTCAGTAATTTACATTATTATAAATTTTATAAGTTACTACAAATATAAATTATTAATCATTATTGAATTATTGAGTTATTATTATTCATAATATTTCACCATTTTTAAAGTTTCTTTTTGTCAAAAATTAAAAAATTACTTAGCAGACACTACTTACCGACGGCAGAGCGGCTATAAATTCTACAAATTTTCAGGGACAGGCAGGCTATGCTTTAGCACGTAGCGATCGTTCTCCTGATCTCTAACCTCCATGCTCCGCTAGGAGTAATAGTGTTCTGTGATCTCATGTTTTACACTATGGAGTGTAAAGTACTACATAATATAAGTAACTACATAATAATTTTTATAAAATTAGTTAGGCACCAAGAGTTCATCATCTCCATCACATTAACCCAATGCCGGCCCACAACTAACCATAGGTCTCCTCTCCATGCTTTTCAGCCCTAATAACAACTCCAACTTCTCCAACTGTACAGCTCTTTTATTTTACTTTTCAAATGCCCGTGACAAACTATAAAGAGAGAGAGAGAGAGAGAGAGAGAGAGAGAGGACTATAAAGATTCATTGTTTTACTATGGAACCTTAAAATCTCCTTATAAAAGCTGAACAGGTTGGACTCATTATTATTTTATTGTATGTATATATCTCGTGTGTTCATAAGTCTTGAGAAGATTTTTAAAAATCAAATTTCTAAAATAGAAAATTAATTTTTTTTTTCAATATCTTTATATATATAAAGTTAGTGTCACGTTGTTTGTCCGCGATGGACTCCTAAACTACTTAACCGATTTTAATCAAATTTGCACAGTTTGTGCAGTTTGGTCCAACTTGAGAGACAGGATAGTTTTTTGAATGTTTTTTTTTTTGCGAATTTAAGGATTTTTAATAGGATATGACAAAGAGTCGTCGAAAAGAGCAGAACAACGTCTGCCTGGCAAGCTAGTTATATATATAAATATTAAATATATTAATATTAAAATATTAAATTTTGAAATTGGAATGTTCTGAGAATTTTTAAGCAAAAATTATTTTCAGCTTTTTGGTTTTTATCGAAATGGCGGCGAATAAAGATATGCGTTCTACGGTGATTTCACTGTTTAAGGCGGGAAAGAAACATATTATGGAGATTTTTAATCAAATCAAACAGCTAGGGGCTAGTTGAAATTTTGTTTCGGTACTATACTTTGAAGAGATACAGGAAGAAGTTACAAGTGCAAAACAAACCCAAAAGTGGAAGACCACGCAGCGTAAAGACGCCTGTCAACATCAAGTTAATACGCGAGCGTCTTCGTTGAAATCCTTGCCGCACTCAGAAGAAGCTGGCTATTCAGACGAACATATCAAGAATATCTGTCAATATATATTGAAATATGATCTTAAATGAAAGGCCTACAGTCGACGAAAAATTCATTATCTCAATAATCGCCTTCGCAAATTGCGTTACGATCGCTGTCGAATGTTATTGAAGAGACACCATGCAAAAAAATCTCTTCACAGATGAGAAAGTTAAATTTTAATCCATGGTAACCGCTGTTACTATTACATCTGGACGTTGAAAATCTCAGTCCCCTCGTGACAGTAAAGCTGGGAACAAATTATCGGACGCGTCCATCAGCCGCGGCTGACGGACGCGGCTTACCGGTGTGCACGGTAGTCCAGACGGCGTCTACGGATACTTCGCCTCGGTCATTCCATAAAGGTTTGTCAATCGAGAAACATGACAAGTAGCGACAGCGAGGACGAATTTATAGAGTTAGCGGCAGCTGCTTTATGTAGTCCTCCAAAAAAAAAGTGAAAAGGAGTGTTTAGTTCCATGATATTAATGTAAAACGACTCAAATATGGTGAATTTCATACATTATATCCAGACTTACAAAAAGATGATAAACGTTGCAAAATGTACTTAAGAATGAATGAAGACCAATTTAATTTTCTGCTTAGTCTTATTGAAAGTGACATCGAAAAACAAATGACACAGTTTCGCACGCCGATATCTGCAAAGGAGCGTCTAGTGGTGACTTTGAGGTAGGTATATATTAACGTGACGTGTCTTTTTTTAATAGGATATGGTGACAAACACACACTGTCCACCTGATGGTAGGTGGATGACGGGGCCCATAGACATCTACATCTATCCTCGATTTCGAATCAAAATGCAGATGCGTGTCACCCGTCAGGACTAAGACAGAATGCCCCGTTTTTAGTAAAAAGGGTCTCTCCATGCAAAATACAGCAGCATTAAGCCGGTATTCTGTGAGAGCGTGATGCTTCCCCGGTCGAGCTGGCCACTCGATATGTATATCTATATCTATATACATAATATATGTAAGTGTGAGGTGTAGAAGTGTTTCTTTTTCAGCAAGAAAGAAAGAAAGAAAGAAAGACCTTTAGTCACTGGAACTGTACACATTACAAAAATAAAATATTAAACAGTTAAAATTTAGCAGATTAATATTACAAGTGATGGGTGTGTATCGAGCCAGTGAAAAGGTTTGTCAGGTATAGGTATGGTGTTTTACATTAACTAACTGTTAATTGACCTACATAAACCAATATCCTGTTATGAGTCAAAAAATAAATGGTTAGGTATATACCGAAATAATACAACGAATGTGCTCAATTTAATTTACTTATTTATTAAAGTTTTTTGATGACCAAATATTCAAGAAGTGATTTTGCTGGGCCTTTATATAGCTCACCGCTGCTTTCCTGACGTTCATGGATGCTGTCTCGTCTACTTCATATAATTCTTCTGAAGATGGCATGGAAAGCTCAATGACAGAATTTTTGCGTTGTCTGCAGTAATGATTGGGAGTTGGATCGCATGGAAGGCATTTGTGAAGTAGATGGCTGGATGATGTTAGAGGACAGAGGCAAGGAAAACTGTTGAGTGGGAAGTGATTTATGGGTGCTCGGAGCAGTTGGTGAAGACTGAGATTGTCGAGAAAAAAAAGTTGATTGGAGGGTGTTTTGAGGTAAGGATGAAGACTCTTCTACGTTTGAAGGTAAGGCAGACTGGCGAATAAATAGAGGTGGTACTGATGGGTGTTCTGTAGTGAGGGTGAAGACTGCAGGACGTAAGAAGGTGAGGCAGATTTTCTAGTGAAAGGAGGTGATTGGTAAGTGTTCTGGGGAGACGGTAAAAACACAGGAGAAGAAATTTGTTGAGTGAGAGGAGAAGGTGATCGTTGGGTGCTCTAAGGCGAGGATGAAGATTGACGTAAGTACGAAGGCGAGGTAGATTATTCTCTTAAGTAAGGAGAAGACATGCGGTGAATGAACGGTTGAGGTGATGGTGTTGATATATCTGAGATCCTACTTGAAGAAGCAGAAGATTCTGTCAGAGAATCCAGCCACCTCATTTCTTTTTCATGGACGAGTTTCATTATGTCAAATTTTAATTTAACTTGGTCTATTTTAGGGAACTTCTTCACTGTTTTCGCTATTGTTTCAAAGAATAAATCAATGTCGTCTTTTTCTGATTTACTCTTATATCTTGCTTTTATTAAATTTAAGATTTGTTCCTGATAATTATTGTTATTTTTCCGTTTTCTCTGCTGTGTGTTGTTATCTTTGTTAGAGTCTTCATTTATTGTATCCGAATTTGGGTTTTCTTCGCTCTCGCCGATATTAGATAAAGTGTTCCTATGCGTCATAAAAGGTAATAAGAATGACATCGCCTCTTCAAATTTCCACTTCTTCAAGTTTTTTACGCCTTGCCCTGTCACTGTTTTTCTTCTGCTTACAGCATGTACGAATGCATTTCGTAACAAGTTCCATTTTGCCTTGCATATCGAAACTAAAAAGAAAAATAGATAAATTATTATTATCTTAAGGCGCTACTCTTAGCGAACGACTTTGAGCATTCGGTCCGCCTATGCTTCTACACTACACACGTTGGTTGCGCGGAAAACCATTCATATTTTTATTTTATTCGAGGGTATGCTTGCCAAGCTTGTCCTTCCTTCGACCTTTCCATAACCTATCGTCCCTTCGACACACCGGGGTGGTGGGGTGAGAGGGGAAAGAAGAAAGTTCTAGAATGTCACGTGATTCTCATAACCAATGAGAAGAGCGCCCGACTTCGGTGGGAAAAAGGAGATATAAGCCCGCGCACGGCACTTGCGTGCTCTCTTCCCTTTGGCCGCTAGTTGGAACCACACCGCCTAGGGCAGTCGCGTCCTAGAGGGCTTTGCCAACGCGCACCACTAGTTGAAACGCACCACGCCTGGAGCTGTCGCGCTCCAGGAGTAACCGCCTCACCTCGTGTGAGATATAGTCGCGCACCGCTCTCTTCCATCGCACCACCGACCAGGACCGCATCCCTGGGGCCCCAGGAGATCCGCCAGAAGTAGCACCGCAGCGTCCAAGCCGCATCGAAGTAACACCCCGGTAAGTGTTCTTCTTCCTTATGTTACCTGCTTGAATATTTGTGTTTTTTTAGTTAATCCGCCCAATTTCATTTCTCCTAATGTGATCAAGCAGGGTACCTACCTAAACCTTGGCAAGCAATAGGTTTTTTTTTGGAAGAGCGAGTGCATTGTCAAGGAACCGCATGCTATAGCCACCATTTTGTTGAAGCAGAAGAAGCCAACCGCGTATACAGTCCATCTAGTATAACATCTCGCGTATTAGGGTCAAGGCTCGACCGGGGAATTGTAACTCGGCAACCTTAAGGCCCGCCGCTCGACCATTTTCTGATCCTTCGGCTGGATTTGGACTGGTGCTTTATAGCCTCACCAACCATTGCTAGATTTATTTCATTTTAGATTAATTCCTTAGACAATGCACTCTAATTTAATATTGAATAGATTTAAATAGTGTTCGTTTAGTTTAAATTTAAACTTTGTTTAGTTATTCGCAAATAGAATTATTCATTTAAATAGTGTTTGTTTAGTTTAAATTTAAAATTTATTGGTTACTCGCATAAGTAAATCGATTTATTTATCTAAAATAGTTTAGTTCCGGTTTATTCGGCTTACCCGACATTTGTAAAAAACAGTGTGAGTTTAGCGACCGACACGCGTCGCCTCGGCTCGTTGTAAAGGTGTTCAATTTAACGACGTAATACTGCACGATAAGACAATAGTGTTGTGAGATATAGTTGTATTACATTGCGTCCATCCTCCAGCGTTGTGCGATTAATTGTGATTAATCTAATATTAATTATAGTAAAGTAAAATGGCAGTTAGTGGAAATGAAATTAAACTTAAAACTCTTTACGCCAAGAGGAACATACTCTTCTCACGTATACAGTGTATACGTGATGAAGCAGTGCGGGAGACGTTTTTATGTGAAATCGAAACGGTGGACTCTTTGCGGACGGATTACGAAAAGATATTTGACCAAATTAATAATTTGGAATTACAAATCGATCCTAAGTATACAGTAAACTTCCAGCCGCTTCTAGCATTTGAAGACATGTTGTGTCGCCTGAAAAGAACGGCGAAGCTCTTGCAGTCCCCATCTCAAAGCGAAGCAAAGCCGGAAGCCCAGGTACGCCCACGTGACTCACTCAGGTTGCCCCCCATAGATATTCCGTTATTCAATGGCGATATTAAAACATGGCCCTTCTTCTTTAGTAGTTTTCAAAACAACATACATAATAATCCATCGTTATCGGACGCTGAAAAATTATACTATTTAATTAGTAAACTGAGCGGTAGGGCACAGTCAATTTGCTCGGGTTTCACACCAACAGCAAACAATTATTCGTCAATATTCGAAACGCTTAAAACCAAATATGAAGATAAGAGAATGTTAGCCTCCGAATATTTAAACCAGATATTCGACCTTAAACCTATATCACCTGCGAACATCAACGGCTTAGAACAGTTTTTAGATAAATTTGTGGCATCGGTGGCTGCACTTAAGAACTTGAAATTTAAGGACGTGGTGTTTCTCCATATTGCACTAAAGAAACTAGACCCCGACACCGTGCGTGCGTTTGAAATAGAGCATCGTAGTTCTGAGTTGCCCTCATTTGATTTATTAGCACCCTTTGTGCGAGACCAAATTAAAGTGATACAGCGCTCCTCGAACATTAAACAAGAAGTTAAGAAAGGTGTCGACCGCAGACAGACTCCATCATCTAAAACCGCAGGGTCTCTAACGTACGTAACCGCCGCGCCTGTATCGCCCCATAACGCCTGTGTTCTATGTAAAAATAAACAACACGGTAATTTATACAATTGTGCGACTTTTCGTAAACATTCACCCAGCGAACGTTATAGAATAGTAAGGACAAACAACTTGGTGTTTGTTGTGTTTTTTTTTTTTAATTTCCCTGTTGGGGCGTGTTTGAATTGTCTAAGCGATAGACATTTAGTTGCTAAATGCAATTCTAGTTCCGTGTGTAACAAGTGCGCCAGAAAACATCATACGTTATTACATTTCGAAAATAGCAACATATTTGCGTCAAGTAAATCGGACAAGGAAATCACACCTACTAAAGTCGACGATTCTAGCGGTCGACCTGGTGATGTCGCTCTGTGCTCATTTTCGAATATGGGAACACAGCCTCCTTCAACCGTGTTACTGGGTACAGCCCGTATTATCCCGTTAGGGATTCGCGTGGAAACGAACAAGGCGTCCGTACATTGCTAGACAGCGGATCCCAAAATAGCTTTATAACGCGACAATGTTGTCAGCGCTTAGGATTGCCAATAAATAGGACACCTTCATGTCCCGTAGTCAAAGGCATCGGAGGTACCAGTAAAATTACCCAGGGATATATAAATCTGAAATTTTATTCCCGGCTAGATCGTAATTTTAACTTTGACATAAATTCACTAGTAGTAGATAAAGTCACTGAACGTCTGCCAACCGTCTCGGTCGACACCTCGGCAATGATTGAATTTGAAAATTTGACTCTGGCAGACGATACTTACGCCGTCCCCGGAAACATAGACATGCTCATCGGAGCATCGCTTTTCCCTCATCTTTTGTTACACAATAAGGTCAGGGGCAACTCCTCGCATACCGCGCCTTACGTATTGGAAACCGTCTTGGGCTATGTCATCGTTGGCTCCGCCCCCATCATGGATAATATTTCGTCAACCTCTTATTGTTGTATGGCTGTCGAACCGCTCGAGTCGTTAGTCCGCAAATTTTGGGAGATGGAGGAGGTGAACGTTCCATCTATAGTTAACCCAGATGATAGATTATGCGAGCAAATTTACGTCCGCACGACCGTTCCTGATCGCGACTGTCGATATAGTGTAACGCTACCCTCTAAAGGAGATGTTTTATCTCACGGGTATTCGCGTCAAATTGCGGAAATGCATTTCTACAGTTTGAAGCGTAGGATGCTCGCTTCACCCCAATTAAAGGAAGCTTATGACGGCGTCATTAACGAATATATAAGGGAAGGTTACATATCACTTGTGGCTCCGAAATTAGATAACTACGAAGATACACCGTCGTATTTCATAACACATCACGGGGTCATTAGGGAAGACACTAACTATGTAAGATACACGTAACCATAAGTTACGTGTAGTGCTCTACGCTAGTGCTAAAACTAGCACTCACCTTTCTCTTAACGATATCCTCTATAGTGGTCAAAATTTACAGGGCAGTTTATTTAATATAAAAGCAAATTTTCGTTTGTTTAGTATAGCACTATCCGCCGATATTCGCCAAATGTTTTTTTGCATAGGGGTCCGTGATTGCGACCGTCGATTCCAACTTATTTTATATCGTTTCAACCCAAAAGAACCTCTAATGGTGTTTGAATTAAAACGCGTTTGCTTTGGTTTAAAGTCCAGCCCATTTCATGCGTTACGCACGGTGAGACAGCTCGCCTACGATGAAAGTCCCTCTTATCCTAAAGCTAAGAGGGCAATTGAAAGTGGATTATATATGGATGATTTTGTGTACTCGGTCGATAGCGTGGAGGAGGCCACCCTAACCACCGCCGAGGTTATAAAGCTCATGAAATCGGGTCAATTCGATCTTGTCAAGTGGACTAGTAATTCGCGTCCGGTTTTAGACACAGTCCCACTATCACACCGTCTTTCAGCGATAAAGGAATTCGACGATTCTGATACACACAAGGTGCTCGGTCTGTGTTGGTCACCAGAATCCGACGTGTTTAGCCTTAAGGTAAACCCGCCCGCAGAAACGTGTACAAAGCACACAATACTGTCATGCGTTGCTAGATTATGGTGTCATGGGTTTCGTAGCTCCGGTGGTATTATAAGCTAAGCTTTTCATTAAACAACTTTGGTTATGTGAATGCTATTGGGATGATTCGCCGCCTGACAGCATTGTTCGGATGTGGCAGCGTTTTAGAGAGGAACTTACTTTACTAAGAGAAATTAAAATACCACGTCATATAAACGTCGATAGAAATAGCGTCATCACGGTCGTTGGGTTTGCAGACGCCAGCGAGAAGGCTTACGGGGGCGTTGCACATTTCCACGTCCAGAATAATGGTTGAAATTCGATTAGCCTCATTAGCTCTAAGTCAAAAGTCTCTGGCGCGCTTAGAGCTTTGCGCGATATTAGTCCTCACCAAGCTTATCACCGCAGTTATCAGCGCATATAATGACAGAGTTCACATAGAAAGGATATTTGCCTTTTCCGACTCAACCGTTGCTTTTTCTTGGGTTCATTCTTCACCCCACCGTTGGGATACGTTTGTCGCGAACCGAGTGGCCAAGATCCAAGACGAGTTAGGAACACGGAACTTTTATCACGTGTCCGGTGCGGAAATCCCTGCGGATTGTCTGTTCCGTGGACTCACCCCGATGCAAATAATGGACCATCCGCTTTGGTTCCACGGACCTTCTTGGGTTCACTTGGAACCCTCGTAATGGGCAATAACCGATTTCGACCCTTCGTCAGTGTCACAACCGCCGGAAGAGAAGAGGCACGCTCTGGTAGCGAGCTTTTCGAGCGAGGTTTCTCCAATCATTGCTTTGGCGAACCGTTTGTCCTCTTGGTCGAAATTATTGCGTAGTATAATTTACGTTTGTTGATTCGCGAAGCTTTTACCGCGACGTTCGTATATCTTAGCATCCGATTACAACTATGCCGAGTTGCTAGTATTGCGTCAACGTGCACACTTTTCCGAGAAAATTACAAGATTACAATCGAATAGAACTTGTAGTCGCGCTTTTCAACGCCTTAAGCCATTTTTACAAGATTGGATCGTCAGGGTAGGTGGACGCTTGTCCAACACGCAGTTGAGTTTCGACCAACGGCACCCTATAGTTTTACCGCGTAAAGACCATATCATGAATTTATGACATTATAAATTGAATTCTCACGCTGGCCCCGACTTGCTGATGTCAATCTTGCGTCAGAATTATTGGATTCTTTCCGCACGTAACTTAATCCACAATCGGGTTGCTTTCGGGTACGTCCCAAGCCGGCATTTCCTGAAAAGGCGGACCTTGTGTCTTGTCGATTAATACAATCCGTAAAGCCCTTTACGCACACTGGGTCTGATTTTGCTGGTCCGTTTAAGGTCACGCTCACTCGCGGGCGTGGTATAAGATCCACAAAGGCTTACGTCTCCATTTTCGTATGCCTAACTACTCGGGCGGTGCATATAGAACTCGTTGGTGATCTAAGCGCAGCGGGCTTTATGGGTGCATTTAAAAGATTTCCTTCCCGCCGTGGCCCTGTAAGTAAATTGTATTCGGATAACGGTAAGAACTACGCCGGCGCGAAACGTATTTTATCAGAACTACATGAGCTCTTAGCCAGCAATTATTATAATTCGGAGTTCGCTCACATTCTAGCCGAGAACCGCATCGAGTGGTCTCTGAACGTCCCAGCCGCGAGTCATTTTGGGGGCAATTGGGAGACTAATATTAAGAGTCTAAAGAGTCACTTATACCGAGTAATAGGAGATCAAATTTTGTCCTTCGAAGAGCTAAGTACTGTGCTCGCTCAAATTGAGTGCGTTATGAATAGTCGCCCACTTTGTCGTACGTTGTCAAGTGACCCCTCAGAGCCGCTGGCTCTAGCTCCAGCACATTTTTTGAATTTAACGCCTTTGAAGTATTTGCCCGCCGTAGATATGGACGAGAACAAACTTAGCATTTCCGCACTCCATAAATTATTAGACCGGTTGGTGCAATCGTTTTGGAAACGATGGAGGATGGAATACTTGCATACTTTGCAGTCTCGGCAAAAATGGAACACAGCAACTGAACCTTTAACTGTCGGAACTGTGGTTGTGCTCACCAAAGAGAATACGCCGCCTCTCCATTGGCCATTAGGGATTGTCGAAGAGATTTTTCCCGGTTCCGACGGGGTAATTAGGGTAGCTCACGTTAGGACCGCGGTTGGGTGTTACATGCGTCGTGTTGTCCGTTTGTGCCCCATTGCCCCTTCAATAGTTTAAATTAGCTTTCTAGATTAGAAATTGTAGTCGAAATTTAGGTTTAATCTTAGCGTTAGTTGTTTTAGTTATTTTTGAAGGGGACCCTTCAAGCCGGGGGGGATGGTTGCGCGGAAAACCATTCGTATTTTTATTTTATTCGAGGGTATGCTTGCCAAGCTTGTCCTTCCTTCGACCTTTCTATAACCTATCGTCCCTTCGACACACCGGGGTGGTGGGGTGAGAGGGGAAAGAAGAAAGTTCTAGAATGTCACGTGATTCTCGCAACCAATGAGAAAAGCGCCCGACTTCGGTGCGAAAAAAGGAGATATAAGCCCGCGCACTTGCGCGCCCTCTTCCCTTCGGCCGCTAGTTGGAACCACACCGCCTAGGGCAGTCGCGTCCTAGAGGGCTTTGCCCACGCGCATCGCCTGGAGCAGTCGCGCTCCAGGAGTAGTAGTATCCAGTCCATCCAGTATAACATCTCGCGTTGTAGGGTCAAGGCTCGACCGGGGAATTGTGACTCGGCAACCTTAAGGCCCGCCGCTCAACCACACGTTATTGCTACAATATATTACGTAAGAAATACGCCCAAATTTTAAAATATTTCCTTTCTAAAAACGAATTTCAGTCCTTTGAAAAAAATAAATAGATCAAAATGTTCATTAATAAATTGGCTATCCATTGGTGTTAATCGCAAAATAAAATAATTCTTACTTTACGAGTAGATGCATGTTATCAATAATTATTTCGCATTTCTGTGGTGTACTTGTAGGGAGATTCATCAAATATTTACTCCATTTAAAAAATTGGATTTGGCTATAATGGAATCAAGATTATGTAGAAATTTAATAGATTTTTCATTAGTTGACATATCTTTTTAATAACAAGCTACTTTTATTTTCTGGTTTTTAGCCACAGGAGAATCATTAGTTGACGCTAACTACAAATTCATTGCAGTTGATGTTGGGGCCTTCGGACGTAACAGTGACGGTGGTGTGTTTTCTGAGTCAAAACAAATTCATTGGCGACTAACACTGCAGATATACCAGCAGATACACCATTGGAAAATGGTGGTGAATCCATGCCACATGTCATTATAGGAGACCAAGCGTTTCCATTAAAACACTATTTAATGAGACCATACAATAAAGAAGCTGTTTCTAATAACGCAAATAAAAAGAATTTCAATTATAGATTATCACGTGCAAGGAGGACAGTCGAAAACGCATTTGGAATTTTGGCAGCAAGATGGCGGATATTCCATACAGATATTGAAGTGCAACCAGAAATTGTCGATAACATCATTTTATGCTGTTGTTGCTTACACAACATGCTACGGAACGACGAAGACGACAACATCTTTTTGCAAGATCTACCAAATGGTGTACCAGATAACTTTATATCATTTGAAGGTATACGTAATAATTCTACTCGAGCAGCATTTGTTATTCGAGACAAGTTTTGTGATTACTTTAGTTCCGAAAATGGAAGTTTGCCTTGGGAAAATCAATAAATAAATATAAAATATAATTAATACAGTTTTATTATTTTTGTGCCTGATGTGCCTGATTGCGATAATAATTACCTCGTACCTAAACAGTTTCATCTGTACCTAGAAACAGTTAGGTGTAGTCTTGTTATATTAAGTAGTAAGAATAGAATTGGTAAGTGTAGCGACACACTTGCGTTCGACATCGACTTTTGTATGAAAGAACAAAATTCATTTTTCCTTGTTCAACCTATGTTTTTTTACTATACACTTTTATTCGTTCATTAATTACTTAACTTATTTTAATCAATATTCAAACTTTGTACAATATTTATTTATGTACAATAGTTTTAAAGAAAGGTGTTCTGTTTCACCAACGCTGTCAATTCCCTAAAAATTACGTCGCGTTCATAGGTTCTCGAAAAATACTGCAGTCGCACATTCGGTGCCGTACTTGACCGTTTTTGGTATCTATGTTGACGGAGGTCTGTCGCTACACTAACACACGAGGCACATGCCTCCGTCGTGTAGTGGTTAGAGCGTTCGGTTCACACGCGGAGGTCAAGAGTTCGATTAAAAATAGCCATAATAGCTCTTATAAATCAAAATAGTTATTAAAAAAGTCATAATAGCTCTTATAATTTAAATTACTTATTACGGTTTTATCGCGTTTATTACATTATTTTTACATATAACGTTTCAAATACCTAGATACTTTACTCATAAGCTTATAACATATGCCATCTAAAACATAACTTGTAAAAAAACCAAGTCTCGCAACCCAGTTCTAACGTAAAAAGTTGTGAGATCCATGTAATACCAAGTCGGTTAGTTTATTCAGTCCCTACTTATGGGTCCTTCTGTTTAAAGTTATTACATAATTAGCTAACCTAATAACATCTAAAATCGGAAAAACTCCGCCGTCACTTATACGCCCTTGAGCACCTATTTCAGCAAACATGAAACAGTAATCATGATCTACTAGAGCTAGGAGGACAATGCTAAAAGTATGTTTATAATTCTAATATTCAGGTGTACATGCGTGCCATCTATAGCAAAGACTAGGAATATGAACTTAGCATGATGCATTTTGTTGTAAGATGTAAATAAAATGCCATCAAAAACATAACTTAAAACATAAAACATAACTTTTACAAGTTATGTTTTTGATGGCATCTCATTTCTTTTTGTAGATAAGATAGTCCTACTTTTTTACCTTTCCGGTACCTTCTACTTCTTGAATACCAACAACGTACCTACCTATCTACACCTATTATATATATACAAGTACACTGATTCATTCACTGCAAATCTAACTTTGTAATTATATATATTTATATAATATTTCAAAGTTATTTATGCAGTTGGTGTATCTATAAAACTGGAATGAAATTAAAAAATATTTTAGTTTTTCTTTGATTTATGTACTAAACCTTATAATAATAATAATAATAATAAGGATGGTGGTACAAAGAGGAACGCGCATAGGGCCGTTGCCTGGGGGTCGCCGGGGCGCGTCTGGAGCTGGCGCTGGACGCGGCAGCATGCGGGCCGCCAGCCGAACGCGAGGAGCTGTACTATCACCTAGCAGCCCTCCGCATCCATCATCCCCACCAGAAGGCTTGGTGTCGGCTGGGTCTTCTCGGACTCAGCAAGCGGCACCCGCCGCTGGTGGAGCACGTCGCATGCGTTGGTCACAAACAATGAACGCAAACGCACTGCGGGCTTACTTTAGGGCAAAAGGGGAAGAAACCGGATGTTTGGCATATCGGGCTCGGATGCATCTCTTTTTTGCAGAGCTGGAGCCATCTCTATCCGTCACTGAGCAAAACCTGGCAGACCGAGTTCGGTACATCCTGCGCTCCAACATATTTGGTGACGCCGAACTCGAACAACTACGATGTGAGGCTGTTCCCTCATCGGATGGAAATGCTACGGCCGGGAATGCGGCGCCACTAATTGCGCAGCAAACTGCAAATGTGGACGCTGCCGTCAATATTCCATTTGTGGTTAATTCAGACGATGATGGAATAGTCCCCCACGAACTAGAGAAAATGAGAAGCATATTGGAAGAGTCGATTCTGGAAACGCACAGCATGCCTTTCGAAAATCGACCGCGACTTCCCCGCATACCCCTTAGCAAGCGAAATCGGGCTGTCGAGCGGGCTCTTAACCCAATGCTGGTGACTATTTGGAAGCCAGCCGGGACCTTTGCGAGACGGACTCAATTCTTTTTTGGCGCCGCACTGGCAGTATGCCGTATTATTGGCGCCAAACTTCCCACTTCCACTGCACGTGCTACTCAACAAGGTAGTGCCATCCCAGCCTGGAGAAAAAGAATCGAGGACCGTATCGCAAAGGCAAGGGCCCTTATCGTCAGACTGACAAGCTTCAGGTCGGGTAATAATAGACCGAGAGTTGTGCGCACCGTTAGAATGGCGTTTGCTGGGACAAATATTAGTTTGTCCCAGCCGAATATCACGCAGAAACTAACGGAGCACATAGATGACCTGAAGCAGAGAATCGCTGCTTGGGGAAAGCGAATTCGGCGATATACCGAGAGGTCGACACGGTTCAACCAGAATCGTCTCTTCCAGAGTGATCAGAAGAGGCTCTATAAATCATTGGAGCGACCAGAGGTATGTGGAGCGGGCCCAGGACCGGATCAGGCTGACACTGTCGCATTTTGGCGTGGCCTGTGGTCAGAGCCCGTAAACCACAGCGAGGGCCCTTGGATGGAAGTTGTGGCGAGCCAGAGTGCAAGTGTTACGCCTATGGACTTCGTCACCATAACGCCTGAAGACGTGGCTGAGGCGGTCCGTAGGGCCCCGAACTGGAAAAGTCCGGGGCTCGACGGGCTGCATCATTACTGGCTGAAGGGGTTCGTAGTGTGTCACGCTGTGCTCGCCCGACAGTATCAAGAGGCTCTCGATCAGAAGTCGCTCCCGAGCCTCTTCACTACTGGGATGACTCACTTGGTTCCTAAAGATCAGGATACCACAGACCCGAGCAAATACAGCCCCATCACGTGTCTACCCACTATATATAGGACACTGACATCCATTTTGAGCGCGAGAATCACTCGTCACCTGGAGCTAAATCAGGTGATATCACGCGCTTAAAATGGATGTCGGGGCGGTGGTCGTGGAACCAAGGAACCACTCCTCATTGACGCGGTCATTGCCAAAGTGGTGAAATGCAACCGTCGGAACTTCTCCGCCGCCTGGATAGACTACAGAAAAGCATTCGACTCGGTGCCCCATACATGGCTAAAAAGGGTCCTCGAGCTGTACAAGATTGACTGTACAGTTAGAGACTTCCTCGAGCAGCATATGGGGCAGTGGAGTACGATCCTCTGTTATCTGGGCGAGCGGATGTTGGCTGCGGAGAACCACATAAGGATAAGAAGGGGTATCTTCCAGGGCGATTGTCTGAGTCCAATCTGGTTCTGCCTCTCTCTGAACCCTCTCCATACCTTACTGGTGGGCTCCGGGAGAGGATTTCAGCTACGGAAGGGAGGAACAAAAGCGACCCACCTTTTCTATATGGATGTCCTCAAGTTATTCGCCTCCAGTCGCTCCCATCTTATGGAATTGCTAAACATCACTTGTGAATTTAGCAATTCTATTGGAATGAAGCTGGGGACGGATAAGTGTGCGGTCCTTCATGTTGAAAGGGGAAGGGTTGCTAACTCTGAGGGCATAGATTTATCTATGCTCGTCAACTTAAAGACCCTTTTCGAGGCTGAAACATACCGATACCTGGGTATGTCACAGAACATCGGTATTGATGAGGCTGGTATGAAACAGTCAGTTTGCGACGTGTTTTATGCACAGTTGACCAAAGTGCTTAACAGCCTTTTGTCCGGTGTGAATAAGACACACGTATATAATGGTTGGGTCATGCCTGTCCTCATATATACCTTTGGCATACTCAGGTGGACTCAGACCGAACTTAACGCCCTGGATAGAAAAGTCCGCACTACCATGACGTCCCATAGGATGCATCATCCGAGATCGTCGGTAATGAGACTGTACTTGCCGCGAAAGCATGGTGGGCGTGGTTTTCTGAGCGCGCTCACCATGCATAATCGCGAAGTGTGCAGCCTCCGTGATTACTTCCTGGCGAGATCGGATGATCCATTCTATAATGACGTCATTTCTAGTGATAAAGGGCTTACCCCTCTATCCTTAGCCCACGAGCAATAGCAGGACCCAGCAGTGCTTAGCATTTCCGACCGGGAGACCGTATGGAAGGAGAAGGAGCTCCACGGGGGGTACTACAGAGCTCTTCATGAGCCCTTCGTAGATACAGTCACCTCCCTCAACTGGCTACGTTTCGGTGACCTCTTCGGGGAAACTGAGGGTTTTGTCTGTGCAATACAGGATCAGGTTATTAAGACTAACAACTATCGGAGATACATCCTAAAGGATGGCACCGTCGACGTCTGTCGACGCTTGTCGAGCGGCAGACCGAGTTCGGTATATCTTGCGCTCAAATATATTTGATGTCGCCGAACTCGAAGGGCTACGACGTGAAGCTGTTCCCTCATGGGATGAAAATGCTACGGCTGAGGATGCGGCGCCACAAATTGTAGAGCAACCCGCAAACGCGGATGCCGCCGTGAATAACCCAGTTGTGGTTGATTCGAACGATGATGGAACAGTCGCCCAGGAACTGGAATTAGAGCATATGAGGAGTATATTGGAAGAGGCGATTGTGAAAACGCGCACTACGCCTCCCGAAAGTCGACCGCGACTTCCCCGCATAGCCCTAAGCAAGCAGAATCGGGCTGTCGTGAGGGCTCTGAACCCAATGCTGGTGACCTATTTGGAACCGCAATCCTTTTTTTGGCACCGCGTTGGCAGTCTGCCGTATCATAGGCGCCAAGGTTTCCACGGCTGGACGCACTACTGGCCAAAGTAGCGCATCCCAACATGGAGAAGAAGAATTGAGGAACGTATCGCAAAGGCTAAAGCTCTCATCGGCAGACTGATATGCTTCAGATCAGGCAATAACATGCTAAGAATTGTGCGCACCGTCAGGATGGCGTTTGCTGGGACAAATGTCAGTTTGTCCCAGTCGGATATAACGCAAAAACTGACGGAGCGCGTAGATAATCTGAAGCAGAGAATCGCTGCTTGGGGAAAGCGAATTCGGCGAAATACCGAGAGGTCGACACGGTTCAACCAGAATCGTCGCTTCCAGAGTGATCAGAAGAGGCTCTATGAATCATTGGAGCGACCAATGGTAAGTGGAACGGGCCCAGCACCGAATCAGGCCGACACTGTAATATTCTGGAGCGGCCTGTCGTCAGAGCCCGTAAACCATAGCGAGAGCCCTTGGACGAAAGTTGTGGCGAGTCAGTGTGCGAGTATAACGCCCATGGACCCCGTCATCATAACAGCGGATGACGTAGCTGGGGCGTTCCGTAGGGCCCCGAACTGGAAAAGTCCGGGACTCGACGGGCTGCATCACTACTGGCTGAAGGGGTTCGTGGTGTGTCACACTGTGCTCGCCCGACAGTTTCAAGAGGCTCTCAACCAGAAGTCGCTCCCGAGCCTCTTCACTACTGGGATCACCCATTTTGTTCCTAAAGACCCCAAAATACCGCCCCATCCCGTGTCTACCGACCATATACAAAACACTAACATCCATTATGAGTGCGAGAATTACTCGTCACCTGGACTCAAATCAGGTGATGTCGCGCGTTCAAAATGGATGTCGGGACGGTGGTCGTGGAACCAAGGAACCACTCCTCATTGACGCGGTCATTGGCAAAGTGGTGAAACGCAACCGTCGGAACTTCTCCGCCGCCTGGATAGACTACAGAAAGGCATTCGACTCGTAGCCCCATACATGGCTAAAGAGTCCTCGAGCTGTACAAGATAGACTGTACAGTTAGACACTTCCTCGAGCAGTGTATGGGGCAGTGGAGTACGATCCTTTGTCATCTGTGCGAGCGGATGATGGCTGCGGAGAACCACATAAGGATAAGAAGGGGTATCTTCCAGGGCGATTGTCTGAGTCCAATCTGGTTCTGCCTCTCTCTGAACCCTCTCAGTACCTTACTGGTGGGCTCCGGGAGGGGGATTTCAGCTACGGAAAGGAGGGACAAAAGTGACCCACCTTTTCTATATGGATGACCTCAAGTTATTCGCCTCCAGTCGCTCCCATCTTATGGAATTGCTAAACATCACTTGTGAATTTAGCAATTCCATTGGAATGGAACTGGGGACGGATAAGTGTGCGGTCCTCCATGTTGGAAGGTAAGTTTTGGGTTGCTCATCTATCTCTAGTACATAGTCAGTAATCTATGGAATCCCGTTTAGGGGTATATGTGTTCTGTGCAGAAAATGCTATATTACCGTGCGTTTGCACTGACGCGATTTTCACAAAAAAAAACATGTTTTAAACACTGTTTTCTGTCAATGTATCAAAAAGCGTTTGCATAGTCAAGGAACATGTTTTAGTGAAATATATTTGACAGTTTATTGTACATTACATATTGGGTATGTTCCGAAAGACAACGCAGTGTACTGTCCAATGCAAATGACGTATCATTTGACACTTTATTGTACTAGCGTGCCGCCGCCATATTGTGTCGGTTATCCGGCCATAATAAAACAATTTTTAATTGCGTGTTTGCCGAATGAAGCATGCCAGAATTTGTTTCTATTTATTCAAATACAAAAAATTATAGAATAATTGATGGTATATCCATTAGGAGGATATAATGATTTTTGAAGCACAAAATGTATGATGGCGTTTATTATTTTTGGAACGAATCATCAGTATAGCGTCGATTCATGACGTCATTTGCATTGGACAGTACACTGCGTTGTATTTCGGAACACACCCATTATAACTATATTATATCTATATATCTGCAGAAACAAAATGTTTGAAAACAAATTTGTAGAAATATTGTTACGTTGAAAGATAAGTTTGACGTTTTGTATTTGTAGACACTTATTAATCGAGACAGAGAATTTTCAACAATAATGGGTTCAAGTGATGAAGAGGTGAATAATGGATTCAAGTGATGAGTGTACTGTACATTTACAACAAAAAAGAAAGAAATCGAGGTTCTGGACGCGCGTGCAATGTGTTTGACAGTGATTCGCAGTGGAATACGGGATAGAGACTAAAAACTGTGCTGCATGACGAATAAAGAAAATTAAAGAAAGTGATACATGAGAAAATTCTACCAATTGCATAATCACATTAAAACCTTAAAAGCCAAAATTGTATTAAGTGTTTAACTAATGAAAATACAGTAAGTAAATTATCCAAGAAAGTAACATCAACATTTGCGCTGTAATTACAAGTTCAAATAAGAAATTGAAAGAAAAAGCTACATGACACATGAAAATCATAGCCTTGTGGCTTTATAAAAGGTCACCCACCTGTTGCAGGCTACTCAGGTTCTATTAAAGGGTTAACTGAGTACTCTTTGCTGTTGGAATCAATCAGCTAGTTTTTAAGGCCTGGTAGATTTTTTAAATACTATAAAACCATCAAACAATCAATTTATATTGATATTTGATGAAATGTCTTTAAAAAAATGTGATGTATAATCCAAAAGAAGATTTGATTGAAGTGTATTAGGATCATAGTACACAAGGAACATCTTCAGTCATTGCATCATATGCATTAGTATTTATGATTGTTAGTATTAGAAAACTGAAACAGCCCATTGCCCGCTATTTCTCCAATGCATTTTTAACTGCATATCAACTTACTATACTAATAAAAGAGGTAATTATTAGTACTTTGTATGACGTTTCATTTCATTACAACAGTTGAAATTAAAGTTAATTATAAAAGCTCAACGGTTGTAAAACATATTTAATATTTGATTTCAGGTCTTGAATCAGTTATAGCTGGCATAACTTCCAGGCTGAGGCTGGGATGAATATATCTGCAACAGTCTGTGACATGGACGGAGTAAATTTACAAGTTCTCTCTATCTTGGGTGCAAATGTGCAAAAACTTTATTTTGCATTCCATAACAAAGAGATAGTGACCCTTTGATATGTCATATTTATTAGAGCACTTTACAACCTAAGTCCAAAGGAGTCTTTTCAAGAAAGTTTTTTAGAAGTAAATATATTAACTATAGGGTTTTAGTAATTTTGCGAAAATTTAATGTATGTTTTTTTTATTAATTTTTGTTTTTTGTTTTTGTTAATTTAATGTAGGTACACAAAAACAACAATAGTTTTTATTAAAAATAGTAATGTATAGTTCTGTAAATACTAGGAACAAGTACAAGCTAGTTATATCAGTTATTCCACTTCAAAGAATAAGTTTTCCTTCATGGGGCAAAGTATATGCTTTTATAACAAGTCATAAAATATACAGCCTATCAAAAACTGAAAATTTTTAACTAAGCAAAGTTGTTCAAAAAAAGGTTATTACAATAAAATATATGATTGATAAACCCCTGGGAATGGGGTGATTAATGTTGTTTCTAAATGTTTTAATATTTAATTGTAAAACAATATATTTTAAATAACATTTTGTTTAAACGACCCGCTTGGACTTCTTGCTTGTTTTCTACATAGGACAGAGGCTTTTTCCAAACGAGTAAAAACATTAATTACTTAATGAGTTTTGTAGTCAAGTATTCTTTAATAAGTTTTGTAGTTTTGAATAAAATTTATTCTGTTTATGTCGTAACTGCAAGCATATAATATAGAGACAAAATTTTAAGGTTAATTTTAAATCAGGAAAATAAATAGTCAACCAATTATTATCAAAATGAAATTATTATTTGCTGGTTTTACTCTGGTCTTGTGTACATGAGCTTATTTATTATTTAACTTGTTTTTGATTCAAATATTGTTATTTTGGGTATTGTAGACACGCTAGGGTTTTTAATTGTGCATTTTATTATCAATACATGCATAATTGTAAATCATCTATATTATTTTATCCTTTTTTACATAGGTACCTAATTGAAATATTGTAATCGGTATTGATTTTTATTTTCCTTTTTTTAACTCATCTAATGACTTAATAGACAGAACTAATATTGCTAAAGAAATTTTGTCTCCCTTCAGTAGTGTTCTAGTATTATGCAAGTTTGAGGAATGTAATTCTGTACCGTAGAATCACCTGCTATTAGGTGGCCAGTATACATATACTAGTCGCCGCGGCGATGTCGGATGCATGACTGTCACATTCCTTCTGGACTGTAATACTAAGCCTGCAAGACCCAAAATTGTAGGCTTAGTATAACAATCTTTATAACACCCTTTGGGTCCAGACTAATAAAATGATAAATATTGTTGCCATTATATACATATATTATATTTTTCAGAGTAATCAAATTCGAAACTTAATCTTAAATTCATAAATAATGATACAATGTTATTGCAGGTTTTGAAAATATCAGTAAATAAAGCTTCTTCTTTTATTTGCAACTATCCCAAATTGAATCCGATTTATGGGCAACAACGTTTTTGCCTACCGATCGACTAACATGTATCAATTATAAGCAAGCTCTAAGTTTTAATGTCTTTATCTTACGAGGAAACTGAAAAATTATTAAATATAGATGGTTAAAAATGCAAACTGTTAAGCAAAATAACAATACACACTCACTCCTTCTTTCACACACACACACACACACACACACACACACATACTCACACTCGTATACTACACACTGGCATCTACGTATTAATTTTACACTTACTTCTAAACTTGTAATATTGGTTCGTGATTAAAAAGTGATTAAAAGTGATTAAAATCTCCAATATTAAATGAACATTTTGCATATTATATTTTATTGTTTAAGAAAATGAAATATTAACTGAGTCACTAAGTTTCAATTATTTTTATGTGAAATATAAAATAAGTTCTTGTAAACATTTACTATAACATTTGAATATTAATATAAGTGTGTGACACATTTATAGAATATCTCCCCTGCCTTACTCTTGTACCATACAACTAAACTTTTAGCTATAATAGTATTGAGCCATTTGTCAGATTAGAACTTTTATTAATTTCTTGATTGTGGTAAAATTATTTTTATGTTTTTGTTTTTCTATTTGGTATGAATTTAATGGGGAGGGCTTAGCAGCTGTAACACAGGTCTTATATATATATATATATATATATATATATAAATGAAAATGAAAAGATAAATATACATAAATATCAGTAAAATAAAATAAATACAATAATACATAAATAAATAAAAGCCCAACCAGATGGAAGCCCTCAGCAGGGGATACCAAATGGCCGAGGGCTAGGGGGAAAGGGAAAGAAACCGGCGGGCGGTATCGAGGAGCACCACCTTCTGCATTTCAGCCCGGAGCGGTCCGTCACGGAGTCCCAGTCGCCTCAGATGACCCGAGAGGCTAACTGGGTTTAGCCCATTCGCAGAGACGACTACGGGAATAATTTCGGTCGGCAGACCACCCCACATGTCTGTCACCTCGTGAGTCTTTCAGTAGGTTCTTGTCATATGGAATGGTAATGTCGACCAAAAATATCCTTGACTGTGCCCGGTTCATCAGCACAATATCAGGTTTATTCGCAAGAATAGTCCTGTCTATGATGATGGCCTGATCCCAGTAGAGCCTGGCGCGGTCATTTTCGAGCACGGCTTCCGGTAAGTACTTATAATAAGACAGTTTCCGATCCACGAGACCGTATTTCAGAGCCAGCTCCTGGTGTAGAATTCTGGCTAACTAGGTTGTGCCCTGTATAAGTACTTTGACATGCCTAAGTGACTCAGCGGGACGGCGACAAGCTTATTATTACTCTTACGAATGTTTGCGTGTGCAGTAAAATCACTTACAATGCATTACTGCGCATTTTGAATTTAAGAGATAAAAAGGATACAAAGTTTGAGATTTTTTAAAATTGATTTGTCTTCAACGGCCTATATTACTTATCTTGAACCTTCTCTGCAAATTTGACCGGTTATCACAAAATAACCCTGTATATCTCCAAGGAAACACAGATTATTGGAACCTAAACTATGGTAAGCTTTGTAAAATTTTGAGAGAAAGGTGGTACATGATTTCATATTTCTTTCTCATATACAGAATGGGTCCCACATATATGCAATAAATGAAACCATATACTTGTTATAGCCTTTGCTGACGATATACAAAAAATGAACGTAATCGGTCCAGTAATTAGGTCAAAAAGTAGAGTTTTAATTTTAAGCAAATTTAAACACTCTATAGAATTGGGTCACTAAGTCAATGATTCAATGAACTTGAATCCTTGAACATTAAAAAGCGACGTTGCCACGCAGTGCAAACTATTGGTATTGCGACATATCGACAGCGGTGTCTTTTGTCGGCGTGCCACCCGCGTGCAACGTTGTCACTCTTCCAAGGGGTCAAGGTACGTTGTCTAAACAGAGTGTTCACTTTTACTGAATTTATTTTAATATTTATTTTGTTTGAAAATTTCACTTTTTTTATTTTACGGGTTTTAATTTAATATTTAATTTTTCTACACTTCTACGGACTAGTATTACTTGTGGTTTCATTTACTGCATATATGTGGGACCCATTCTGTATTTAATTAGTAGAACATGTGGAAGAAAAATTTCTTGTCACTTAAAACACATTATGAAGATGGCAGTGACAAACTAACTTATTTGATAAACAGTTTTCTACATTTCTTTTTTAAGTTATGTATTTTAATTGAATAAATAATTAGAAATTTGTATTGTATTTTATTATGTTCTTTTATATCGAGCTCTGGGACAGGCAACCTAAAAAAATACCCCAAAAAAAGGACTTAATTTTTCTGCCACACGAGAGAATTGCAGATAATCTGATTAATGATAAAGATGGAATTTGTGGAGATATATAACACATTTAATAGTTTCACTCAATAGTGCCTCTCAATGGACAGGTCTTAAGATGAACATGGACAAAACAAATATCATGTTTAAAGCTGAAGTGGCAATGGGCCGGCCATGTAGCTCGTAGAACCGTCAACCGTTGGGGAAAAAAGGTTCTCGAGTGGCAGACTCGTACCTGTAGGCGAAGTGTAGGGCGACCCCACACTAGACGGAGTGACGACCTGGTAAGACATGCAGCTAGTCGATGGATGCAGGCTTATGTTCAGCAGTGAACTTGTGAAGGGCTGTAATGATGATGATGATGATGATACCACATATATATTTTGTATAAAGTTATCATTCGTCTCCGCTAGGGTTGATAATGTTTTGTGATGTTTTGCAACTAAATTGGATAACAGAAAAACACGATTTAAAACAAATCGCGAAATATAAAAAAACAACAGTGCGAACGCTAACGTTGACAAATCTATAGATAAACAAATAGAATGTTTATGTTGTATTCAATGCCAACACAGCTAAAAACAAATCTTGATATCTGTCGAAAATATTACACAGTTTTTGTGAGTGCGAACGCCACCATCAACAAAACATGTTGTGTGATTTATTTAATGCGATTTATTTCAAAACATTACGTTTTGGATGTTTCTCAGTGCAAACGTACTGTTACTCTATGATGCTAGTAAATCCAGTAGTCAGTAATCCATAGATAGAGTAGAGTAATATATACAGAAATCTATGTACATATTTGCTTGCTACATATTTATTTATCTATGGTAAATTATGGGAAAATCTTTGCTTGAAGGCGTGTTGATAGATTAAGGGTATGTTGTACGATATATTACTTTCCTCTATGGGGTATGTTCCGAAATACAACGCATTGTACTGTCCAATGCAAATGACGTATCATTTGACACTTTATTGTACTAGCGTGCCGCCGCCATATTGTGTCGGATATCCGGCCATAATAAAACAATTTTTAATTGTGTGTTTGCCGAATGAAGCATGCCAGAATTTGTTTCTATTTATTCAAATACAAAAAATTATAGAATAATTGATGGTATATCCATTAGGAGGATATAATGATTTTTGGAGCACAAAATGACAAAATAATCGCCAATACTTTTCCAAATGGCGCAAAAGTATGACGTCATATACTGTCCAATGTTTTGGAACGAATCACCAGTATAGCGTCGATTCATGACGTTATTTGCATTGGACAGCACACTGCGTTGTATTTCAGAACATACCCTAAAATTTATGATTATTATATTCATTTTGACAAAAATATTAACTATTTAATAATTATGGATCCGGTAGACGGTGAAATGGTGATCTTCATAGGAAGATGTAAATGTTGCCTTAATGACGGAGATTTAAAAAATTTGTGGACGCCTTATACGTTTGAAGGAGAAACTGAAATTTATGGAATGATGTTGACAGAATGTTTTGCTCTATCAGTAAGTAAAATCGCTTCTTTTAATTGTTTCGTATTTTTTATGGGCTGAAGGTAATGATAATATCTTATTCATTGACTTGCTAAGTACCAGATTTTCTATTTGGAATTTTGTCATAACCATATAGTTACAATATTTGAGAGAGAAAAAGGTTATAATTTATCGCAGTTTCCATTATTGTTGAAGAGCTCAAGAGGTAGAATTAGAATATTTATAATTTATACTCGCGATGGTTGGAACATGGTGGATCTTCAGCTTTATTTTTGTGTTATTGTTAGAAAACTCGATAATGGGATGCCTTTATCACATCCACTAACTATAATAGAATGTTATTATAGTTAGTGGATGTGCCAGGGGTTTCAGATCCCACATTTAATTAATTAGCTAGTGGCCCTTAGTTGTTCTCACCAGTTAATAAATTTACGCTCTGTCAGCGCGCGACATGTTATACTCCCGTTCGCTCGGGACCTTAATGGCGGGAAAATTTGTAAGTTAGAAAATTTTTTGCTATATTGCAAATTTTGCTATATTTTCACTTTGAGACAATATTTATGGATAAAACTTACAGGATTTCTTGTTGAATGTATAAACTATTGAATAAAATTATTTTTGGTTGCTAGAAATTGTAATAAAATACATAAATTACCCTGTATAGCATAGTAGTAGTATATACTTCAATTTTAGTGACAAAATTACTACTAATTTGAATTCTACACTTTTGTTTTTGGAGAAATTTATATGAAAATGTTTGGAAATATGTATATTTTTATTTTTTATGTGTTTCTATTCGTTACTCATACCAAAATATTAAAATATTAAAAGAAATAAATAATATTATTTTATCTGTATGACATTTCGAACAATATTTCAAAAATAGTTTTGTGTGAATTTGAAATAAATACAACGTCAAGTTATTTGAAATATGTAAGAAAACTATTTTTACTTACATTTTACACTAAAAATAAATAAGAATTTGAAAAATAACACATTTATGACCCAAGCGCCAAAATGGGCCTTCCGGATTTTGAAGTACTTTTGGCAATTTACTTTTCACTTTTTCTACCACAAATTATATATCTACGTGTTTACTATATTACAAGGAATATAAAAAAGTATAATACTTTCGTTTTTAGTCCAGACACAAAAATAAAATTCTATAAAAAAGACGGAGCACCTTCATCAAAGCGACACGTGGAACTCCGAAAGTTCAGAGTGATTTCTTTTTTTTTTTCTAAGAAACATTGCCAGGTTATGATTTAATTACTGCTAAATTCTGATCTAATTAGTGCTCCTCTGGAGCGGACGTAAGGTAGGTATTGTACGATCTAAAGTGCGCACCGCTTGGTGAACGGGTTAAACATTTATCTCTCTGTCTAATTTTCAAACACAATAGTTAACCAAATCTAAGAAATACATTTTGACAGCTGTCAGACTTATTGCACCCAGTATGCTAACCAAAAAATGAGAACTTAAAAAAATCTATATCAATTATTTAGAGTTTGTAATAATTTACAGTTCGGTTTGAATAATACTAGAATAAATTAAAAACATAATTTAAAACACAGCATATCAGTTTCTTCGTATTTGTTGTTACTGTTTATTTCTAGAGGCATAGTTATAAAAATTTAAGATTGAAACTAGATTAAAAATAAATTTATTCAATCACTTTCAGCACAACTAGTTGAGCTGTCATTGTTTAGATTAATTATTATTTGATTTTCATTGATGCAGTCTAAATTAGAGTATTTTTCACTACAATACATAATACATAGATACGCCTGTCACCCAGAGGGGTAGGCAGAGACTACAGACTTCCATTTAGCACAATCCTGACACACCTCTCCCACCTCCTTCACATCCATATACCTACGCATACATGCTCATCGGTTAAGGGTACTCCATAAGTTGGCCCGTTTTCAAGACTTGCTAATTTGGTCAATAAATTTTCACCTAGGACGTCCCTTTCCAATTCTGCCATTTACTTCTGCTACAAAAATTTTCTTAGTCACTCTTTCCTCATTCATTCTTTCCACATTACCAAACCACCGAGCCTTCCTTTCCTAATCCTGGTCACAACATCATCTTGCATACCACACTCTTCTCTTATCACACAATTTCTCACCCTGTCATTCAGATTCAGCCTTAACATACTCCTTAACGACCGCATTTCTACTGCATTTATTCTACTCTTGTGCTTCTTCTGCCACACCCAACTTTCACTACCATAGTAGGGACCAACACAGCATTGTGAATTGCCATAAGTGCCTTTTTTGACACATTTTGACTCTTCACAATAAAGTGTAGGGCCCCATTTACTCTATTTCCCGCATTCTCTCGTCATTCTATATCCTTATCACATCTCCCATCCCTGTTAAATATGCAAACCAAATATACAAACCCATCTACTTGCATGATCAACTCCCCTTCTATTCTTATTTCACATATCGTTTTACTTTCTTCTGTTTCAAAAACCATAACTTGTAATTGTATCTTTCAAAGTCATCCATAATCAATTTTTTGTATTTTCTACCACTTTTGCCCAATCATCCTTTATGACATGGATACATGCTTCAAAGAATATAGAAGAAAAGGTCCAAGGTCCAAAAAGTTAAAGGCGAGTCACAAAATAAGAAGACAAACACAAAATCACAAAGTACGCATAGTAAGGTCCTGAAATGCCAGGAAACTGAAATTACATAGTGGGTTTTTTGTGCACGGCCTTGTATATGAGTTTGTTTTGCCTACACAAATTTACATTGACAAAGTAAAAAAAAATAAACTTATTTTATTCATGATTTATGTAATTAAAGGAATTTCAAAAATAAAAATTCAGTTAAACAAATAATACATTAAAAATACTGATTCGATTATTTGAATATTTTTACCAATTATTTGAATATTTTTGCTGATTATTCACATAACACTGAATTTTAATCATCCAAGCCCTATGGTAAGTTACATAACGTCATATCATTGAAATGACGCCAAGTAAAAAGTTGATACTGGCTTTGTTTGAAAGATTCGAATTTAAATTATTGTTTAAATACTATGCATATTGGAATGAAATATGGATAACTTCATAATTCTTCGGATTTACGTATAAGGTTATTTAAAATTGTGTGAGTATGCTTGTGCAAAGTTATTGCTTTTAAAGGATCTCGTCTACACTTCCTTGCCAGAGACCTGGTTAAGACTAAAGCATACAGACATATCAGATAATATACTCTTATGTATCTATCTCTCGCCATCAAATACAAATATAGATAATTTTTTAGCTTCTCTTAGTGCACATCTTGAGACAATATCGATGCATAAAAACATAATTATAGCTGGGGATATAAATATCAATATTAGACCTAAAAATACGGAGCTATCTCAAGAATATAAAAATAGAATGAGCTATCTAAACATGTTGGCAGTATTTGAAATACTTCCGGGACATATGCTACCCACAAGGAACCTCAACTGTTTGGCTCACTTTATGCTCAAAACAGACACTAAAAAGGATCTGTTTTTCATAGCAATATTACATACCACCATTACATACCATTTTACTACATTTTTATGCTTATCCAAAATTAAATATAATCAATTTACAAATAAAACTAAATCTATACTATACTAAAGTAATCTGGCTAAGTTATTAGAATGTTATGACCCTAATGTATTAACTGACCTTCTTTTGCAAAATATAGCTAATTCTATAAAAAACAATATTATTACTTTGGGACTCAGGTAGCCCGCTCTATAATCTGGCATTTTACACAGCTGTATGTCGGACTACTGATCAGTTCGAGTAGTTTCTCTCTTCTCTCGTAACAAATACATATGTATTTGTGTTTATATTAAGTACATAATTTTATTTTTATAATAAATTCACCTAACCATATTAAAATAATATTTTACTGTGGATCTATTTTACTCCCTATACAAATTCAAAAAATGAAAAATGAAAAAATCGGGTGCCAGATTATCAAGTGTATTAAAATTCCGAAGAGTAAACGTATCATAAAACCATGGATTACAACTGGTATTCTTAACTGCATAAATAATAGAAATGTTACAAAAGAATTTAAGAAAAGACCCACACAATGAAATTTTAAAAATAACCTACTTAAGATATAGAAATTACTGCAATAATCTAATTAAAAAGCTGAAAAGAAGATATGAAAGAGAACAACTTGCTAAATCAGTTTCAAATAATAAGCTACTCTGGAAAAATCAAAAAAATATAACAAACTCGAACCAATTGAAAAGCGAAAACACAGAATTATTAAATACTAAACCCACCCCTACCGAAGTAGCAAATTTTGTTAATGAGTACTTTGTTAACGTTGGTAAACAACTTGCTCAACAAATTAAAGATATTGCCTTGCATGACTCATATAACCTTTCTGACACACTGCCTGCACTGAGAAATTCCTTCACGCTCCTTGACACAGATCATGATGAAGTGGATAGAATCTTGATGAGCCTAAAATCTAACAGTGCACCGGGTTGGGATATGATTACAACAAAGTATTTAAAATTTGTAAGATATGAAGTCGTTCCTATTACAACTCACCTTGCCAACCTTTGTTTTAATAAGGGGATATTCCCTACCCTGTTAAAACAATCTATTATTATTCCGGTACACAAGGGTGGAGATAGGACGAAAGTGAATAATTATAGGCCCCCATATCCATATTACCTAGCATATCAAAAATTTTGGCAAAGCTTATTAATACTCGTTTAGTAAATTTTTTAAATAAATATGTTCCCAATTTGGATTTAGAACGGGTCAATCCGCACAAGATGCTGTAACTTCCCTAAGCTCGCTAATAATTGAAGAAATTGATAATAAAAATAAATGTTTAACGGTGTTTCGTGATATCAAAAAAGCCTTTGACACCATCTCTGTCCCTATAAAGATAATAGGAAAAGGTCGGTATAAGGGGAGCACCATTAACTCTTTTTAAAAGTTGACTCTCTGCTTCCTATTAGAGAGGTAGTCTCTAATAGGAAGCAGAGAGTCAAGTTGGAACAGTACTTAAGTGAAGATGCAGAAATAACATACGGAGTTCCACAGGGAAGCGTTTTGGGCCCTACATTATTTCATGTAACAACGATCTTTGTAGCCTAAAAATAAATAACGCAAAAATTTTCTCCTATGCCGATGATACTGCAGATGTCTTCTCTGGAAATTCTTAGCAAGCTGTGAAAAATAGTGCCGAAAAAGGAATGGCTCAAATAGCTACTTGGTTAAAATACAACTTGCTCTCGCTGAACACAAAAACTAACTATATATGTTTCAGTATCTATAATAAAAATCAACCTGACGACAGATTTAGTATAAGGGTTCATGATTGTTGTAACATCCAGGATACAAACTGCAACTGCCCGATCATTGATAAAGTTACCCATACAAAGTACCTGGGCATCATGTTGGATCAGAGACTGTCCTGGTACCCACAGCTTAAGCAAGTTGCCGGAAGAGTCAGAAAGTTGATTTGGGTTTTTCGATCATTAAGGCATGTGGTTCCAGGAAATAAAAAAAATTATGACCGAGAAACATCAAGAACAATTTTGAATGAAATATATACCGCCTTGGTTCAATCTGTCTTGGAATATTGCGTTCCTGTTTGGGGAGGTGCGGCAAAAACCAAGTTTATAGAGGTTTAGAGAGCACAATGTGCGCTTATTAAAGTTATGAACTTTAAAAATATTAGATACCCCACGGAAAGGCTTTACCTCGATAATACTAAGTTTGTATAAAAAGGGTTATTATAATATAAAGGAATTTATGGATGATAATAACCCCTGGGAAGGGTGATCGCCACCAAGCTATTTCTAATTTGTCTTGTGTTGTTAATTCTAAGCTATTATTGGAAAAAAAATAGTCCCGCTGGGTTTCTTGCTGGTTCTTCCCAGGACAGAGGTTTTTTTTGCGAACCAGTGGTAAATGAACAAAGTGACTTTCAATAGGTATTGTTATAATCTATATTGAATAAAAAAGTTTCTGTTTCTGTTTCAGTGGGTTACTTTCGGTAAAGAAGCTGTCATATAAAACAGATCACACTAAATAAACACAAAAATATACCCTATGATGCAAGTAAAAAAGGAAAAAGAAGAAAAAATAATGTAGCTACAGTACCCCAAACTAAAACTAAGTTTGCTAGTACTCAATATTATAGTCGTTCGTCTCAAATTTATAATAAAATCAATAAAGAACTAGATATTTATTCAAAACAATATATCGAATGTAAAAAGGTAGTACATAATTGGTTAGAGTCACTTAATTATGAGAACACTGAGCTGCTTTTACATACAGTAAAATATTACACACGCGCACGCACGCACACATGCACGCACACACGCACACACACGCACGCACACACGCACACACACGCACGCACACACGCACACACACGCACGTACGCACGCATTCGCATACATAAACAAATATTATAATCAGAGGAAAAAAACTGTAAATACCTTTTAGTCTATAAGTTTTTCTTTGTAATACATATTTCATAATGTATATAATATAATATATAGATATTGATATGGAAGAGGGGATTCACCTGGTACAAGCATTATTTGTTTAAAAGGAGAATCCAGCCACTAATGTCTAAACCAATTCTATTTGCTGAAATAAATTTTATTATTTATTTATTTATTGCGGAATGATTAATATGAAATGTTAAAAAGTATTTCTTAGATTTGTTTGACTATATATGTAGTACACAGATCAGCGAATGAGTTAAATAAATATTGTGAAACAAGTACAGGCTCTATCGAAATCACAGAAATTAGAACATTTGTTTTGTTATCTCTTTCATACTTTTAATTTATATAAAATGTGTTAATAAGAATACTGTTACGAGCTTAGGGTTTGTGGCGTTAATTGTGACGCAATTATTGCGCAACAATACCTTAAGTACATTAATTTATAACATGAAGATACAGCTTCTTTATTTATATTTAACTCTTGTGTAAGAAAACTTGAAACTGTGGAGGGACTAGGGTTACCAACACTATTACATTATAATAGTATAAATTTTATATATAAATTTTTATTATATATATATATATATATATATATATATATATATATATATAATGTAACAAAAACCCTGTGGTTCCCGTTAAGTATGTTATCAGAATCAGTATTCCAACATATAGAAATAGCTTTACTTCAGAAATCTCGACATAAAAATAATCAAATTAAATTTCAATTAAATAATATCTGTAAATTTTATCTGGATTGATTACCTCTGCCTGGAATTATCAACAGCGGCGGGTGGCGGTGATGTACATCAAAGACGGGGCGTGCGCGCGCGCGCGTCTTACCTTGTACCTACACTAACTGCACACTGAGGTCGTGACCTCGTCACATCACAGCTGTTATAGTCAAACACTAATTTATCACTATGTCTACTTGACGAGCACGAAGATGTTGTTCAATATGTCCATCTTGCACCTCTATACATTTGTGACACCGGCTTGTAATGTCTGAACGCACGCGTTGCAACAGACATTTCGGACATTATTTTTTCAAAGGCTGCGACTATACGCATACGCATTTCTGCCTTGGTATCGCATGTTTTGGAATACAGACCCCATAATTATCCCCCAGAGATAAAAATCTAAAGGTGTGAGATCAGGTGATCGTGCCGGCCAGTTGAACGGCCGGCAACTTCGAGCATAGTGCTCCCAACAACTACCGGCATAGGTGTGACATGGACATTATGACTTTGTTTCGTCCATGTTCATCTTAGGACCTATCCGTTGGGAGACACTACTGAGGTCATTGAGCATAGTGCTAAGGTCCTCCAGCGATTCTGCCATAAGGACTATATCGTCGGCATATCGAAGGTGAGTGATGTACTCGCCATGGATGTTAATACCGTATCCTTTCCAGTCCAGTAGCTTGAAAACGTCTTCCAACGCAGCGGTGAAGAGTTTCGGGGATATAACGTCACCCTGTCTTACACCTCTCTGCAGTTGGATAGCTTTCGAACTCTGGTTCTGTACTCGGATAGCCATTGTAGCCCTACTGTACAAACACTTCAGCACTTCGATATACCGACAGTCAACTTGGCACCGCTGAAGGGACCGTGCACCGCCCAAATTTCGACGGAATCAAAGGCTTTCTCATAATCCACATGCGCCACGCCTGGCGTATGTGGACTTTTACTATACGACAGATAAAATGATGCAAAAATTTTTGTAGTATATTATATTTGTACATACATTTATATAGGCATTAAAAACAGAATAATTTATTTATCTTTAGGACTATTAATGGCTTTGATAGAGCGTGACTAATCATGATCGCAATAAGTAGACTACTTATTGCGGTTATCGTTAGTAAACCGACAAACTGCTCTTTTGAGTAGCATAAACTGTATGTTTTGTTTTTTATTTCCAACCATAAGTGCAATAAATGTCTTAGTTATTGCAGTTTTAATAAGTAAAATATCATCAATCAATCAATCAATCAGATACGTTCTAGCGGTGGTTGTTTCCAAGAATATTATAAGTTTATATGAAAAATGATTGCAAAAAAATTACTACGTATGAAAATATTTAATTAAAATGCGTTTATTAAAATGTTACAAAATATCACTCTACCTCCGAAAAATAAAAATTAAACCCCTTTAGACCACTTTAAGGGTTTCTTTCACAAAAAATATGTAATCACAACTTAAAGAACTTTTCAATTGCATTTATCAATAGCAAGATTTTACTTTAAAGAAATCAAAAAAATCTTTTAATAAAAATTTTATCTTTTTCCTAGGATAAAAAAATGTTATACTTAATCTACTAAAGCAGATTGTGAGATTAATCTTTAAATCAATCTTAATCTTACGTAAAAATTCAATCCTACGTAACTTAAATCTCAACATAAAAAAACATTGGAATCTGAGTTTAATATATGTTTGACATAATGATTTCTTAAATTTACGCGAACACTACACATTGAATAAAACTATTATTTACGGATTTTATCGCGTTTAATTACTTTAATTTATTTTTATTATTATCCCGACGTTTCGGGTGCTTTACAGCGCCCATGGTCACGGGGGGGACTGAGATGTTTGACGTCCCAATGTCATAGTTAGGCCGGCTACCTTCAGTTTTTTTAATATTAATTTTTGGTCCGATTTACGCAAAACGAGCTTATAGTATCATGAAGTCTTGCAGTGGTATGCTTGGGTTTTGGTTTAACTTTGTTAATTATAGGATCCCAAGCAGACGGTAGCACCCAACCATCTTCTCTATTGAAATTTGGATGTTTTTTAATTTCAATAACCTCGCGTATCATCCTTGGTAGGAATCGGTGTTCTTTTGCGAGAATTTGTGGTTTATCAAATCTAATGTAATGGTGGGGACGATCTTGAACATGTTCGCAGACTGCAGACTTCCCGGAGCGTCGGTGCTTCACATCATCTATATGTTCCTTCACGCGGGTTTTTATAGATCTCTTTGTTTGACCTATGTAAGAGAGACCACATTCACAATCTAGCTTGTACACACCTGCATCTTGTAGAGGAATATTACATTTGATGGATGGTAAAAATTGACTAATCTTCTTCAGCGGCTTGTAGTATGTCTTAATGGACGCTCGCTTCAAGATGTAGCCAATCTTGTCCGTGACTCCTCTGACATATGGTAGTAGAGCAGGCGCGCGCTCGATTGTGGCCGGCTTCACTCGTTCACTGTGACGTAGGCGCGGGACCCGAAGCTTGTTGTCTTGCAATACTTGCTTGACGTGCTGTAAAGCACCCGAAACGTCGGGATAATAATAAAAATAAATTAAAGTAATTAAACGCGATAAAATCCGTAAATAATAGTTTTATTCAATATGTTTGACATGTCTGAGTTTAATGTGTCATCGTAATATTTTAAGTCACTGGGTAAATAAAACTTATTGGGTGCATTTTCGCGGCGATAATGTAATATTGTTGGATTGAAACTTTGAATATGTTCTTTAGTTATGTTTTAGTCCAATGAATTTTTACGTTCATAGCTTCCTCGTTTGTTTATTCGATCATTAACTTCCTTACTGTGTGCCAGATGAATGTGTCTATCTATTATTTATTGGCTTATGTCCGATTGTTAACAGAAAGATAGCCTGACAAACTTCACATTTTCATAAGAAACATTACTTTCTTTGGCGGATATACTGTCCGTATTTATTAGGGTTTTTACGGTATATGGTCCAACCATGCCTTTTATAAACAAACCTCTTGACTCCCAACTTAGATTTGCCAACCGATCATGGATATATTTTCGAATTTTTTTCATTACTTAGTACTTTAGTTCAAACTGTGTCATACATTTATTTCTATATTTCACATTGTAGTAATAATGCTAAATGCTTCAGCGTTTTCACTCCTCTGTTAGGTGTGTTGTCTCAATCGAATATTAAAAGCACGACTTTTTCTTGGTAGGACTGATTTTGTAAACACTTTTTGATTTGCAGGTAATGTTGATGGTGACTTCACTTGAGATGCGTAAATCGAACAGAAATAATAGGCTTTCTGTTCGGTTTACGCATCTTCAATTTCATTTTATGTCCCATCATTGACACATTCCCCTTTCCTTTTTTTTGTTTTATTTACTTGCTGGTGTAGCAATTAATCATCTTTGAAGTCACCTGTGCTAGTGTCAGGTACTATATATTCAGTAATAACATCAAGCTTTTAGTCCGTCATTGTATTTTCTGATAATTAAATAAAGCATCTGATCCATTGTTTTGGTCTCCTTGATTGTACTTAAATGTTGTTTTATGATTAATTGTGAATTTCTGCATTAAGTGTACGTATTTGTTGTACTAGTTTCATTGCGGGTGTAAAAATCTTAGCCGGAATTCATGGAACAATTTGTTTTTGACGCTATCGCCGGAGTCTTCAAACATGTTAACTTTACTATTGTCACAATCATCTTCGTCAAACAATGAAAGGAGTTCATGACATTTTAAAGAATGACCTGTAACAGGCTGTTCACTTTGTTGAGTTTTAAAAACCAGAATATAAAGATCAATATCTCGAATCATATTAAATTTAATGCGTATTATATTAAATTAAATGTATCAATGCGTACAGCAAAGGAGTGGAATAATTTACCGGTGTCTATCTTTCCGTCCAAATGCAATCTGGGCATCTTAAAGGCAAGAGTGAATAGGCATTTGTTACGCTAAAATAGTGCGATTTACCTTCTAAGGCTGCATCAAAACTTACCTGGTGGGATTTTGGTCAAGCACTGGCTTATAAAAAGTAAAAAAAAAATAATTACTAAATTCATTCCGGAAATCAAAACAACAACTCATAGCCGCAATAACTCGATGACAAATTGCGATTTAGTATTTCTAGCCATTCAAATCTTGTCTGTTTTTCCTTCAAATAATTGCAATAAATTTACTTGTTATTATTAGAATTTGTAAGTTTAAAATTTTAAATAATAAGATTCCTTAACATAACTGCAATAACTTTTACTTGTTGCGGTTAATACAAGTAAATGTGTCCTAAATTGAAAAAAAAAATGCGTTAATCATAAGTGCAATAACTGGACTTATTGCGGTTATCTAATAGAAATATCACAAAATATTATAGCTTAAGGTAACGGAACCCGTAATGGACAGTGCACCCATGATGGACATTTCCTTCGTTATCTACCAAAAATAGCCAAACTATAAACATTTCTTATAACTGGCAACATTCTCCACGCGTGACACACCCTACCGAAGCCATGTTTTTCGTTCGACAGTACGTGAGACATTTTGTTCGTTCACAGGAAGAGTGCAAAAACGTGGTCGTGACGTTTAATTGAATAAATCCTTAATTATTGTAAGCATCGTGATTCTGGTGAGTTCAACAATTACGTTTTTCTGAAATAGTTATGCATATTTTATTAAATGTCTGTTTATTTTGTGTTTTATAGGTAGTTCAAGAATTATAATATAAACTTGCACATTTTAAAATGGAACAATTAATGGACAATTAAAGGCTATGTTTAACACTGGATACACTAACATGTTACTACCCAGTCATGTACATTTTGTTCATTACTGGATTTTTTAACATATTCGCCAATTTTGTATTCTGTGAACTCGGACATTAATATGTAACGTTTTATTCATGAAATATTTAAAAAATTATAACATAATCCAGTAATGTACAACCATGTCCATTACTGCCTGTCCACAACTGGGACTGAGTAAAAATGTGGGCGATTTTGTTACTTTGAAAAGTAATTCAATGAATCTTTTTATGTGTCATTACTAGATATCGTTATCACGGTGCTTAAGGTCAAACGGTTTCAAGTATATACGACACAAAATATTGTGGATATTTTTTTACGTTTAATAGGGTCCCCGTCATCTAGATATTTGTGTTGGGCTGTCGCATGGTGGTATTGATTATCAGAGGTCTTGTAAAGTAAAAAAAAAATACCAACTAAACTTTGTGTTGTACAACTCGGTAACCAGTTTTTAAATCTAAGCACCTTGACAACGATCTTTAGTCATTACTCTTTCTGGCTTCAGATATGGCACCAAGGAAAAATTACACTCAAGAACAAATGGCAAAAGCCATCGAAGAAGTCAGGCAAGGGCAAAAAATTTCTGCTGCTGCGGTAAAGTATGGCGTCCCGAGAATAACATTATATAATAAAATCACTGGAATAAGTCCAGTAGAGTGCAATATGGGCCCAGATACTATTCTCACAAAGGAAATCGAAATGATATTGGTTAAGTGGATTTTATACATGGCCGATAATCATTTTCCTATTACAAAGGATCAGCTGCTTGATAGCGTCCAAAAAATCATTATTGAGAAAGATCAAGGTCCTTCGTGTCCTTTTACCAACAAACGGCCAGGAAAAAAATGGTACAAATCTTTCCTAAAACGACACCCGGAAATTGCACAACGCACAGCTCAAAATTTAACAAAAGCAAGAGGAGACGTCACAGAAGACGACCTCAAGGAGTGGTTTAAAACTAACACCGATTATTTAAAAAATCGAGGATTATACGATACAATAATGACTGATCCTAGACGTATTTTTAATACAGATGAGAGTGCCTTTTTCCTACAACCAAAACCTGGACGAGTACTAGTTCGAAAAGGGGAAAAAATGTTTATAACAGCTCCGGCGACGAAAAAGAAAATTTTACTGTATTGATAACCGCAAATGCTGCGGGTGATTTAACTCCGCCTATTATAGTATTCCCGTACGAGAGTATACCAACGGTAATTGCTAATAGCGTCCCAACAGGATGGGCAATCGGAAAGTCCGACACTGGTTGGATGTGCGCTAGAACCTTCTATGAATATGTTTGTAATGTTTTTAACCCGTGGTTGGATAAAAACTACATACCTAAACCAATAGTATTTTTTCTCGATGGGCATAGATCACATATGACCTAACCTATCTGATTTCTGTAAGGAAAACGGAATAGAAATTGTAGCACTCTACCCCACTTCGACGCATTTGTTGCAACCAATGATTGTGGCTATCTTTAGGCCTCTAAAATTATTCTGGAAAAACCAAGTTCGCATATGGAAAACTGAGAATCCGGGAAAACGCCTAAAGAAAGAAAATTTTGCTCAAAATTTGGAATCTGTTTTGGTAAAACTGTCCACAGACACGATAAAAAACGGCTTTCGCAAAAGCGGACTGTATCCGTTTGGACCGGAATATGTGGATTTGTCTAAAATAAGTGCGCAGAATCGTACTGAACAGGATGAATCTAGTGTGATTAAAAATACACAATTTATGAAGACACTGGAATCAGAAATAAAAAGTATATTCTCACATGAAAAACTGACATTGTTTAATAAACTGTATTATAAGCAGAGAGCTGATGTTGAGAATTTCCTACCGAATGAGGATCAATCATTGTATATTATCTGGGCTAAGACTAAGAATTTATTGGGAGGCAATGAACAACAAAACATACTTGAACCAAACACACAAACACAAGCCACTCAAGATCAGACAACACAGGGACAGACCAGGCTAGAACAGTACATGCAAAGAGAGAATACACAAGTACCGACCATACAAAGACTGAGCACACAAGGACAGATGACGCCAGAACAGAATACACATGAACTGAATGCACAAAGAGAGCATAAAGAGGAACAGAGTGTGGAAGTACAGGTCACAACAGAACAGAATATACAAGGACTAAATGAAATTGGACAGAATATAAAAGTGAACACAGAAACACAGAATGCAAGAGAACAGATCATGCCAGACCAAAATACACAAGCACCAAATTTTAATGTACAAGGAAAGAACATAGAAGAACAGAATGTGCAAGAACAGATCACAATAGAACAGAATACGCGAACACAGAATGGACAAGGACAGAAAAAAGAAATAATCGATCAAGGACAAGGAAACAATGAGCAATCTTTTTCAACGGTATATGCTACACCACATAAATCTGTTATAACGTTTTCGCCAGTGTCATATCCTTCAACCTCTGCAACATTTCCAAAAGACGTGGTAATCCCGTCACCTTTTAAACGTGTCTTATTTTGGCCTGAACCTGAAACTAAGAAGCGACGTACCAAGGAACGTGTACCGTCAGCTATAACTAGTGAAACATGGAGAGATTACATGAAAAAAAAGAAAACGAAAAGAAAAAAAGGAAGAAGAAAAAGAAAAACGAATAAAACAAAGACAAGACAAAAAAATGTTAAAGGAAAAGATGCTTTTAGAAAAGAAACAAAAACGAAAGAAAAATATAAGACGGCAAGATTCGTTTTCAGACAATGGTGATATGGAAGTTAAATATGCTGCAAGCAGTGACTCCGAGTCCGAGTATGCTGAAAGTGGGAAATCAGACTCTGAAAATGAACCTTTAAGTAAAATAGTTTCTAACAAGAAAACTTTGTGTACGAAGAAAATTAAAGATGTTACCAATGGCTCCTACGTCATTGTAAAATATGAGGGAGAATATTTTCCGGGTAGTATAGAAAAAACAGAAGGAGATTTATACGAAATAAGTACAATGGTATTATGTGCAGGACACTCTTTCAGATGGCCAGATAAGCCCGATAAGATATGGTATAAGGCAGAAGATGTTATAGAGAAAATTAATGACCCTTTGCTTCTGAATAAGCGTGGGTTCTATAAAATCAAAGAAATGGAAAAATATTTACCGGATATTTACAGCATTTAAGATAATATTTGATGGTTGATGTCTAACCTACTATTTTTATAAATTACGTTTAAAATTTTACCAGTATTGTGTGTTTAATACAAATAATTAGAAGTATAATAATAATAATGTTTTAAAGTAATAAATTATCATTATCATTATTATCATTATCATTAATTAGAAGTATGCTGGTTTACATTAAATATTAGGTATTTGCTAAGATTAATAAGTTATTTGTTATGTTTTGATGCCAAATATTTAGTTTAACTGTTTTATAATAGATTAGGTACACAGACTGTGGTAATCTTAATTTTAATTATTTCTTTATTTTACTTGCTTTTATATTTCAAATACAGAAAATAATAGTTTTGAGCTTAATAAAAAGTATGAGACTGATTAATATAAATTACTTGTTTTATTTCTTCCTTGCATAAATTTCCAGTGTCCATCATTAGATGTTCATGACTGGAGGTTTTTCCAACATTGGATGTCCAAAACTGGAATTGACCCTGTCCATCACTGGAGTTTTTAAATGGTTTTGTATTTTTAAGTGTATTTCCAAAAGTTGTAAGGGTAGTGTAGTTTTCAATAAATGAACTTATTACTAATAAGGTCATTAATTGCTTGCAACTTCAATTGCATTCATATGAACATTTATCTACAAAAGATAGTAGAAAATATAAAAATTTGGTCTTAAACTGTCCATTATGGGTTTCGTTACCTTACCATGCCATAACTCAAGTTATTTCGTTCATGATATGCAACTTTCAAATGATATTAGATATTGCAGTTATGCTTAACAAAATAACCGAATCTAACGTTAATACAAAGTAGACATCTAAGAAGAAAATATAGAGCTCATTTTCCTGATTACGGATATGAATTTAAGTCTGTAAGCCCAAAAACTCGAGTTATTGCACTTATCGTAAGGACGGCAGAACGGGAGAAATGCGGTGGAGCGCCATCGCGTTGAAACCACATGCGACGAACGAGGTCTAAATTTATTTCGTCAAGCTCATTGCTTAGTTCTTCTCGCAAAAAACGTCCGTAGTTTTCACCGCTCATTGTGTGGTCAAGGAAATACGGACCAATAATTTTGTCACCTATAATTCCCGCCCACACATTGATTTTCCATCGGTGTTGAAAGTGGCTTGGTTTACACGAATGCGGATTTGTCCTTGACCATACATGTTCATTATGAGCGTTAAATACACCTGTTCTAACAAAAGAGCATTCATCCGTAAAAAGTCCGCGGTTCAAAAACTCAGGATCTCCTTCAACCTTATCAAGTAACCATCTACAGTAATCCATTCTCGGCTCGTAGTCGTTAGGAAGAAGACACTGAACTCGACAATAATGATACGGGTGCTGGCCATCATCTTTGAGGGCTCTCCAAACGCGCGTATGGTTCACACCTAGTTCACGTGCCACCGAGCGCGTGCTCCGCGTCGCATCTTCCTCAAACATGTCGAGAATGTGCTCCTCTATGTCGTCGTCGTACATTCTCGGTCTTCCTGAATCTGTACGTTGTTGATCACGGCCATGCACACTGCCAGTATTGTACATACGAATGTGAAGTCGTTGGAACGTCATCGCCGACGGCAATTGTATATTTCGTGGAGTAGCAAAGCACTCCCCGTAAAGTCTTTGTGCTTCTGCATAATTGCAGTTACATTTCCCGAGACACATCAACATATTAAAATATACCTCGTTTGAATAAGACATCGTACACAAGTCACTCACGGGCTCACGGCGGAATATTAATTTCGCAATATAAAACACAACCGTCAATATCAGTGCTAACGCGCTACTGGTGCTTGATGCTTGTTTGTTTGCATAGACGTGGCAAAGCTATTGTACTATATAACATAATTTTGATATTTTCTAAATCGATAAATAATTTCGTGATTTTTATGTTATTTTTTAATAATATTTATTATTTATTTATTTACTTCAGACAGCGTCCGTAAGTGTTATTAAGAAATTAAATTGTAGCTAGGATTAGTAAAATATATTAAAACACTTTTATAACAGGAAACATTTAAAAAATTGTGATATAAATTCACACAATAACAAATACTTAAACTATTATGCTGCTGTATTTTTCAAAATCTAATAATTAGCATTTTTTTATCGACCGACGATAAACGATACTTATTTATATTTCTATTCTTGACCACTGAATTGTGACAAAATTTTATGTTTATAAAACTTCCCAAGTTTTTAAATATTACCACCAAATATTAGCACAGAATAAATAATAGATACGACGACCATGAAGATGTTGTTCAATATGTCCACCTGCCACACATTTGCGACACCGGCTTATATGTTTTATCGACCGACGATAAACAACCGTTATTTTTATTTTTATTCTTGATCACTGAATTGTGACAAAATTTTACGTTCATAAAACTTCCCATGATTTTAAATATTGCTACTAAATATTAACACAGAATAAATAATAGATATTGGATCAAAATTAGTTAATCAGCATAAAGTGGACGCTACTTTTTATCACTCGAAGAGTTTTTTGGGTTTTTCCTAGTATCTATGTCCTTCGTCGGCTTTCGCTTTTGAGTTCAAAGAGCGCGCAATACGCCGCGTATATTACCTATTAATTTTGTTTTGTTTAATATATTCTAGCTATAAACGACAATATGAATTTATTAAAAAAAATAATTACTACATATTCTTTATCGAATAATATTTCATATGAAAAATACATACTAAATTTCTCCTACAAATAGTTGCAAATTCGGAATTAATCACGATATTTTATGCATGAAATAACCTTTTTAAATATTTTTGTAGATCTATTTAGCAATAAAGTAGAAATTTATAACATAAGTATTCAAATACTATGTGTATTGGGGTTGAAATAATATCCATTTCATTATAATTTCTAATATTTTGAAATTAAAGTTTTCGGAGAATAACTGAGTCTAGATAGGTATAAAGATTTACACAAAAACTTTGGGGAAACACGCGCCGCTTAGCGGCTTGTTTTGAGTCGGCCATGTTAGTGACCTCATATCGGCTGTAGACTATTATTTATTCTGTGACGTAGATAATATTATGTCCGCACGTGTCAGTAAGTTCAGAAGCAAATAACATTTTTAGAAATTTAATATTTCTTAAGTTATCTGATAAGAAACCCAAATACCCCATTTAAAGCAACCAAAAAATTTTTTCATTATCATAATTGCCATGCCTATGTGTACACCTATACGCCCCTGAAACGACCAACAGGGTTTTTATTACATACTGTATATATATATATATATAATATGTTTCTGTGTGTAGTAGTAGTAGTGTGTGTATGATTAATATGTATATATATATATATAATAAAGGCCCAAAAATATAATCATCCTCTGGCCATAAAAATCCAACTTTGCTTTCTTATTTGCTTCATCGGTTTTAACATATTTTTGTTGTGATATTCCAGTGGCAGCAACCAGAGGAAAATATGGGGTATATGGATATGATATGCACCTCTTGCATCTCTCGGTTACGCGATGCACATGCCTTCAAAAGAGAAGTTTTAGTGAGTGAAGAGGTGCTGCGTGAAAAACAAGATGAATGTAAGGCTATATATACATACATTTATAAACCAGGTGTACGGAAATGATTAATCAATATGACAGCCAGGGCTTGGAAACCAGTAAAAAATTAAATAGCTGCTCTATTTTACTGATATTCCTATCTTAACCACTAAGTCACTGAATTCTTCTCCTGCCGTCACCGAATTATTACTTAAACAAAATGTAAATGCGTGTACAAAGAATTTTACATTTCATAAAGTGTCATCAAAAGATATTCTAAAATATTTTAAGACTATTGATATTAAGAAAACCGCCGATCTGTGGGGGATTTCCGTTAAAGTTATTGCGTCTATAATAGATGCAATCGCACCTCAACTATCTATTATTTTTAATACTAGTATCAAATCTGGTGTGTTTCCTGATTTAATGAATCATAGTAAAGTAATACCTTTATTTAAATCTGGCAGTACATTGGACCCCGCTAATTTTAGGCCTATTTTTGTACTGCCAACACTTAGTAAAATTTTTGAAAAAAATATTAATTATATTCTTCATCAAATGTTAAATTTTTTTAATGTCAATAATTTACTTCATAAAAATCAGTTCGGTTTCACAAGGGGTCGCTTGACAACTGATGCTGGTGTTGAGCTTATTAAATATATCTTTAATGCATGGGAGAATTCACAGGATGCTTTTGGTATATTCTGTGACCTATCCAAGGCCTTCGATTGTATTCACCATGAAACATTAATCAGGAAACTACAACACTACAGTGTAAGAAGTGATGCTCTTAAATTAATTATTTTATATTTAAGTGGCAGAACGCAAAAAGTTGTCATTAATAGTATGAGTTTTTCCGGGTCGACTGTACAAATGGGCGTGCCCCAGGGCTCAATTCTCGGCCCCTTTCTGTTTCTTGTATATATTAATGACTTATCTTACATAGTAGGGGATAACCATGATATAGTATTATTTGCTGATGATACTTCATTAATTTTCAAATTAAAACGACAGTTATTATATTACGACGAAGTAAATAATACTATAGCTAAGTTAGTCAATTAGTTTAATGTTAATAATTTGCATTTAAAAGGTACTAAAACTAAATGTATGAAATTCGTAACTCCTAATGTCAAACATGTTAATACGAATGTAATTTTAAATGATGAGTCGCTCGGGGGGATGAGTCGCTCGCGTCCGTAGGCTTCGACCACCTAACCTTAGGCCCACCCTACACGTGTCCCCCGGGTGGTGCTAAACGAGCGACAAAGCCGAAAAAGACTCGGCTCCTCGCCGTATGGTAGCGGCGTAAAATCCCTCGTTCGCACCATGACTCAGAAAATAAAAGAAATGACCTCGAGTTCCCGGCGCCCCTTCAATGGGGCGGGGGTGCGAATAATCTCCGGGAGAAAAACCGGCGACGAGGCTCGCCACCCGTCACGTTCTGTCTCCCGGAGGGGCGAAAAGTGGATTACGGAAACCCGTCTGGCTACGCTGAATGTATGTGGAGGAATGAATGATAAGGTGGATGAAGTATGCGAATTGATGAATGACAGAGGAATAGATGTGTTATGTGTGAATGAGACGAAACGAAAAGGAAAGGATGCCACTGCACATGGCACGTATACCGCGTATTGGTCTGGTGTAGACGAGACCGAACGGGCATGTCAGGGAGTCGGTTTCATCCTTTCAGAAAGAATGGGTCAATGTGTGAAAGAGTATGAATGTGTAAGCCCGAGGCTGCTATGGATACGAATGAAAGTGGGCTTAAAGAAGCTGTTCCTGATAGGGGTGTACGCCCCAGACTTGTCTAAGCCCACTTACATCCGAGAGCATTTTTGGGACATGGTAAGGATGGTGTTGACAAAATTTAAGGAAAATAAAAATATTATTATGTTAGGAGACTTTAATGGAAGGGTTGGGGTGAAGAGGTCTGGTTATTAAAGGATATTGGGAACGTTTGGTGATGAAAGTATAAATGAGAATGGTGAAGACCTCCTCACCGTATGTGTGGAAAAGAATCTTTTTGTGACGAATACTTTTTTCGTCATAAGAAGATTCACATGTATACATGGGAAAGAGGTGATGATAGAAGCATGATAGATTTCGTAATTGTGGATGAAAGAATGAGGAGCGCAGTCGTAGATACAAGGGTTTACCGGGGGTCCAACGTAGGGACGGATCATTACTTGGTCTTATGTCGAATTAATGGTCTTTTCAAGCGTTGGCGGCATCGGACATCTGTGTCTACCACTGCGTTACAGCGTATAAGAATAGAGAAGTTGCAAGATGTAGATGTGAAAGAGAAGTATAAATGTAGACTGAGAGGAAATATTAGATGTTTGAATGAGTTGTGTATGAATGATTTAGACTTGAATACTGTGTGGGATAATATTAAGAAAGGTTTGGTGGATGCCGCCACCGAAGTATGTGGTGTAAGTAAGAGAACAAATGAAAGGAAAAGTAATACGTTGTGGTGGGATGATGAGGTACGGGTGGAAGTTGAATCAAAGAAGAAAGCATGGTTAGATTTACTAGCAACCAAAGCTGGTAATTCTTCTGGTATGAATGATGAGATTGAAAGAAAAAAGGCAGAATTTAGACGTCTAAATAAGAGAGTAAAAGAAGTTGTTGAAAGGAAAAAGAAAGAAAGAACGGATAAGAATTATAGAAGGATATCTGATAATTTCCAGGCTAACATAAAAATGTTCTGGAAACTCGTAGGAACTGCCAGGGGAAATACAAAACAGCCTCTAATGAATGCTATAAGAGACGAGAATGGATGTATTCTGAATGATGAAGCTTCGAATTTAAACAGATGGAAGGAATACTTTGAAAGCGTGTTTATGAGTGAAGAGTCGTCTGAATTAAATGAACTAGAAATTCCGAAAGAAGTGGAAAGGGGTATGGAGATAAGTGTAGATGAAATAATGAAAGCAATGAAAAGCATGAAAGCAGGTAAGGCAGCTGGATATGATAGAGTATCACTCGAGATGCTAAGGGCTGGAGAGGGAGTGATGGCAGGCCTGCTGTACACCTTGTTTAATTTATGTTGGGGATTAAAACGGGTACCGGATGGCTGGTGTAAAGCAGTTATAGTACCAATATATAAAGGAAAAGGGTCACAGCAGGACTGCAAAAACTACCGTGGAATCAGCTTGCTTAGTATTGTGGGTAATCTGTATGCTAAGGTGTTAATTGAAAGAGTTATGAAAGAAACTGATGGAAAATTTTGGGATGTGCAAACGGGTTTTAGAAAGGGAATGGGGTGTACAGATCAAGTCTTTTCCATGCGCATGATTGCGGAGAAGTTTTTGGCCAAAAACCAGAAAGTTTTTTGTGAGTTCATGGACTTGGAAAAGGCTTATGACAGAGTGGACAGGAATGTGTTATGGCAAACACTGAACTCATATGGGTTGAGCGCTGGTTTGATACAGGCATTAAGGTCTCTTTTTAGGGACTCTAGTGCTTGTGTCAGGATCAATGGGGTCTACTCGGACTGGTTTGGCATCCAAAAAGGTGTCAGACAGGGCTGTGTAGCTTCCCCTTGGCTGTTCCACCTATTTATGGACAGGTGTTTGCAAACTTTGAAAGATGAAGAATGTGGGTTAAGAATGGGCGAGTTAACCGTCAAATGCCTTTTGTATGCCGATGATCAAGTCATATTTGCATCATCGGCGTCTGAGTTGCAAATGATGGTTATATTAATGAACTGGGAATTAAAAGAAAGGGGAATGAAAGTGAACGCAAGTAAGACGAAAGTGATGGTTTTTGAAAGAGAAGAAAGCAAAACGGTATGTGAAATAAGAATAGAAGGAGAGTTAATTGAGCAAGTGGATGAGTTTGTGTATTTGGGATGTGTATTTAGCAGGGATGGTAGATATGATAGGGATATAGAACGACGAGTAAATGCAGGGAATAGAGTGAATGGGGCACTACACTCTATTATGAAGAACCAGAATGTGTCAAAAAAGGCACGTATGGTAATTCATAATGCTGTGTTAGTCCCTACTTTAATGTATGGTAGTGAAAGCTGGGTGTGGCAGAAGAAGCACGATAGTAGAATAAATGCTGTAGAAATGCGGTCTTTAAGGAGTATGCTAGGGTTGAATCTGAATGACAGGGTGAGAAATTGCGCGATAAGAGATAAATGTGGTATGCAAGATGATGTTGTGACCAGGATTAAGAAAGGAATGCTTCGGTGGTTTGGTCATGTAGAAAGAATGAATGAGGAAAGAGTGACAAAGCAAATTTATATGGCAGATGTGAACGGCCGAGTCGGGAAGGGACGCCCTAGAAAAAAGTTTATCGACCAAATTGGCGATATTTTGAAAAGGGGCCACGTTAGAAGTACCCTTAACCGACGAGCATGTATGCGTAGATATATGGATGTAAAGGAGGCGAAAGAGGTATGTCAGGATCGTGCCAAATGGAAGTCCGTAGTCTCTGCCTACCCCTCTGGGTGACAGGCGTGAGTGTTTATGTAATTTTAAATGGGGAAGAACTGAGTCTTGTTGATACAACCATTCTTGGAATCACACTAGACGCAAAGCTTCAATGGCTCCTCCATATATCAAAACTTAGCAGACTTAGTTCTACAGCATATGCTGTAAAAAAGATTAGAACTCTAACCAGTGTTGAAACAGCTAGAATAGTTTACTTTTGTTATTTCCATAGCATTATGTCGTATGGTATTTTGCTATGGGGACACGCGACTGACACTGAAATTATATTTATTTTACAGAAGAGAGCCTTTAGAGCAATATATAATTTAAAACTAAAAGAGTCACTGAGACAAAAATTTAAGGAAATTAATATATTAACTCTGGCCTCTCAATACATTTATGAAAATGTAATGTACGTACAAGAATAAACATAGTTTTGCAAAAATAAGTGATATTCATTCTGTAAATACTAGGAACAGACATAAGCTAGTAGTACCAGTTAGTCGACTCCACCGAGTCAGTAATTCATTCTTGGGGCGATGTATACACTTTTACAACAAAATCCCAGAAAATATACAAAATTTGTCATACGCAAAGTTCAAAAATTTTATTAAACTAAGTTTGTATAAAAAGGTTTATTATAATATTAAGGAATTTATGGATGATTATAACCCCTGGGAAGGGTGATCGCTACCAAGCTATTTCTAATTTGTCTTGTGTTGTTAATTGTAAATATGATTGTAAGCTATTATTTGGAAAAATAATAGTCCCGCTGGGTTTCTTGCTGGTTCTTCCCAGGACAGAGGTTTTTTTGCGAACCAGTGGTAAATGAAAAAATTGACTTTCAAATAAGTATTGTTTATAATCTATATTGAATAAAAAAGTTTCTGTTTATGTCACTGTTATGGATATTTTACGTCTGGTAATATAGATACCAAAATTTACTGGTATCGGTGTAAGAATATCCACTACCTTTTATAATTCCGTAGGTTCTGAGAGGTGGCCGAGGGAAACAAAGCAAGAGATGGACAGCAGCTTATTCCTATTAACAACAAAATAAAAAACTGCAGTGTTCAACTCACTAGTCAAACGTGGCAACTATGGCAAATATCCCCTGGCCCTTACAAGACCTATGTTCAGCGGTGGACTTAAATTCGCTGTAAAGGTAATGGTGACTGTCTCTTTTCACTGAATGACAAAAGAAAGAGACAGGTATAGGTATAATTAATACTTATAGTTCGGCCGTTCAGAGAATGCGTTCCTGACACCTATCAGTTAGTCACGACTAGTGATGGGCACAACATAACACTGAGTTCGTTACCGTTCCTCCAAAATGAACCGCCGCGTTATTTTTAAGATTATTTTCGTTTTAAATTGGCGGAATCATTTAAAATTTATATTTTAGTATTTTAAGTGGAAACCAAAAAAAGGTAATATTAATATAATAAAATTGTTTTATTTATTCTTTGTTATAAAGTCACAATTTGTATTTCTATGCAATAAAGTACATTGAATTGAATGTACGTACAGAATATTAATCAGACTCCGATTCGCTTGAGGAGATGGTGTCTTCATCATCATCTTGATGTCAGTTTGAAAAGCAGAAACAGTCCATTAAACGAAAGCCGGGTAATCAAATAAAAACAGATCGAAAACACTTGAAGAACGTGGTCTATGCGCACGAAACGACAACAGACGACTGTTTTACCGTCACAAAATGGCGGCCCATAACGCCATTTGGGGTTACCATTTTCAACCTAAATATAAAAATGCTACTTTCTTTCGCGCATTCGCTTTAGTCGTAGTTTTATTTTTATATTTAATAAAATTTATCTTATAGTCCATTATTTTTAAATTCTTAAAAAGAAAAACAAAACGTATTATTTTATAAAGTATAACTGTATAAGAACAGATTACGATACTGTTATTGCCTGTTATTGTTAGCACAGCACTACAAATATAAAGCGCTGACATAACCTTGTAATAGCGCAGTATAGATTTAGAAAAATATTGTTTACCAAGTTATTTGACACTCAGTTTGGCACAAAATTATAACATTCATTGATTATTAATATAATAATGTTGTTTTAATGCTCATCAATTGTTAAAACGGTAAACAACCAGCAAAAATATTTTTATCGTAACTGCAACGCCATTACAAAGTTACGTCGTCAGTTCAATCGCGACGTGTCAGGAACGCATTCTCTGAACGGCCGAACTATAAGTAACCTAAAACCTACTATTATAAGGGTGTTTGTGAATTTTAAAAGTATAGAATTTGTACTTAATACAAAAATAAATAGATAATAATATTTCTTTTAATTTTTTATTTCAGTATTTCTTAATACTACAGTGAACGCGGAGAAATATTTAGAAGAGGAAGAAGAAGAAACCGAGTTTAAAGAAGTAGAATACTTAGATATCACAGACAGTTTAAAGAAAGATGAATTGTATGAAGAATCTTTATCAAATGGTGAGATTTCAAGTACTTTTCTGTTAATGAGTAACAAATAATTGTGACGTTCTGATGAAATCTGTATGTTTTGATATGTGGTAATATCTGAGTATATCTATACAGTGGAACAGAGATGGAGTTCAGTGATGATAATAATGTCAGTTTTCAAACTACTAAGTATTTCATATTTTATTTTATAGAATAAGGGTGACAACAAGTACACAGTCCACCTGATGGTAAGTGGATGCTGTGGCCCATAGACACCTACATTTATCCTCAATTAAGAATCAAAATGTAGATGAGTTGTCACCCAGGAATGAGATGGGATGCCTCGTATCCAGTAAAAAAGGTCTCCTGTTCTCTACAGTTACCATACAAAAGACAGCAGCATTAAGCTGCTATTTTTCGCTTGTATTCTTTGAGAGTGTGGTCCTTCCCCAGTTAAGCCCACCCATTTGTGTTGAATATAGCTGCAGTGTGGCTCCACCATGTATAAAGTAAGAAACATATAACAAAACAAAAGCACTCACGCTTGTCATCCAGAGGGGTAAGCGGAGACTACAGACTTCCATTTGGCATGATCCTGACACACCTCGCGCATCCTCCACATCCATATACCTACGCATACATGCATGTCGGTTAAGGGTACTTTTAATTTGGCCCATTTTCAATATATCAGCAATTTGGTCGACAAACTTTCGATAAGGACGTCCCTTACCGACTCTGTCGTTCATTTCTGCAACATAAATTTGTTTTGTCACTCTTTCCTCATCCATTCTGTCTACGTGACCAAACCACCGAAGCATTCCTTTGTTAATCCTCGTCACAACATCATCTTGCATACCACACTCTTCTTTTATCGCACAATTTCTCACCCTGTCACTCAGATTCAGCCCTCACATACTTCTTAACAACCGCATTTCTACTGCGTTTATTCTACTCTCGTGCTTCTACCATACCCAACTTTCACTACCTTATGTTAAAGTAGGGACTGACTAGGCATACGTGCCTTTTTTGACACATTCTGACATTCCACAATAGAGTGTAGAAGCCTCACTTACTCTTTTTCCTGCGTTCACTCGTCGTTCTATATCCTTATCATATCCCCCAGCCCTGTTAAGTTTTAAAAGTAAAAAAATTCTGTCAGATTTGTGTACTGTTGTACATTTGTTAACCACCGCTTGTAAGGGCCTGCTGTCTTATCAAGGCGAGCTATTTTTGTATAAAAATCAGTCACATTTGCAATAACACTTTTCTCTTCCACGTTCTCATCTTTCTCCATATTTTCTGTAGCGATTTCCTCAAAACAAATCCAGAAACTGTTGCCGACCGAAAAGCCGAGTAAACGTGGCCGAAAATTCGGTATTCGCCAAAATCACTATTTGTGGCATCTCTAATATACATTACATCATGTGCAAAAATTAGTAAAATCAAATAAATTTTTCGCTAAACTACATAATGTATTTAATAATATTATTTTTGTAAAATAGTGAAATGATCATAGAATTGCTGGTACCATTTATAGTGTTTAATGTAGCACCGGCCTGTATAATATTAATCTTCATTGTAAAGAATACAACTGCAGACTGTTAAAGACAAATGATATGATATTTTTTTATGGTTTCTAGAACAATTGCTGAGTTCAGATACTTCCCTGCTAGTAGAACATAAAAGAAAGTTGTCAAAAAAGCTCCCAAAGAAAGAGAGAAACAAAACATACAAGCAGTATATTGACAAGGAATTACAAATGGATGTCGATGCAGTCCAGAACAATGAAATGTCACATACAGAAGAGACTGAGTTGTTTAATGTGCCCACGAAAACTATCTCTGCTAAGATCCACAATCTTATAGACAAAGAAGAGGGTGAGTTTAAAAAATATAATTGCCGCCACGAGTCGTGAGCACACTTTTTATTGGTCGATATGACGTTGACCACGCTGATATTCAACGTGATTGGTTCGTCAGCCGATTCTCGTCGTCTATTGGGTTCGCACGTATCATTCGACTACCGTACACTTGAGAGCAATTTTAGTGACAACTTTTTAATTAGTTTATTTTTGTTAATTGTAGTGTTATCTCGTTGTTATTTGTTGTTTGTGTATTTCTTGTTTTTAACTGTTTTTGATATTTCTTGTTGTTGATTATTTTTTTTTTTGTTATAAATTAAGCATTCGGATTTTGGTCTAAATATGCAGAGAAGAAAGAATTCGGTGTTAAATAGATAATCTCGACAAATGGTCTATTCAGTGTTATGTTACATAATAGTTTTTAATAACATTAAAATAAAAACATGATAGACGTTTATAAACCGACTAATGAGGCGACTCAGAATTTCGAAAAAAAGTCAGCGAAAATATTCAATTATGATTTGAAATAACAACAGTACCTAATAATTTTGGCCGACAGCGTACCTTCGCTGGCTCAACCCCCACCATAGTTCATCTGTGCTCACGTTTCGTGCCGGCAACTATACTAGTGTTCTAATTATATTACTAATGTTCCCCTTAACCGCTTTGTAAACCTTAAAATGCTTGTCTTTTTTTATAAAATGAGGGTGATAAACAAACACACAGTTCACCTGATGGCAAGGTCTTGGCCCATTGAAATCTATTCTGAATAGAGAATAAAATGCAGATTCGTTGTCACCCCATAGGACTAAGATATAATGCTTCGTTCCCAGTCAAAGCGGTCTTCGGTTCTTTACACACCATACAAAATACAGCAGTTATAAGCTGCTACTTTACGTTGATATTGTTGCGCTTCTAAGTTTATGTCTGGTACCTGGCACTAGTGCCATCTAGTGTCGGGAAACAGAACGAGGAGAGCTTTCAGCGCCATCTAGTATCGAATAGAAGAACTAAACTTTCTGGAAAGCCCCACTCTCGAACTTTCTCCACCTAGTCGGTCGGGACCGGTATTTGCTGGAATATTCTATAAGGAATATCCGTCAAGCTGATACCATGACCGGCTATTTTCCCCTAACGGTAATCCATCAACGTAATCCGCCACTGGGCAGTCAAGCAGTTCCAAAAACTTAGGCCCACTAAGGTTTCCTTCGATAAACACGGGACCAATAATTTGATCTCCGTATATTCCAGCCCAAACATTAACGGCAAGTCTGTATTGGTGCATAGACTCACGACACAGTTGCAGATTTTCTTCACTCCAGTACCGTAAGTTCTGCCGATTACATATTCCGTTGCGCGTGAATGTGCTCTCGTCACTCCACATTATGTTAGCTAAAAAGTTAGAGTCATTAGCTACTCTGCTCAGGATCCATTGGCAGTAAGCTTCCCTGACTGGCTTATCTCTATCTAATAAAGCCTGTACCTTTACATATTTGAACGACCGTTGCTTGTTTTTTCTTAATATTTTGTGAACAGTCTTGTGGTGTACACGGAATTGGCGAGCTGCTCTACGGAGACTTGAAGTTGGATTACGATCGAAATAATTCAATATTTGTTCTTCCTGAGCCACGGCTACTCGCGGAGGAATTTCAACCTGACGCGGGATCAAATATTGACCGTCGCGTAATCTTTGGACTGCCCGTATAAAAATACGTGAGTCTGTAGGACATACACTTGTGGTATTATACCTCTCTCGATATGTTCGTAATGTCAAAGCCGCGTTTTGGTGGCACTCTCCGTAAATCAAAATCATGTCGGTGTATTCCGACGTCGTGAAATTGACACGAGGCACCTTAAAACTTATAAAAGTTAAAACGTTAAAAAGAAAAAGCGTACAATTTTAAGCGAGCTGTTACACCACTTCACTATGTTATTGAATATGTTTTTTTTTAATCTAACGTATTAAACGTGTCCTATCACAAATAAAAAAATATAAAACAGTAAAAGTAAGCGTCCAATTTCGCACAAACTGTCACACCACCTTATCACAACTATTATTATCCTATTAAAGTGTCTATCACAAACAAATCAAAAAACTTATCAAAATGTCCACAAAACTAAAATACAACAATTAAAACTCAAAGGACGCCTACGCGAAAATTAGGTCAAGTGACTCATGAACCATCCAAGGGCACCGGCGTCGGACTAAGTGACTTAATTTATCGTCCCATGCGCCAGAGAAATACGAATATAAACAACACGTTTCTTCACACCACTCCCTTCCATTTCTTATCACTTCACGCATAGCGAATTATGCCTTCGGACGTCTAAGTAAATTTTTTGCTTGAATTTGTTTTCACACACTCGCATCGCGCGGTCCCTTTGTTTTTAATTTCGAGCATAAGAAATATGTCTTAAATTGTTGGCCTTAAGTATATTTTTGCATTATTTTTCCTTTATTTGTGTAATTCGGAATGGCAACGTTTGAACTAGGTATCTTCGCCTTTGCCGGCCTTGGGTCTTTGACCCTTTAGTATTCGTCAGGTGATAAATATATGCATTTACATGATGGTTGTTTAATATTAAATCGAAAAAAAAGGCTACTGGGGACTAGGATGTTAATTTTTACATTTCTTTTAGTTATGTATGTTAAAAGAATGTTATGTAGGATATGTCTTTTCATTTAATGTGATAACTTCAAAGTAACTAATATTGTTATGAGGTCGATTTGTTTGAAAACCACTAAGTATTAATAGTTCCTTTAACCTTCCTACTCTTTATAATTATTTTTACCAAAGAAACTTTCATAATAGTAGCTATACGGGTATAAGTACATGGCGAATGACTGAACAGTCAGTACGCATGACAATGCACGGTGCTTAGTTGTAAGTAAAAATAAATATTTATTTATTTATTATTTCAAGATAATTTTATTATTGTTGCCTTGAAGGCTGTCATTATTTTGTCAAAGATTACGAGTACGTAGTGGTATGTTGTACTAAGTTTTAGAAACTCTTTATTTTTGGAAGTACATTATATTATTGCATTAAGTTACTTCTTTTTTTTTTTGTTACTATTTAGATACTAAGTACATCGTAAAAACTACTTTTTCTTTTATAATTGTTAATAAATAGTGATTTTTTTTTTCACTATTTATTAACAATTCTCGGAACCCATCTTGCACAGACTTAAGTCATGTCACTTGTTACACACATTTTTTATCATTTATCGATTTTCTTGCTTTGACGTATGCTAAATTTCACGTTGCTATGCTATTTAGAAAACTTAGTCCATTTGGACGAATATAAACATTTATCCTCGTTAAGTGATAAAAATAGCTCTAAAAATGTACTACGAAAGGCCTCTCCGGTCGTGTCGTATTACCATTTCGTGAGAGTGAGACTCGTATAATCTTGTTCTGCACAGATGGCTGGTCTTGAGACTGGCCGTGGTCGTCATGACTTAAATTCAGTATAGAGGACATTATCTATACAAGTAAATGAAATTGAAGTGTCTCTTTTTAATGTCAAAAAAGTAGGTTTTCACTAAATACATATGAAAGTATATACGGTACTTATAACAAATAACATTTTCTTTTAAATTTTATGTCCTGTTTGTTCCTTTGAGAGAAATATCAATCGAGAGTTTGATTACACTTTCTCTGTCAGATAGCTGGTGTTGTAAGGAGTAACTGAGGCTTATTTTATTTTAGAAAAGTAATTAGGATTCCGCACAAAAACCCTTGAAATTCGACCTTAATAAATTCCATGCGGACGAAGTCGTGGGGAACAGCTAGTTATTAATATTGTTACGTGCTTGAGGTTCGTGACAATAAAAACTGCCGATTGAATTACCAAAATTTACACTTTTATTACCCAAAACCAATTAAAACTAAAAAAAACACTTATAATTAATCACACTGATTCACTTTATTTCGCTCCGAAGCTTCGCTTGTGTCGCCAACATTCAATACTTCCTCGATCGCATCTTGCAGCGCCTTTAAATACACATTATCACCGAAACATCCAGAATGTTCAAGTAAATACGCCAATTGACCAGGCGCCGAAAGTTCGAGCTTCGGCTTCTAGAAAGCTTAGTTCTTCATTTCGATACTAGATGGCGCTGTCGGTTGAAAGATTAGTTATGTAATTTTCTGGACAGCTCTCCTTGCTCTGTTACCCGACACAGATGGCGCTAGTGCCAGATGTCAACTTAGGCGCGCAACACTGCCCCCTCCTAAGACATGCTCGTCCCGAGCATTATCGGCCCCATAATAACGCGCTAGGCGATCCACATGGACGATCTTAGGAGTCCCTCTTGCGCCTTTCTGTATCCGGTAGGTTACATCGTTGATCCTGGTTACAATCCGGTACGGGCCGTCCCATTTAGCTTGAAGCTTAGGAGATTTCCCTTTGCTGCGGACTGGATTGTGCAACCACACTAGCGAACCTTCGTCGAACCCTTTGTTGTTCATTTTGCGGTCATACAGGGGATTCATCTTTTCAGACATTTGCTGGCCCGATTGTCTGACGTGCTCATAAATGTCATTCATTTTGTTCCGCAAGTCATTTGCATAATCGGTTATAGTGCGTGGGGCATCAGGTGGTATTCCGGTGATCAAGTCTGTAGGCAGCCGTAATTCTCTTCCAAAGTTTGCGAAAGCTGGTGTAACTGCTGTACTTTCGTCCACAGCGCTTCGATATGACAACAAAAACGGTTGTATGTGCTTGTCCCAATCTCGTTGCCGATTGTCTACAACTTTGGCTAGGTACCTCTCCAATGTCTGATTGAATCGTTATAACATTCCATCAGATTGCGTGTGATAAGCAGTCGTTCTTGTTTTATGAGTTCATGTTTCCTGGAATATTTGAGACTCAAAATTCCTTCCTTGATCGCTGTGAATCTCTAAAGGTACTCCAAAACGACAGAAGACTTCATGAACTAGTTTATCTGCAACTGTTGAAGCTTCTTGATTTGGAATGGCGAAGACTTCCGGCCACTTAGTGAAGTAATCCATCACAACCATGAAATACTTGTTACCGCTTTCACTCTCCGGAAACGGCCCCGCCACGTCAATGGCTATTCTCTCCCATGGTGCACCAACATTGTACAACTTCAACGCACCTCTACTACGAGTCTGAGGTCCCTTTACGGCCGCACAACTTGTACATTTGCGACACCAGTCCTCGACGTCGTTTTGACATTGGACCCAGTAAAACCGTTCTCGGAACTTCGGTAGAGTTCGTTTAACTCCCAGATGGCCTCCTGAACAATCATTATGGTACAGCTGTAGAACATCCGGTACTTTAGCTTTAGGGACAACCATTTGCAAATGACAGCTGTCTCCCCGAACATTTTCCCATTTACGGTACAGAACTCCATCTTGAAGCAGCAAGCTGTCCCACTGGGCCCAATAGCTTTTAGTGGTCGAACTCATCGCTGAGACGTCGCTCCACTTGGGCTTGATAGCACGGGCCTTCATTCATTCCAGAATCGGCTTGATGTCCGGATCTTCCTGCTGTGCATGCTGTAAGCTGTCCTTCCAGTCGTTGCTGAGGTGGTCTGTCCTGAGCATCCTCACGGATACCACTTCCTTACTCTCTTGCCTAGTACTGTTCTCGTCATCATCAAGATAAGGACTCCTTGACAATGCATCTGTGTTGCCTCGCCATTTCCCGCTACAGTGTCTGATATTAAAGTCGTATTCCTGCTGCTGCTGGGCGGTGCTGTTAGCCGCACTTCCTTTCTGAGATCGTTCACTTTCCCTTTCTAGGGTTTGCTTAGGGCAGCTGGATCGAAGATGGCCCGTTTCCCCACAGCCATAGCACCTAGGGCTGTATCCTTTATTGTGGTTGCGAACTGTAGCTGCTGTAACCTCCCTGAAGCGATGGGAACGATGATCCTGCCGCACGGCTTCCACCTCCAGTGCATAGGTCAAGGCGTCCTTAAGCGTCTCATGGTGCCCGAGCCTCACAGCAGCTCTGACTTCCAGGTCGCGGATGCCGTCGATGAATGTCTGCACCAGGTTAACTTCAATGAGCGCAGGTACAGACCGGTATGCTTTTCTCACCAGCTCCTCCACCTCTAGAGCCCACTGCTGCAGGTTTTCGTTGATGCGCTGCACGCGATCTTTAAGCTGCACACGAAAGACGTGTTCCAGGTGAGCGTCGCCGATATCTCGCCTCCAATGCCTCAAGGAGTTGCTCATAAGTCACTTCCTCACCGAGAGCTTCCAGAACTGTTAAGGCCTGGTCGCGTAGGCCTAGTGTGAGAGCAGTCATGGTCTGACTTATTCCAGCCGTTCGCCTTCATAACAGCTTCGAACTGAATTTTGTAGGCCGACCAGGAAGAAGTCCCGTCGAACGGTGGCACCTTGAACCCACGTAGCAAAGGTATTGTAGTTACTACGGGAGCTGTAATTCTATCCCCCAGTTTGAGGTCGTCCAGCGTTTTCTTCACGTCAGCCATCACGTAATCAACCCGATTGTTCACTTGTTCGATTTGGGTTTTAGCTTCCTTGATTTGGGTTTCAGCTTCCGACAGGCGGTTGTCATGTTGAGCAACCCTATCCTTCACCTCCCTTGTCTCTTTCCCGAAGTTAGCGTGAATGTCCTTCACGAGGAGTATCTGCTCTTCCTGTCGGCGGGCCTGTCCCTCCGTCTCCTCCTTAGGTATAATCGGCATGATTTTATCCTACTTCTGACACCAATTGTTACATGCTTGAGGTTCGTGACAGTAAAAACTACCGATTGAATTACCAAAATTTACACTTTTATTACCCAAAACCAATTATAACTAAAAAAAACACTAATAATTAATCACACTGATTCACTTTATTTCGCTCCGAAGCTTCGCTTGTATCGCCAAAATTCAATACTTCCTCGATCGCATCTTGCAGCGCCTTTAAATACACATTATCACCGAAACATCCAGAATATTCAAGTAAATACGCGCGCCAATCGACCAGGCGCCGAAAGTTCGAGTGTAGGGCTTCTAGAAAGCTTAGTTCTTCATTTCGATACTAGAAGGCGCTGTCGGTTGAAAGATTAGTGATGTCATTTTCTGGAAAGCTCTCCTCGCTCTGTTACCCGACACAGATGGCGCTAGTGCCAGACGTCAACTTAGGCGCGCAACAATATCATTATTAAATAAGATAATGAGGTTTTTTATGGTTTCTAGAACAATCGCAGAGTGCAGAAGAAAATCGTAAAAGAAAATGGCCGAAGAAACTACCAAGGAAAGACAGAAACAAAACATACAAGCAGTATACTGAAAAGGCAATGAGAATGGCCATTGATGCTGTCCAGAATAAAGGGTTGTCATGTCATGAAGCGTCAGAGATGTTTAAGGTGCCAAGGAACACTCTTGCATTAAGAGTTCAGAATACTATTGCCAAAAAAGAGGGTAAGTCGATAGCAAATAACTTCAATTAAAAAATTTAAAAATCACCGAAACAAAAAGAGTTGATAATCTTTAAATGACTGAACTGATTTTCTTGAAACAGCTAAGAACACTGTCGATTAAGACACCTTTTAAACGAATAAAATTAATTAAAATCGGTTCAGCAGCTTTGTACCAGTGAACTGTGAACAGTGGTAGTGCCACGCGGCAGCTATACTGTTGCACTTATGGGCCGGCTCAAACCGAGGTGGTACCACGACCTCACAGAATACCGGCGTGAAGTGGAAGCTCTGTTTCCGCGTTTCGTCTGGTGAGTGCAGGTGGCCGGAGGCCCAAATCCCCCACCCCCATCAACATGGTAGCGGAATTAAATGTCAAACTACCCCAGGAGCGTACCAGCAAAGACTACAACTGCTTGGGGCAAACGGAGCAACAAGACCAAGGCGACCCCTGCCACGCTATCCGTGAATTTCTGCAATATCAGAGAACTTCACTCTAACCTAAACGCCGTCCACTACCATCTCGAGACTGCGAGGTCGGCTCTGCTCTTTCTGACCGAGACGCAGGTGTCCTCTCCGGCTGATGTCTCGTATCTCTCCTACCAGGAGTACAAACTGGAACACTCCTTTGTGCCTCGGGCTGGAGTTTGTTGAGTCATTGTCAAGGCAAAGTCAGAGCACATAGGCAGAATTGACGAGAAACTAGTTCGCCTTCCTTCTGGAACCCGTGCATTCTGGTCTCTCGCCAAGGCTGTTCCAGAGTAATTTCTGTCATCCATCTCTTCCATCTGTCCACAGGGTTGACGACTCTCTTATTGTTCCACAGGGAGGACGACTCACTGGCCCATTACGCAAAGGAGAAAGCCGATCTGCTAGGCTCTTTCTTTGCGTCCAACTGGCCTAAAAAAGCGACGGTAGCCTAATGGCAGGGCGCGGACCGCGAACTCAAAAAGGTCGTGGGTTCGAATCCACCATTCGACTACTGGCGTGAACCACTCATAACACAAGCAATTTAAGCTTACCACGAGTGGTTAAGGGGAATATTAGTAATGTTTATAGCATTGTTAATATTCTTTTTTTTTAAAACTGGACTCTCGATGACGGGGGGAGTACGCCGCCAACCATCCCGCGGTGTGAGTGCTCCATGCCGAAGGTGCAGTTCACACAGCGCTCGGTTCGCAAAGCATTCCTCTCCCTGGACATCCACAAGTCGAGTGGGCCTGACGGAATCCCCCCAATTGTGCTGAGGACGTGTGCTCCAGAGTTGGCACCGGTTTTAATGCGTCTTTTCCGGTACTCCTACTCCCTAGGCGGACTACGCCTAGCAAAATCATGGGAGACGGCTTTCGTCCAGCCGATCCCTAAAAAAGGCGACCGCTCAGACCCTTCCAATTACCGGCCTATCGCCATCACCTTGTTCTCCAAAACAAAGGAGTCTATTGTTAACTGTCAGCTCATGAGGTACATTGAGGATCACCAGCTGATTAGTGATCGCCAATACGGTTTTCGCCGTGGTCGATCAGCTGGTGATCTTCTGGTCTACCTAACTCTGGGCTATGGGCGGAGGCAGTAGAGTCCAAGGGGGAAGCATTGGCCGTTAGTTTGGACATTGCGAAGGCCTTCGATCGGGTTTGGCACAATGCGCTTCTTTCGTAGCTCCCTTCCTATGGGCTTCCCGAGAAATTGTGCGATTGGATTACCAGCTTTCTTGCAGATCGGAGCATCAAGGTCGTTGTAGACGGTGCAAGCTCCGATTACAAGCCTATTAATGCTGGTGTTCCACAATCGGCTGCGTGCTATCGCCAACGCTGTTTCTTCTGCATATCAATGATATGTTGGAAACCCGTAACATTCATTGCTATACAGATGACAGCACTGGTGATGCTCTGTACACCTGCCGTGCCAATATTTTTTCGGGAAAACGTTTCTGAGTACCGGGACAAACTTGTGTCTGAAGTCGAGTCTCGGATTGGGGGCGACTAAATCTAGTCCAGTTTAACCCTCAGAAGACATAAGTTTGCGCGTGCATCTATGCGGAGGTGTATGGATGTGAAGGAGGCGAGAGAGGTGTGTCAGGATCGTGCCAAATGGAAGTCTGTAGTCTCTGCCTACCCCTCTAGGTGACAGGCGTGAGTGTTTATGTATGTCAATCTAGTCCAGTTTAACCCTCAGAAGACATAAGTTTGCGCGTTAACCGCTAAAAAGAACCCCTTTGTCGTATCTCCCTCAATTTCAAGACACTCCCCTTGTTGCCTCAGGCAGTATTGGAATCCTCGGCGTCGACATATCGAGTGACGGGCAGTTTCGTGGTCACTTGGAAGAGAAGGCCAAATTGGCCTCTAAAAAGCTTGGCGTGCTCAGCAGAGCGGGACAGTATTGCATGCCGGCACACCGCCTGCAACTTTACAAGGCGCAGGTTCGGCTGCACATGAAATACTGTTCTCATCTCTGGGATGGGGCTCCCCAGTACCAGCTCCTTCCACTTGACAGCATCCAACGCAGAGCGGCTCGAATTGTCGATGACCGAGTGCTTTCCGATCGGCTCGATTCACTGGCGCTGCGAAGAGATGTTGCATCTATTTGCATCTTCTTTCGCATATACCATGGGGAGTGCTCTGAGGAATTGTTCGGATTAATCCCAGCCGCCAAATTTCGTGAACGCACTACGCGGCAAACGTCCCGATACCATCCACAACATCTGGATGCTTGGCAGTCCACCACTGTACGTTTCACAAGGAGTTTTCTTCCGCGTACGACCTCTCTGTGGAATAGTTTACCACCGGCGATTTTACCGGACCGATAAGACCCGGGGACCTTCAAGAAAAGAGCTTACTCCTTTCTAAAGGGCCGGCAACGCACCTGAAACTCTCCTGGTGTTGCGGTTGATCATGGGCGGCGGTAGTCACTTAATATCAGGTGAGCCGCATGCTCATTTTCCCCCTCTTCTATAAAAAACCTTCCACATAAGCTGGGGGGAGGTATATTTCCATAGTTGCCACGCTCGGCGAGAGGTATGCTAAATTTGCTTGTAGTAGAAAGGTGCTGCCCATATCCTTGCTTATTTCTCCTCGTACGACACCCACGGAACTATATGCGGTATATATGTGTGCCACAGTTAGACACAGAGATACTCTGATACACACTACAAACTAATTATGATTGTAAATTAGCAGGCAGGCAGTTGAGGCAGCTGATAATGCCTGTATCCTGTTTATGCCATCTATTTTTTTTAAAGGATAAGGTGACAAATGAGCACACAGTCCACCTGATGGTAAGTGGATGATGTCACCCATAGAAATCTACATTTATCCTCGATTACGAATGAAGAATTTTTGTATAAAAACAAATTAAAAAATATAACCTAAAAGTATTATACAAAAAGTATCTCTTATGGGTAGATGTTATTGTTCAATTGTATGATGTATCTGAATATTATTTGTTTTAATAAATACATAGTATATGTACTTCCTGTCTAGCCAGATACATTAGGTGACACGAAGTTCTAAGATTTATTCCATAGTCAAATGTTACAGTGGTATTTTGCTAATACGCATTCATAACCAAACTCCTACATATAATTATTTATATTGCCTTACCTAATTACTGCTTGCTCGAAGAGAGATGTATAAGGTTGACCAGTTGTGGGACAATTTAGAGTATTAAAGAAAACGTACCTACTTACTTGAATCTTCATAGGATATTGATTAATTTTTACCTAACCAAAATAATCGTAGCAGGTGGTTGGAAGTTGTCATAGACATAAATCTTAAAATAAATGGTCATGGTCAATGGTCAATTTAATGGTCATAATTATAGTCTATCAAATTTTTATTTTCAATAGCCACGAAAATCATCCTTGGTGGGAATCGCAGTTCTTTTACGAGGATTTATGGTCTATCAGAGCTGATATAATAGTTGGGATGATACTGAACATGTTGACATACTTCAGATTTCTTAGAGCGTTGGTGCTTCACATCAGTGATGTGTTCTTTTATGTGGGTGTTTTATGAAATTTTTATCTAAAGATGCGTATGAAAAAATTAAAATTAAATGCCATAAAATTTGTAAATTTAATTTTATTCCATTGCAGCATTCGCGGAAATATATGAAATCGTTATAGAACTTCATTTATGAAATTTTTCAGTCTACTCGAACGTAATAATAATATCATCATTTATTTAATAATAATAATAATGATTTATTTTCTCACCACAATATTACCGAATTATTGTAGAGATTATTAAAGTATTACACACCAATGTTATACTGTGGGAGACTGGTGCCTAACTAGGCTTTAGCCTGTATTTCAGGACGCCAGGTCTACGCATAATGGTGACTATCAGTATTAAATGGGACCAATAATATAAATCAAATATCTCAAATAAACATCATACCGTAAATTAATAGACGACGATAAAATTTATCATTGTTTTGTTAAAACTAAACTAATTTTAATGATGAAAGAATGTAGAGTGTAAAATGTAAATAACGCAATTTTTTCCAAATGTAAAAATGTAAATAAAAAATTGATTCCAAGAAAATTTAGCAATTGATAATTACCTTATGGATATGTTGTAAGACACGCCTGATATAAAAATCAGCAGGTGATAAGATGATTAATGCAATTATGAAAAAATTATTTATTCCCGTGTTCCTATAACATATTATATCTAGGCCAAATATCAATCATTCACGTTCAATAGTCTTTGAGAATTCAAAAAAATCTTCGAAAAATAGACATGAAAAACGACACAGACCACCGAGGTGACTTCAATAGTCATCGAATTTTGACAAATTTAGAACGGAACAACATTTATTAACGTTGCTAAATTAAAGCCCACACGAGTGGAGCCGGATTATAGTGAGTGCCTGATTACCGGCGGTCCACTGTATATGTAATTAATTTAAATATGCAGATATAGAAGATATGGATATAGAAGCACGATGCTTCGTTAATTTTATAATATGTGGGTCCATTTTTGCCATTATTCTTTAATCAATTGGATATTCAACGTTACTTTCATCAAATTTATGTATCTGAGCGTGACGATCACGTGAGTTCAGGCCTAAAGAAGTTTTTCACTTCAATAATGTTGAATACCAAAAAAATTTTTTAATCTGTTCCAGAACCAGATGATGATGACGCCTCAAAAGTAACAGACCAAGAAAAACACTACAAACTCGTGGAGGAAATTAAATCTATACTCACCTACACAAATGCTATACCATACAAAACGAAATTGTCAAAGTACTACTGTGCATACTGCTCTACCGATGGACCTGTTTTTGATGATCCCGATGATTTGAGGACTCACACTAAAACGAAGCATATAGATGATCGGACCAAAGGCATAGATCTGCTAATGAGACCACACTGTCAAAATGAAGTGTTAAAAGTTGATATACATAGTCTCCATTGTACAGTTTGCTGTACAATCCTGCCAACTTGGAACGACATGTTTCGACACCTTGAAGACGTGCATGAGGTTGTTCTAGACGAGGCCTATAGCAGAGTAATACCTTATATCCTAGCAAGGGAGTTGAAATGTGCTTTATGTGAAGATGCCTTTCCGAATTACCAAACGCTGGACGGACATATGAACGCCCATTACAGCAGTTACATTTGCTCCGAATGCGGCGATACTTTCTTATCAGCGAGCCGATTTAATAAACATTTGGAAGTGCACAATACTGGGACATTCACTTGCGAGGTTTGCGGTAAAGTGTACAATTTGAAGAAGTACTTGAGGAAGCACTTTGACTTGGTACATGGTCAGAAGAACCAATACAAATGCTCATACTGTCCGGAAAGATTCTTCAAACCATTCCAGAGACATCAGCATGTACTTGACAAGCACAAAGAGACGGTCAAGATAAAGACTTGTGAGATCTGCGGAAAGTCTTTCGACTTTATGCCCTACTACGGGGCTCACATGAGACGAAGGCATGGGCAAAAGAATAAATACAAATAAAAACCGGCCAAGAGCGTGTCGGGCCACGCTCAGTGCTCAGGGTTCCGTAGTTTCCCGTCCGTCACAATAAGTGTTCCCACTTATGAGTTTAAAGGTTTAAAGGTTTAAAGCGCTCCTGCAACTGCTCCCGGTAGTGGGTACTGTTGTTTCCATCCAAGTTCAAAATGATTTTCCTAGAAAGTCCTTATAAAGTTCTACTTTTCAGATTTTTTTCATATTTTCTAAACTTATGGTTCAAAAGTTAGAGGGGGGGGGGGGGGGACACATTGTTTTTTACTTTTGGAGCGATTATTTCCGAAATCATTGACATTATCAAAAAATGATTTTAGTAAACCCCTATTCATTTTTAAATACCTTTCCAACAATATATCACACGTTAGGGTTGAAATTAAAAAAAAATCACTTCCCACTTTACATATAGGGGGGGCTACCCTAATAAAACATTTTTTTCCCAACCAAATTTTGTACCAAAAAATTTGGTACCAAATTTCAGCTTTCTAGTGCTAACGGTCACAGAGATTAAGCGAGGACGGACATACGGACAGACAGACATGGCGAAACTATAAGGGTTCCTAGTTGACTACGGAACCTTAATGAAGGGCACAGGAAAAGAAGGAGATCATTAACATTCTCATTGTTTCGAGTAATCAATGAAACCTAAAATTTCAATTTCTACACTTACAACTCTACTAGAATATGATTCGTACCCATATAAAAAAGGAACAGTGTACATTTAACATAATAGATTGTTGGCGCGACTACTAACGCCATCTAGCGACGCACCGGAACACCACACTTTTATCTACGAATCAGAGCTCGTCATTGTCGGCGACCAATCACACCACGTCGTGCAATTAGTTATAAGATCTGTCTGTTTTAAAATTTTGATTATTACCTGATACACACTGTTAGCAATGAGATGATTTAAATATAACCAGCAAACGTTCAATAAATCAATCATTGAAGAGCACCTGCCTCCCGTTCCTGTACATAGATTGTTATCTTATCCTCTCAACTGCGGATGTCCAAGACTTGGACACGAAAATATCTCCGTTGACTGCGGGCGTCCAAGTGTTAGACTATATTCTAACTATATTCTAACGCTATTTCTAACTTATTCTACCATATGTCAATGTGTACAGGATAAAAAAGGCTAGCATAAAAACCCTACAGCTTATACACTTTAGTAGTATATTTTATTTAAATCATTCTTAAATGGCGTCCGTTCCTTGAGTCAGCCATTAGTGTGATTGCCGCGCTAACAACGAAGTTGTTTGTAATTATTTTGTAATAATTTATATTTATTGTGTGGTGAATTGTGTTAAAACAATGCCTGGTTAAGTAACCTTCTTATTTGTAATCTTATTTTGTGTTTTATCTTATTCAGTATGTGTAAAATCGTTTTTTAATATGTATGAAGCAAATCGCTATCTTAGAACTAACATGCTGGTTGAGGAAAGTTGACTTGAAATGTACGTAAAATTTTAGTGTTGACTGTCAGTTTTGTGTTAAAATATGTGTAATTGTTCATCGTTCACAGTTTTAGTACATCAAAATGAGGATAAAGTGCAATATTTTCAAAATTTTAATGTAAATACGCAATAGGTGCAATAGTGTCCATTTTTGAGACGTCCACAATAGTGAATTCTAGTTCTTTGTTTTGCGGGTGGCGAAAAAAAGAACTAAAGTTTGCCATACTGCATCTAGTTCAAATTCGGTTGAATGGTTAGAATGGTAAAGAATCTAGCGCCCTACCAAGCCAACCGCCCAACCAACTCTGCTCAAGCAGAGAAATGGAGCTTGGTTGACTCCACGATTATTCGATGATTTATGAAAAATTAAATGTGGCATTTGGATATGTCATGTATGTTAACACAAGACTTCGGAATTTTTTAAACAATTTATTAAATCAGAAAATTAGAAAGTATTTACATAATATGCTTTTTAATATTTAATATTAGAAATTTTTATTTTTTTAATTTAATATGAACAGGTTGTGGTTTTTAAGGTCACCTCAGACACATATTTCTTATATTGGTTTTTTTTAATGTACATTTTATCTGTATGTACTTTGCAAATCGTGTAACGTTGCGTTATGTTTCAACCTAGAGCAAGATTGCTGCTACCTACAGTACCATTCGTAAATGAATTGTACTGTAGATACAGTAAATCCAACAAGTACCAGGAGCCTTTTAAAGAAATAAGTACCTATGTTATATATTTATTCAATTTTATACTTATGTCCATCCATCCATTTAGTTTTTATTGTTGCCTAGCTATAATTTGTTCAGCTAATTTTTTCAGGCTATCTTTGTTAAGTTACACAGCCTATTTCCGTCCCACTGCTGGGCCTTCACTTACTTCTGAAAATGTTTTAGGACAAAGAAGTGTCCGCCGCACTGCCCATATGCGTGTTGGCGAACTGCACATGCCTTGGAAATATTTCTTTTATTTCTCAGTCAGTCAGACTTCCTCATGATGTTTTCCTTCACCACCGAGCAAGAGGTAAATCAGCACTTAAAATTGTAATTAATAATTTCATTGATGCCGGCGGGGATCGAACCCGGTGTGCTAGCGTACTGTGAAATTTAACGCAAGAGCTAACAATCTGAGCTACCAGGGTTCTCTCAATCGTCGAAATGAATACTTAAGTTAGTTAAGTTACAGCCTTTTTACGCCCCACAGCTGGGCAAAGGCATCCCTTTATTTCTCAGAGGGTTTTAGGGCAAAAAAGTTTCCGTCGCGCTGCCCCAATGCGTGTTGGCGAACTTCACGTGTCTTCGAAATATTTTTTTTCTTATATCACAGACGTGCAGACGTAAGAAAAAAAAATATTTAAAAGAAGTTTCCTCACAATGTCTTTCTTCACCACCGAGCACGTGGTAGATCAGCACTTAAAATTGCAATTAACAATTTCATTATTGCTAGCGGGGATCGAACCCGGCTTGCTAGCGTACTGTGAAATTTACAGCGAGAGCTAACCATCTGAGCTACCACGGCTCTTCTGAGCCACCACGGCTCTCATCGTTGAAATGAATACACCTCTTTATTTTGTATGTTTTTTTCTATAGGATAGGGTGACAAACGAGCACACAGTCCACCTGATGGTAAGTGGTTGCTGCGGCCCATAGACATCTACATCTATCCTCGATTACAAATCAAAATGCAGATGCGTGTCACCCGTGTGGACTTAGATGGAACGCCTCGTTTCCAGTAAAAAGGCTCTCCAGTTCTCTACACTCACCATACGAAACACAGGAGCATTAAGCTATTATTTCACGCTGGTATTCGGTGAGAGCGTGGTCCTTCCCCGGTCGAGCCGGCCTATTCGTACTACTAACTATACTAGTAATATAACTGCAGCATGGCTCTACCACGTATAAAAAATGTTTTAATGAATTAGTACATGATGCACAAAAAAGTGCAGACTCTGACTTTAATTGTGATATATTTTTGTATAATGCATAAGAAGTGGGTTCTTTAAAAATATACATAAACTAGCTGACCCGGCGAACTTCGTACCGCCTAACAGTTAATGAATGTCGTGTTACCTTTTAGCTGAACTAATTTAGGCTTTGATGAACGTAATACAATGATACAAAAAGAAAAATACAGACAGATATAAAAAAAGTATTTTATTATGATAAATAATACATACAGAAAGATAATAAAAAAAAAATTAAGTACTACTAACACGTGTCAGCAAAAAATGACTGAATTAAACGATTAACTCTTCATTCAAGCACCTTGTGGGAAACTACATTCTTTGTTTTTGTGTCAGGCGCAAGAACAAATAAAGCGGATGGTTTGCCGACACGTGAACATGCCACGTACAATTGACCATGAGAAAAACATGAATTTTCTAGATTGAGGCCACAAATAGTCAATGATTGGCCCTGTGATTTGTTAATCGTCATGGCGAAGGCAAGACGAATCGGGAATTGAATTCTTTTAAACTCAGAGGGCATATCCGTTGGGATCATCGAAATCCTTGGAATGAGAACTTCCTCATCTTTAAATTTTCCTTTGAGTATCGACGCGTGAATCACATTGCTCATCAGTTTTCTTATCACCAAACGCGTTCCATTGCACAGTTTTGATTGGTTTAAACTAAGCATAATTACTACCGAGCCAACCTTCAGTTGTAAATTGTGCGGTGGTAAACTAGGCACATCCAAGGAGTTAAAAATTCAGTTGGATAATTAGTGGCTTCATCTTCGTTTGTTACACAGTCGATAGATTTGAATGAATGCAGAGTACCTGCGATTTGATTCTGAATTATAAAATTTAGGTCATCTACATCTTTATTTTTAGCCGCCAAAATTGCACGCTCACTTAACCATTTAGTATGTTTGTGGTTACCAATGATATCCGGGAATACTTTGTTGGTAAGCTCGTCTTTCGATGAGACGAGATTGCAAAAATTTGGAGGAAATGACATTGTGACCGTTTCTAGTCCATTACCAATCATTTTTAAAAGTTGGTTGTTCTGAAGAGTACGAATCAGTGTACTATTGTCGTGGTAGACTTTAAAAGTCCTATCAATATGTCAAATTATCTTAGAATGTTAAAAGCAAACAAAAAGAAGATTGACGAAAATCGCATGAAAATGAATCGTTCTCCTATTCCATGCCAGGCAATGCTTGATGTCATGAATTCCACTGTTAATATTACATATAAGACACTATTGTCTAATACCGTAGGTGAATATGTATCAACCCACGCATGGGGAACCCCCTCAGGAGATCAACAAACCTTCGCTAGGTTCATCCTTGCACTGTGGATATCCTCATCTTACGAAAAAGATTCAGTTCACTTCATCAAGGAATATTTTTAGATGTAATTGGGAACCCAAGAGAGGTGGCAACCGCTGAGGTAATAGACATTATTATTAAAGAGGTTAAAAAAGATCCACAATTAGATTACATTGATCTTACTAGTGAATTGAATTCTATTCATGAGTCACTAATTCCTGTAACAACAGTGCCAGTGTACAAAGAAAAGATTAAAGAATTAGTTACTCCACCAATTCTTATTAAATTAGATAGAGTGCTCTATAATCAGAATTCATCATGCATTAAATCAATAGTGGAATACCTTTCTGGCATTTTTCTATTAAGCGTTATTAAAACTGGAAATGTAACATCGTCCCATATTGAAAAAAGGCTTAAGAATTTTCTTACAACAGACAAATTGCCTATTCCAGAGTTCACCCCAGAGGAGTTCCAACAATTATATGACATCATAAAGGCACAGATTGACAGAGGAGACCTGGATCCTAACGACCTTATATCATAATTCTCAACACTACTCGATAAATCTACCAACATGAGGATAAAACCCTTAATCAACCAGGCATCCTACAGAAACTTAACTGCTCTTTAAATAATTAGTAAGAGTTTCTCTGAATTCCCTGGTTTCCCCTGGGGACCATTGTTACAAGCGATGCCAACGCTGAGAGTTGAAACCCAAAAAGTGTTTGAAATTTTAAGAGAAATTGGGGATAATAATTTAATTGGGTACCAGGTATCCGAAGCAGCATCTTCATTTTCCAATCTCGCTGGACTTTGTTTACAACTGCAGATTGTGGTAAAAACCAGCATACACTTAGTGAGTATAAGGGGGTAGGGAGCATTTCAAGTATTGGAAAAATTCAATATGAAAAGTTCAAAAAGTGGGCTACTGACTACAGTTTGATGATTGAGGGAATGGCAGTAAACATCACTGATATGATGAGGAATGACACTATAACTCCTGAGTTCTTCAAACTCTCATTGGTGTCCGATGCTTTGACAGGATTTCTGAGTGAGAAAATATTAGAAGCAGATGACGAAGAAGGATCTAACGATCTCAAAGAATTCTTCAGTGGAAAGAAATCGGGAGACAACGACGATGATCAAGGTCCATCAACCTTTCAGCCAGCACAAAAGCGCCCAAGAAAACGTGAGCTACAAGATCAGGAAAGACCTCCTCCAAAGCAGCCTCATATTCCTTCTGCGCCTCCTGCTTACTCTGGAATGTCACCCCTTTATCCACAATTAGAAGATCCTGATCAGGAGATGCAACAACCAGAATCTCCAAGTCTCATACCATTATCTTCTAAGGAAACCTATACTGACATTACTGCAAGGGCTACAGATCAAGATCGTAAATCAGATCCAAAAGATCTTTCTAAGATGTTAGTCGGATCAATGCTTAGGTTAGATATCGGGAACGCAGTTCCCAAACAGGTCTTAGAAGCTATTGTATCTAATATTCCTAACCATCAAATCTTTTCAGTTCCATCATTTTCCAGAATCATGGCTATGACATTGTTAATCACTGGCCGTGGAGGGAAAAGGGGAGATCTCCCGCCAGGCAAGGTCTTCTGCCCGTGGAGCGGCCAACACGTTGTACTAACACTTAGCGCTTTGGCTTCGGTGTGCTAGTGGCGCGACGACAGCGCCGCTACATCACCCCCCTGCTCAGACCGGAGGTCGATAGTGAAGTCTCGTTGTCGACGAATGCGCAAGTGCCAGGAGATTGCCTTGTAGTCTGCGGTGAGTCGAGAAGAAGGCAAGTAATTTGCGAGAGTGCCGTGAAGCAGAGGCGAGCAGTAAGGCTCAGAGCCGTGCCGAACACTGTAACGCAGAGAGTAGCTTGAAGGGACAGGAAGCATTATTATTCCAGTGCTGCGATGAACCTTGTGAAGCTAGCTGGCTTGCAGCATATGAAGATTGCAGACGATATCTGCTCGGGAGCGAATGGGTGGGTTATTCTATAACGATGATGAAGCTTAAAGTTTTCGAAGGTTGTTAGTTGCGTGTTCAGATCACGTTGGGTGGTCACCACGGTGGCCGTGGAGGGAAAAGGGGAGATCTCCCGCCGGGCAAGGTGTTCTACCCGGGGAGCGGCCAACACTCCGAGTGATAGTTCGCAGAAGTTCTATATATACTGTCTATGATTCGGAATGTTAATAGCGCGATTTAGGCTTCGGTGTGCTAGTGGCGCGACGACAGCGCCGCTACAACATCAATCCGCTCGATTCGTCAACAGGAACACGGCCATTACCGATATTAAGTATTTGCTTAGAGAAATCATCAGTAGATAGATCGTTCAACAATGCAACTCTCATATTTACTGACAGTTGAAGTTTCTTCACATATCGCCACAGATTTGATGCTTTGAGGCAAGCGTTTATTTCGTCGGCAGCAGTAGTTCTTGGAATGACCAGATACCGCCAGATAGTAAAATCATCGCACCACCAAAACATCTCGAGTCATTGTGCAGATCTTTTAATGTTCGGTCAAGTGCTTCCAATGCGCGTTTGTGCGCCATTGTGCATTCGTCCCATATTATGATTTTTGATGCTACCAAAACTTTGGCCATTGCGGAGTGTTTCGAAATGTTACACGTCGGTTGTTCGGTAGTTTGAAGGTTTAATGGCAATTTTAACTCTGAGTGAGCCGTACGGCATCCGTCTAACAATGTGGCCGCTATTCCAGAAGAAGCAACTGCTACCGCAATTTCGGATCTCGCACGTACAGTGGCCAAAATCAATGACATGAGGAATGTCTTTCCAGTTCCACCGGGGGAATCCAGAAAAAATAAGCCACCATTTCCATCATCAATTGCATTAATCAATGTATCATAGACTTCCCTCTGTTTAGGATTCAACAGTGAAACATTCGTTTGAACTGATTGGACTAATTCATGTGGATCATATTCACGTTCACGTTCCAGTTCTCTATTAAATGCGTCATTCATTCCACGATCTGGCGCTGGCATTCCTAGCCTGACTAATAAACTGCCGCACATGAGGTAACACATATCTTCGATCAAGAGCAAAGCCTGGTTATGCATCTCCTCATTCGTCTCAAGATTGGGATTTCTTGTGCTGACACGAATTCGATGTAAAATGTCTTGACATGTTATCTTTGTATTTGTTCCACAGGTCTCGTGGGTTCGATGGGAAGCATGTCGAAATGATGATAGCAAATAATGTGCGTATCTGACTTGGAGATGCAGAAATAATTGCTTCAGCGATTGTCGTGTCCCAATGAGTATAGTTTTTAAGCAAATTGAGCTCTTGACATGCTGCACGAAATGTGGGGCACATTATACCATTAACAGTTTGTAGTGATTCAAAGGATGTTGGCCCTCGAACATGTACCAGCAACAACCGCAAATAGAAACTCGGATGAACTGTGTAAATATGACCAAGAGCATCAGTAGAACGCATATCTAGATGACCAGGAACTGCATCGCCTTGCTTCCGACGTTGAAATTTCTTCGATGTAGCGTTCCAAGTGTAATAACGTGGCATCTCCGAGTAAAGCAACGTTCGTGCGAACGGATCGCTTTGACAAATCGCAAAGAAACTGGTCAATGTTGTCGCTGGAGGTCTTTCGGCACGTTGAGCAGCATTCGACGCTGTGAAATATACTCTCTGACCGTTCTCTAGATGCACCCCCAAATGCACAACAGTGGGATGACGTTCGTGAATAGGGAATGAGAATATACGCCAAATTGCTTCATTGCTGTTCACAACATATCTACCAACTTGATAGCACGTAATTTCATCGTTGGTATTGGAAGCTTGGATACCAAAAACCGCCATGTCGCTGCCTTATACACGTGACATATTTGCAAATGTATTTAATTGACTTGACCGAATTGCAATACTCAACATTACAATGTGGCTTGAATGTTTTGGAAAGAAGTGGTGAATATGGAACAATCCAACTGTTGTCGACCACGAAATTGTTTCCTTTCACTTTAGTTGTGATAGTTCTACCATTATCATCAGGCGATCGACGCCGATACAGTGGATAACCATCGTTGCCGGTGATGGTCTCTGCAGTCAATTTTCGTGGATACCGTTTGGAACACTTGCCGTTGACCACGCACGGTGATTGGCGGTTAATGGTGCCACATGGTCCATGAATCATATTCGTGATTACAACCTCATGTAGGTCTGGATCGGTTTCAGGATCAGGAATCTCCGCACATATGATGTCATCTATTTGATCTGGCCGAATTCTTTCGACTAACTAAATTAGAATGTGTGTATGCGGCATTATTATTTTCGAATGTCCCGAATTTTTTCATCATAAATTCACATATAACACACTCAAATATGTTTCGACACAAATGAAATATGTTTAGAAAAGTACATTTTTATTATTATTTACAATAAACATATACAATTCAATGCACAAAATACAAAACACAAGAAATAAAATATATTTGAACAAATGTATGGAGCAAAAAGTGATGTGGCGTTGCTGGTATATTTATCGATAATTTTTTGCAATGTAGCCGTCAATAATCAAATTCGGTTGATTGCCTTTTTGTAATGATTTTATATTGAATTTACAATACATTTATTCTTTTACAATTTCTGAATGAATTTTTATAGAACCAGCATGGTGGCGATCACCTCATTCACCGGGGTTATTTTCATTTATGTATTCATTTATTATTATAATAACCCTTTTTGTACAATTTTTCTTTTCAAATTAAACATTCTTTCAGTCAACATTCATACCCATTCATATCCTTCTTGAACCCACTACTGAGGACGAGGAGGAGACCGGAGACCCTTTTTACTGGAAACGAGGCATTCCATCTTAGTCCTCACAGGTCACGGATAGATGTAGATGTCAAAGGGCCAGTGCAAACACTTACCATCAGGTGGACTGTGTGCTCGTTTGTCACCCTTACCTATAAAAAAAAAGACGAGGAGGAGGAGGAGACCGGAGATCCCTTTTTACTGGAAACGAGGTATTCCATCTTAGTCCTCACAGGTCACGGGGGATAGATGTACATGTCTTAGGGCCGTTGCAACCGCTTACCATCAGGTGGACTGTGTGCTCGTTTTTCACCGTAAACTATAAAATAATGGAAGAAGGGAAGAAAAAGGGAAGGACCACACTCTCACAGAATACAAGCTCGATACTGGTGAGGTAGAGGAGACCAGAAACCCTTTTTACTGGAAACGAGGTCTTCCATCTTAGTCCTCACAGATCACGGGGGAATAGGTGTAGATGTCTATGGGCCACAGCAATCACCTACCATCAGGTAGACTGTGTGCTCGTTTATCACCTTAAAGAAACCGGAGAGCCTTTGACCCTTTTTACTGGAAACGAGGCATTCCTCACAGGTCTATGGGCTACACCAACCACTTACCATCAGGTGGACTGTTTGCTCCTTTGTAACCCTTCCATTACAATCACACTCCGCGAATTTCACAAAACTCCGTAAATACCTTTACGGAGTTTGATGAAATTCGCGAAAGCATTCTTGCAGACAGAGCGCCAGCCCACACTGCTCACACTCATACGACGTCAGTGATCTGCGGTGCTTGCGTTCCGTGCACCACACACACGCACGTCGTATGTAGTACTTTGGCTGTTCCTCCGCCGCATCTGCCGTTGTCTGTCGACTTGGCATGGGTATGCGGTGAATGAAGTGGCGCTCTGTCATCCTCTGTAATGGAAAGGTAGGGTGTTTTTGATGTTGAGCAGGTCTTGGTGGGCGAGGTACCATTTTGAGATGGCGGTTCATGATGCCGTCAACCAACGCCAACCGAAACGCTACGGCATCGAGTTTGGTGTTGGTTGATTTCTCAACAATGACCCTTGTGTTTTGAATGGAAATATTCAAAAGGCGTTTGAAAACTTTCCGGTTCCATTTCAAACATTGCTTCCGCTCGACTAGATAGGCCTCCAGCATCGAGTCAAGGCGGTCAACTCCCCCCATGGCCCGATTATAATCTTTTATCAAATCGAGCTTGTATTCTGCAGTGTGGCCCGAACGTCCGGCAAATAGTTGTTGCGAGACGCCATGGTATGTTGAGATACAAGTCACTCGCTTGCGATCTTGTAGCGCAACAACCATGACATCGTCGGACGCACGGGCAATAAATTGCCCTTCCTGTAAGGGTGCACGTTTAATGGCTTCTGGAACCCCTTTGCGAGTCGGCCGCAGGGTACCGACGCAGTCCGTGTTGTGGCGTTTTAGCCAACGAGTCAGGGAGGGGGAATTGAACCAGTTATGGACAACTGGTGGTACAGCGTGTGCCCCCGGTTGAGGACAGGTCGAATGAGCATCAACACAGAGGACACGCTGGCCGGTACCCTACTCCCTGTCTCGCGGCCCACATACACGAAGAACGACCAAAGGTATCCTGTGGCCGACTCGCACAGTTGGAAGGTTTTTATACCAAACCGGGCTGCCTTGGACCTTATGTATTGTTGAAACCTTAACTGGCCCTTTCCAAAGATTTAGCGATTCATCAATACATATGTTCCAGTCCAGGTGGTATAACTCCTGGAACTTGGCATTCAAACGGTCGATAATGGGACCCATTGGGTGCAGCGGATTATTACGGTCAGTCCCCTCGGCCAAACTAGGTAAATGCCGCATTGAGGTTCCAGTAGCGGAC